ATGGTGTTGCACTTGGCAGGCTGGACGATGACCAGGGGCCCATAAATAGGAGCACACAAGCTCCACTCGGCGAAGACAACCCGCTCAATCATTGTCATCTTCTCCTCCACCCTCCTTCTTTCATCCTCTTCTCCCTTCTGCTTCTCCTCCTCTTTCTCCTCCACCTCTTTCTTTTCATCCTCTTCTTTCATATGATCTTCCTCCTTCTCCCCTTTCGTTTCCTCCTCTTCCTTTTTCACGTGCTTTCCTACTGATATCAGTTCCACCTTCCTCTCTTCCCCGCAAACTTTTTCAAAGGTGATGACAGCTGGCAATTTACATCGAACTCCCGAGTTGCTGCAAAGAAAACATGAGATGCAAGCAATCTTTCCTCCCTCTCTGTTCTTTCTTCTTCATCATTGTCTTTCTAACAGCTCTCCTGCTCTTTCTATCCTGCATCGCTCCTCCTTTTTTCTCACCTGAAATTCGGACGGAAGGGGAGGGGAGTGTTGCAAATCAGACCTGAACAAATTCGTCATCTCAATCAGCCCCCACGTTCTGCATTCTCCTCTTTTCTCCTCTCCTTTGCCTGCCCTGACAATTTCCTTGCCCTTTTCTTACCCTCAATTTCCTCGTTCCTCTTCCTTCCTCCATCACCTTCCTTCCTCCTTGTTCCTGTCTCCTTCTTTTGTCCCTCTTTCATTCTTGCCTTTCTACTCATCCTCTACTCCTCCCTCCTCCCTCCTCCCTCCTCCCTCCTCCCTCCTCCCTCCTCCCTCCTCCCTCCTCCCTCCTCCCTTGAGATGTGTGTGGATCCATTTTGTGAGTTCACCAAGCCGAATCGTAGGGGTACTTTCTACCCGAGTAAGGGGGGTAGGGTAGTTGTCACAGAACGGGTAAAGGTAAGTAGTGAATGAGGGGGTACTGATGATATGGGTGCAAAAAAACAATCCAAGGGGTCCTAAAAATGATGTATACGCATTCAAGGTTGGCTACCGGTAGTGCTTTTTATTTTAAATCACAAAGTCAATTAAAACTTTTGATAGTAATATACACAAAATTAAAACTAAAAAGTACTATAAAATAAAATATTTTGTACAAATGTGAGGACAACATGTTTCTTTGGAGTTGATATTTCAATGTCAATACCCAAATAAAATTGTTTTTGGCCCCGATAATTCTTCTGTCAGGGCTAATTTTAATACCATGAAAGTTTATATATATATTATTTGTACTGACAAGAAATTAGTACCTACCTCCAAAACTTTGTTATAGCAGTGGTGCTGCACTCACAAGGAGCATTGACCACCACCCCACCTGTATGTAAGAGCCCAAGAACCCTGCATCCGTGCTATATAGGGGGTGGGGTATTGCCGCAAAGAGGTCAACGGGACTGTCGGTCTGCCTCAAGGAGCTTCATCTCAATGCTTGCCCGACTTCCTCGTCGTCGTCGTCCTATGCTCGCCTCCCATGCTCCCATGCTCCTTACCCAGCGATCATGCTTGTTTCCTAACATCCTTTTGCTGGCCTGCTCCTCTCCATGCTGCTCCTCTCCATGCTGCTCCTCTCCATACATGTGAGCGTGATGCGATCTGTTGCACCCCGACGTTCTCGCTCACGCACAAAAGCATCGAGGTTGCTGCACCTTCATCCAATCTTCTTCATTCTTGTTCCGTCTTGCAATCTGACAGCTCACTCATACGAGAGAGCTCAAAATCTCCCTGGTTCTCTTATTGTCATAGTGCATTCGCATCCCACACATCCTTCTTCCCCCATGCACTTTCCCAAACTGTAATTTTGGAATCTCGTTGCTGGAGATCTTGCATTGTGTTGACCGCGCTTACGACCAATGGAACATTTGCTGCACATATACGATCACAGAGATGGTTTGATTAACGATGAAGAAATGTCTCATCTGTGTTTATCCGTGTGTTCTTCATCGGCAGTCTCTTATTGCTAAGGAAATGACTAGCAGCAAAATCCCAAGGCGACGCGGGTGTTGTAGGTGTAGTCTGCGAGGATATGGTTGAATATAGGGCACGTGTAGTCTAACAGTCGCCATGGAATGCTTACTTGCTGACTTGTTGATGCCGTCTGATCTCTTCGCTGAAGTGCGGTGAAATTGAGGTTAACCTTCGTTGCAGGAGAATTGACATGGCACCCCCGGCTGGAGCTGTTGAGGTTGCTACAGGCAGCAAGATCGTGAGTTGCTCTGACGCCTAGTGCTGTTGTAATCAAACTTCCAGGATGGCCTGGCACTCAAGGATGCTGGCATTCAGAAGGATGTAAATACGCATGCTGCGTGCGACGTAGAGGCTGACCTGACCGCAGCTCTATCTCTTTGTAAATGGCAAGGAGTACAAGCTTAAACCCATGCAAGACTTTCAACCGGACCAGGTGACATGCTCGCTCCCTCTCTTCAATACCATTCGACACACTTCCTAACTCCCCTCCTTCCCCTTCCCTCTCCCTCTTGCGCTTGCTCAGCTTCTTAATTTTCCATCCCCCCCCACGCAGAATGTGACTGATGAGACTATCTTTATCTCTAGACTCTGTTGACATGGTTGAGATCTGTGGGGCTCACTGGCACGAAACTTGGCTGCGGTGAAGGTGTGCAGCCTTGCTGTCCTCTTGTTCTTGTCTTGACTTGTCTCACAGGAGGATGTGGCGCCTGCACTGTCTCGTCGTCTCACTACGATCCCGCCTCACAGAAGGTGGGGAAGGAGGAGGAGGATGTAGACGGCAATTGAGATGATGATGATGATGACGGCGATGATAATGATGATGATGATGATGATGAAGAGTGATTGTATCTTGACCCTATGGTGTAGGTTGTACATCGGGCGGTCAATGCCTGTATCACCCCAGTGTGTGCAATGGAAGGGTGAGCAGGAGGGCAGCAACTTTATGTTTGACCTGACCAGTCAAATCAGATGTCATGTAGTCACAGTAGAAGGGATCGGAAATTCCAAGATCGGGCTGCATCCTGTGCAGAAGCGGGTGCCCCGTCAAGCTGTTTTGCTGCGTGCACTGAATCTTGTTTCAGTTGTCGGACAAGCATGGTTCTCAGTGCGGATTCTGCACGCCGGGTTCGACTTGGAGTGGGTGGTGGAAATGTTCTGACTTGTCGATCGCAGGTTTTGTGATGTCCATGTACTCCCTGTTGCGAAACAACCCAACGCCAAACGAGCATGAGGTGAAGGAGAAGTAGCATGTCTTTTTCAGCTTATGGTTGCATCTAGGTCGAGCACTGCATCGATGGAAACTTGTGTAGATGTACGGGATATCGACCGATTCTTGAAGCCTTCAAGGTATCAAACTTGTTCTTTCTCATCATGCGATTTCTGCACGAACTTGCGTTACAATTTCAGACTTTGTTCCATCCCCGCTGAAATAGCTTTCCTCAGACCTTCTGTCCCGGTGAAAGTGAGGAAAAATCGGCAAAGAGCAACGGCTGCTGCAATGGAACGTCTCCGGCGCCGTACAACCCGAGTAGCGAAATGGAATTCCCTCCGCAGCTCCTGCCGGTATCCTTTCGTCCCTCTGCTGCCCTCCATGAGTCTTGACACGCCTCACAGTCAAAATATTCCTCGCGCGACCTCCAGTTCCAAGGCTCCAGGTGAGGAGGAACGAGGGAAGAGGATAGTGTGGTGCTGAGGAGGAAGGAAGAAGGATGGGAGAAGAGGGCATCAGCAGCAGCAGCAGCAGCAGGCGGACGAGTTGATATAACAGACTTGCTGATTCTCTGCCTACAGGTGTACATGGTATCGCCCGACCTCAATGAGCAGCCTGCTGGCGCTGAAGGTGGAGAGGAGGACGCTTTTATGGACATGAGTGAGTGTGTTTGACAGGCCCAACACCCTGCCGCAAAGATCGTCGTCGGCAACTCCGAGCTGGAGATCGAGCGCAAGTTCCGTAGCTCCAACTGGGAGGTCCTCGTGTGCACCACGCACGTCCCCGAGATGAACGAGCTGAGAAATCTATCCAACGGGGTCCACATAGGATCTGCTGTGACCCTGTCAAGGATCTACGACCACCTGAACCAGCTGCTGGCCAGCAAGGAGGAACACTCGACGTACAACTTCAAGGCCATGCTGCAGCAGCTCCGGTGGTTTGCGGGGACGCCGATTAGGAACGTGGCGGCCATAGGAGGCAACATCTGCAACGCCTCCCCCATCTCAGACCTCAACCCGGTGCTGATGGCGTGCGGTGCTGTCCTGACTCTCATCAAGGTCGACGGGTCGACCAGGGAGATCTCTGCCAAGGAGTTCTTCAAGGAACGGATGTACAGGCAGACTCACCTCGGGCCGGACGAGCTCCTTCTCTCAGTCTTCGTTCCTGAGACGAAGCCGATGGAGTTCTCGCAAGGCTACAAGGTCTCTCGCAGGAGGGACGACGATATCGCCATCGTCACTGCCGGCCTTCGCGTCCGCCTCGAGCAGAAACCCGAAGGCTTCGTGGTTGTTGACTGCGGTCTTGCCTACGGTGGCATGGCCGCGAGCTCGGTGAACGCGAAGAAGACGGAAGAGTTTCTGAAGGGTAAGACGATGAGTCACGAGCTCATCCGTCAGGCTCTTGAGGTCCTCCCCGACGATCTCCCGCTCGCCGACAACGCGCCGGGAGGGATGATCGAGTTCCGAAAGACTCTGAGCGCCAGCTTCCTCTTCAAATTCGGTATCTTCGTCCTCCAGCAGATCGCTCCTGCTGCTGTCGACCCGGCTGAACAGAGCGCGGGGATCCCCTACAGCCGGCCGGTGAGCAGCGGGTTGCAGCACTACACTGAGACAGGTCACAAGATCATCATGGACCCAGCCGGTCAGGCGATGACGGGCCCGTTCGACGTGGAGGGAGGAGTCGGCAAGGCTGTCAAGCACCTAGCTGGAGACTTGCACGTGACTGGAGAGGCGGTGTACGTCGACGACATGCCCAACCCTCCTGGTGGGCTCTATGGTGGACTTGTGCTGAGCCAGAAGTCCCGAGCCAGGCTCGTGTCGGTGGATCCCTCGCCTGCTCTAGCGCTGGCTGGAGTACACGGCTACTTCGACCACAAGGACGTGGAAGGGAACAACGTCTTCGGGGCGGTGATCTGGGACGAGGAGGTCTTTGCGACCAAGGAAGTCTTCACGACCGGGCAAGTGATCGGTATCGTCGTCGCAGACTCTGCGATCCTCGCGCGACAGGCGGCGAGCATGGTGAAGGTGGAGTACGAGGTGCTGGACGCCATCCTTTCCATCGAGGAGGCAGTCGCTGCGGAGAGCTTCATCGGGGACGAGGGCAAGATTGAGAGTGGAAACGTCGACGAGGCCATGGCAAAGGCAGAGAAGCAGATCAGGTGAGAGAATTGAGGAGAGCAAATCTCTGTCCATGCTGCCAGGCGCCTTGTGCTCGATCGTCTCCTTTCTTGCCCCCTCTCCGTATGCTATCTGTACCTGAATGTTTCCTCCCCATCTCCCTAGTCCTCTCAGCATGTGCTCGTCTTACCTCTATAGCACCTGACACGTCAGTATGGCAGCGGAGAGGTTCGCATCGGAGGGCAGGAGCACTTCTACCTCGAGACTCAGGCTTCACTCGTCGTGCCCGGTGAAAACAACGAGTTCATCGTCCACACTTCCTCCCAGAACCCCACCAAGACCGCCAACTACGTTGCCCACGTCCTCGGCATCCCCAAGGCCAAGGTTGTGTGCAAGGTGAAGAGGATGGGAGGAGGCTTCGGCGGCAAGGAGACGAGGAACGTCTTTATCAGCATGGCCTGCGCCGTCGCTGCCAAGAAGCTCAACCGCTCTGTGCGGATCATGCTCGACCGCGATCACGACATGTGCATCTCCGGGCAACGGCACCCGTTCCTGTCCAAGTACAAGGTGGGCTTCAACAAGGATGGGCTCATTACAGCGGTGGACGTGAAGCTGTACAGCAACGGGGGGATGTCGTTGGACCTCTCCCGCCCTGTCCTCGAGCGCGCCATGTTCCACATCGAGAATGCCTACAGCATCCCCAACGTCCGAGTGACTGGCAGGGTCTGCCGCACCAACCTCCCCTCCAACACCGCCTTCCGAGGCTTTGGCGGCCCCCAAGGCATGATGGCCTGCGAGGCCTACATGGAGCACGTGGCAAGAGAGCTTGGGGTGCATGCTGACGAAATTCGAGCGAAGAACCTTTACCCCACGAGAGGAGGCGTCACCCCCTACCGGCAGGAGCTGGTCGACTGCCACCTGCGGGAGATGTGGGCCGAGCTGCAGTCCAGCTGCGACTACACGAGGAGGCGAGCTGAGGTGGATGAGTTCAACAAGAAGAACAAGTGGAAGAAGAGAGGAATCAGCATGATGCCTGTCAAGTTCGGAATGTCATTCACTGCCAAGTTCATGAACCAGGTCCTCGCTCATTCGTGATCCCCTGCACTCCTCCTTTCAACCTCCTCCCTCCCTCTCTCCCTCCCTTCCTCCGTTCCTGCCCTCTCTGTTGGTTCCCCCGCTTTGTCTCCTCTCTTGTTCATCTCTCTCTCTCCCTCTCTCCCTCTCTTCCTCCTCACTCCCCTCGCAGGCTTCGGCGCTCGTCCACGTCTACACGGACGGGACCGTCTTGGTCTCGCACGGAGGCACCGAGATGGGGCAGGGGCTGCACACCAAGATGTGTCAGATCGCCGCGTCCGAGCTGGGGGTCTCGCTGGACAAAGTCTTCGTGACTGAGACCGCAACCGACAAGTGCGCCAACACTCACCCGACCGCCGCGTCCGTCGGTGCGGATCTCAACGGCTTCGCCGTGCAGGACGCGTGCAAGCAGATCGCGGCCCGGCTCGAGAGGTTCAGGCAGGCGAAGCCTGGGGCGACGCTCGCGGAGATCGCCATGGCGGCATGGCTGGACCGGGTGGACCTGACGGCCCATGGCTTCTACAAGACGCCTGACATCGGATACAACTTCCAGACGGGAGAGGGTCGGGCCTTCCACTACTTCGCCTACGGGGTCGCGTGCTCGGAGGTGGAAGTGGACGTGCTGACCGGAGACTTCTCGACGCTCCGGGCTGACATCCTGCATGACGTGGGCGACTCGCTCAACCCGGCGGTGGACGTGGGGCAGGTGGAGGGAGCCTTCGTGCAGGGGATGGGGCTCTTCACGCTAGAGGAGCTGGTGTGGATGAACAACGGCCAGCTCTTCACCCGGGGCCCGTCGACGTACAAGATCCCTTCCGCCAACGACATCCCGATCGACATGCGGGTCAAACTCTTCGAGAACTGCCCCAACAGGAGGACCATCTACTCGTCCAAGGGCGTCGGAGAACCTCCCCTCAACCTCGCCATCTCCGTCTTCAACGCCATCCGTGAAGCGGTGGGGGCGGCGAGGAGAGACGCTGGGAAGGAGGGTCACTTCCGAATGGACACGCCGGCCTCGTGCGAGAGGATCAGGTTGGCTATGGGTGACTTCATCCTTGGCAAGTACGCGGCCTCCGACGTCTTGGCCAAGGGCTCCTGGTGAAGGAGGAGAGCAGGAGGAAGAGCGGGAGGAGGGGGTCATGGAGCTTCAAGGGCTGAGGCGAGGGGAGAGTTTGATGGTGTGCTGGTTCAATCTTCGTGTGTGGATGTTGCAATGATGTTGAGGAGTGAGAGCTGCTGCTTGTTTCTAAGTGAAAGAGGAAACTACATTACAAGCAAATCAATAACATAAACTACATCACGCAAGATTGCACTCAGTCTCTCAGGTACTCCTTCAGATACATCCAATGATCATGATGAGTAGGCGGAGGCGAGACAAGATGACAGATGTCAGGATTGAAGAGACAAACCTGCATGTGCATCATACGAAGAAGGGAGGGTTGAGAGGAGTAGCGCACTCACTGTTGCAAACATGTTCTGATCCTTGCCAGCAAATCGCCCTCTCTTGATGTAGCTGTCCACCATGTTGTAGAAGAGCCTTCCCCATCGCTGTGAACCGAGTCAGCAAGCGCAACACTTGAAGTCAGACGACAAACTTTGATCGCCTCTGTCCTCCCTCCAAAGATACCACCACCTAACCTGCCGTACAGCGAGGATTAGTGAGTCCACCCTCCATTCCTTTCACAGTCAACAACCCCCACCCCAACTCCCGTCACACGCCACCTGCTCCTCTTTCCGTGCTCTTTCACTTGTTTCTGCTGCTCATCCTGTAGCTGCTACTGCTCTTCCTCTCCCCCTCACCCTCCTGCTCCCCTCAGCTACCTGACAACAGGCGAGTAGTCTGGTCCGAGATTCTCTAGCGACGTCATCTCTTCGGGCGTGAAGGGCTCGATCTGCAACAGCACAATCTGCAAGCAACAGCACCATCAGCTCTCCACTCCTTCCTCACCATCCTCCCCCTCCTTCCTCACTATCGTCTTCCTCCTTCCCTTCATGCTCCTTCCTCTCTCTACCTCCCCTTCCTCCCCCCCCCCTCCTCCTGCCTCTCTCACCTTGTCCTGCGGTATCTTCGACAGCCCTCGGCTGCTCGGCCACCTTCTGTACATCTCCATCTCCTTTCTCTTCCGGAAGATCCCCGCATCCACCCAGAGAAAGGTGTCGGAGCTGCCGCTGCCGTCACGGGTAGCACAGAAACGAGGCGAGGGGACTTGAAGGGGTTCATCTCGATAACGCGGAGAAGGAAAGACGTCTTCTCGTTCCAAACCATATACAGCTCAGGTGAGTGATACTGCAGCAGTGAGTCAGACACGTCAGAGATGATGACACATCATGGTGCACTAGAGATCGCCCGAACGCCACCATCAACCACGCGCGAGAGCGGAGAAAAGGAAGCATTTCACAGACAAGACTTGACCTTCTCGTCGTCCATCTCATAGTGTTGGACGAAGTCATCCTTCCACTTGTACACGAAGAAATCTTGCATCTCTAACATAAGCACCTTGACGTCTGCAAACAGCATCGTCATCGTCATCTCAGATGTCCCTCGCACCCTCACTCTCTCTCTGTAGCCTCAGCTTCTCCAGCAGTCTCCATCCCATCGCGTTCGTGAATACCACTGCAGCACAGACTTCAGCTGACTCCACCACAAGCCCAGCTCCAGACCGATGGGGCTCTCGACGTACTCGAAGAAGTTCATCATCCACTGCTCGTAGACCTCCGCTGCTCGTTTCGATGGCACCTGACAGTCATGCCGCCATCCCACGTCACTCCTCCTTCCCCTCCCCCTCCCAGCCTTCACCGGGTAGTAGGCGGACACAAGGGTGAACGACCTGCCAGCTTCCGACGAGACCTCGGGGCTGCTGCTTCCCGCCGGCTCTTTCTTCTCAGCTGTCTCTAGCGCATCCTCTGCTCTCACCTTGTGCTCGCACTCCTGCCCTTCTCTCGACATCCGCATCCTCATACGGCTCGTGGTTCGCCGCACACAAGGCAGCCAAGCAAGAGCGGACTCGTCCTGCACCTCGTTGTAGTCCGAGCTCTGGAACCATCGCTCTATCCCACTCCTCGTCTTCGGGTTCAAGCTCTCGCTGTGCTGGGCGTTGACTCCGTCCTTGTTCAAGTGCTTCCACATGGCATCCGCCAGGGATTTCGTCTTGTAATGGTGCAACCGTAACAGGTTGCTGGTGAAGTCTCCATCCTCGCTCTCTGTCGGCAGGAGAGAAGAGTCGTCATGCATACGCACTCCTTGCTCGTTCACCGCAAAGTATCCATCCTTGTAGTAATGGTTGTGAACGTCGCACGCTGAGATCCTCTCTCCTTGAGCGATCACCTTATACGCGCATGTGTCTCCGTTGCACTCAGCCTTCGCTCTCCGCTGCGTGTAGCTCTCAATCACAAGCCCCTGTGGCGGACGGATGTGTCCTGACGAGCCGAACAGCGTCCATGGCACCACGACGCCGCCATAGTCTACAAACCTCTCGAGCACCTCCGGAAGAGTCTGAGAGGAGTTGGAAGGGAAGAGGAACTCGTCGACGTCTATGAAGGCCAACCACCTGAGAACGAGAGGATCAGCCGCCTCAAGAGACGCTTGCGAGGTCTTGATCTTACCTTGCTCTCCTAGAGTATCGCTCTACGCAGAGATTGTACGTCGGAATTTGAGGATCCCTCACGTTGACTGCTTGAGCCACTGTAACAAGGCCGCTGGCAACGTACGGCTGCAAGATCTCTTGGAAGCAGAAGTCGCTGGGCCTGTCAAAAAACAAGAAGAAATGCTCGATGCCTGTACAGAGATGAAATGACAACCATTCTGAGAGAAAACGATCCTCATCGCGGAATATCGTGCAGGCAGCAACTTGGAACTCGTATCGGATACTTTCGGAGCTGCATGAATCAGAGTTGCAGGTGTCATCTCGTGTTATCGATGTCTCTTCGTCTACGCCATGTGACCCCGACAGACATGACAACATCGCCAGCATCAGCATGAGCGTCACAGCGGACATTCCTCCCTGCATGCGTATGGCTGACAGCCGTGTCCCCATGAATCCTCCTAGTCGCCTCCTGCCTGATGTTTTTTGCTATAAACTATACATAAAATATGTATGATTCAGTATCTATCACAATTGTTTTCGACTTGAGTAAATTATTCTTGGTAGTCACTGCCATTTTGCTACAGTCATTGAATTGAAGTCCAAATGTTTCTCGGGAAGCGATCCTGCGACCCCGGAGGTGCATCCGATCGGATGGGTGGGTACTGTGCCGCCCCGGACCGTTCAGAATGCCGGGCCGCACAGTGAGGGTCAGCGGATTTTTAATGAGGTTTCACTGCTGCCCGCGGCGGCGCCGCGACCCAATCGTCTAGCCGCTCAGTAATCACAGGGTTGTCGCGGCTGAGCTAGGTTTTAGGAGCTCGGGGGGAGGATGGATCACATGGGCCAGCCGTGCCAGTCAGATAGCGCCGAGTTAACAAAACTCTCCTGTAAACCAAGAGACGTCCTTACGTGGCAGGGCGGTAATGTAGTACGTGGACGAAGAGGAGACCTTCCGAGGCTAGCCGTCCGACCGTCTTGCTGAGGTCTTCTCATGTCTGCCGGGATGCTGGGGTTTCACATCCTAGCATACAGTCTATCTCTCATGTGCTCCTCAATTCTGGTTTCAAGTTTCGTGTGCATTAAACTCGGTCTTGAGCAAAACTGTCTTGTTGCAATTAAGATTGATATCATGTCTGCATCCGAGTCAGCATTACTATAAAGTCAATATTCCGTCAACTGAATCAACTTGCCGCCAGGGGGATACCTGCGGCGGTTTTTACAAATAACTCAGTCAGGAGAGTGCAGCCCGCCTCTGAGTCGCTGTGATCAGACCGTTTGTGAGTGACCGTACAGTGAACCGATCCCACTCAGTGCCAGCCCGGGAGTAAGTTCGGAGTCACCGTCCGTACGGTCCGGGCCGGGCCGCCGCGGCAGTCACCCGGGGCCGGTCAAAGGGGACTGAAACCATCCTTGCTGAGAGGTTTGTGGCTGCCAATTGGCGGGAAGATGCAGGGTGGGAGAAAGAGCGAAATGGCGAAACGAGAAGATAAGAAGAGAAGAGGAAAGGAGAGAAGATAATAGAAGAGCAGAGAAGCACTGGCAACTGCCTGGATTGAAGACGGTCTGACTGATATGGGGGATGAGATGCCATGTTTCTCATGAGGTGCTTCCATTCAGTTTGATTATCGTGCAACCTTACCAAGAGGTTCACCTGGCAGTGACTACTGACGGGAGTCACTGAGCAAGAAGAATCATGGAGGTGGACCTGAATGATCAGTCTGATAGTGCAGAAGATGAAGACTATGACCCGCTCAAAGACCCTTCGGCTGCCGATGACGATGACGATGAAGAAAGCGATTCTTTCGAAGGATTGCGGCATGTTTTGGAAAACTGTAGGTGTCAACGCCCACTACTCTCATCGCTAACACTACTTGCTCTGTAGCCAAGAAAAAGAAGAACTTTTCTAAGAGAGCAATACCATCAGACAGATCCCCGGACTTGATCAGCCGAAGAACCAGAACTCGTTTGCGCCTTCCAGACGAGCTATGGACAGAAGCCGACATGGAGCTAGACAGGTGCGGGACGAGTCAAGAATGTGAGAGGTTGATGAACCCTCAAATGTTAATGCCAGGGCCGAGAAAGCGCTAGATCCTTTGTCGCCATCCAGCGAGAAGGGCGATTTGAATGTGATGCTGTTCGGCTTTGCTCTTTCATAACTTCAAATTGCAGGGCAATGCTTTCACCAATGATGAGTACCGTCGTTTGCTTGCAGTTGCATGGGGACAAGCAGAACCAGAGGATGACGAAGATGAAGACGATGAAGACTTTGTGAGCATAAGCCCTGCCATATCTGTGTGTAATTTGTGTTAACAAGGTACCTGATGTTGAAGGAAATGACGGCAATTTAGAGGACCCAAAACATCCTGTAAGTAACATGGATGATATATTTAGACTGTTCTGATCATAGATTCACTTGCGCAGATCAGTGTCTCTCAGCATGAACTCAATGCATTGCTCGAGGAAGAATCTGCTGTTGCTGCAACAACAGAGCTTGGTGCGTCTAGCGATCCAACTCTAATCGACGACCGGCCGAAGCGCAAGCGGAAGAGAGGGTCCAGAGACAAGGCTACAGATGAAACAGAAGGCAAATCAGAGATGGATTTTTTTTCGAATTCATTGTTTTCCCGAGAACAATTTCTCCAACTGCAATGCCAAATGAGAATATACTTTCAGCTCGCAGCACAACAGTATGTTGTCAATTGCTGCGATACTGAAAATAGAAAATCAAATGCTCAGATTATCAAAGATTTGTAAGTTCATCTTTGGTATGCCTTAGGAATTGTCGATCCTGACTTGTACCTGGGTGCAGGTATGATGGCCTTGCAGAGATGTACAGAGTTTGGGAAGTGACCACTGAAATGGGAAAATTGCAGGATAAGGCAGTCCAACACTTGATTGAATATACGATAGGTAATGAGTTTGAGAGTGAAGTCTGATTGAATTTATTTGCAATAGCACCGAGTACAACTTCGGCGCAGAGCATGCAAATTCGGCAAAATTCGCGATTCAGCTTTTTCAAAATACCTGGAATTCATCTGGTCCCCAAACTTCTACAGGATGTTTCAGAACGATGTAGTGGAGAGAGTAGGAATGATCAAGGTTATGTCAAGCCAGATGGATGACCATTAGTAACCTTTGAGAGATAGGCTCAACCAGAAACATGAATGCATTCGAAACAGCCCAAGACATCTTGAAAATGTTTGATAGGTATGATGGATGCTTTCATGATTTCTCCGTCTTTAGGATCCTGAATTCAAATATCCAGTCACTTCAATCCTGATGTGAAGCTTATGGTCCCAAAAGCGGTTAAGGAGCCTGTCGAACAGCGCGGATTCACAAATGCAGAAACGAGCTTACTTCTCACCGGGCTGAAAAGATACGAAACAGACTGGGAAAAAATACAGAAATGGGTATTGCCAACAAAAGTATATCTTTATTGAATCAATCTGCTGAAGTCTGACTGTACGTAGACTGCAGATGAAATCAAGAAGTGGTTTCGGAAATTGACAAGGAGGGATGAAGCGAACAACGAGATTAAGGAGTGGAAGTTGAATCGTACCAAAGAATTTACTGAACAAGAGAATCATCTGCTCCAAAAGGGAGTGCAATACTATGGAAAGAGATTTGACTTGATATCCGAAAAGGTTTTGTTACTGCAATGAATTTCGTTTCTGACGATTTTTGGTCAGGTGATTCTTAATCGCACTGAAGGCGAGCTACGAAAAGCATATGAAAAGATGTGCAAGAAAGCTTCATCAGCTGCAGCTAAAGCAGACAATCCTGTATTCAATCAAGGCACTACAAAATCCAAGAAAACTCGAAGCAAACCGGAAATCAATGCCTATTTCCAAGCAAGCAGTCCAAACAAAAGAAAATCTGCAAGAAATATCGGAACTGATGATCCAGATATCTTAAAAAGAGGTACAAATGTGCAAGGGAACATTCCCATGCCAGATCAGTACGAACATGAAAACATGTCAAGTAGTGAAGACGACGATGTAGCACAAGATCCGGTATTGCAGAGAAATCGTTCACTGCTCAGCGATTTTCAATGTTCAAACAGCTTTGCAGAGTTTCCTCAACAGTTAGAAAATTCAAACTTAGCTAGTCTCCCACCTTTTGAAGAACACTACAGGACAAGGCTAAGCCTTATAGGGGATCAATCCGCAGAGAATTCTTCTGAAGCTTTTGCGATTCGGCCAGGAGCAATTGATTTGCAAGGCAGCTTGACTGATTTAGTCAAAGAAAGGGGACGAGAAGATGGACATACGTGAATCTGCAATTTACCTGCTTCTCCAAAACGTTGAGGACTGAAGTTTGAGTGAATTGCAGTAATGCATGCTAGACATTCATCCCCAGAGGTGAAAGTGGGGACAATGAGGCAATTTCTGGACTCCTTCAATGGTGTCTTAATCACACAAGACAGTCATAGCAACTAGAAGACCATCTACAACACAATGTTTATTCTTTGGGGCAATGTATTACATGTGTACAGAAGTGTCATTTACAGGTACAGAGTCATACGATGACTCATGCAATGAAAAATTCGAAATCGTGTTGAGTTTTGCTGCGTCAAGCGCCTTCCCGATCCTTGAAAATGATCGCACCTCGGCTGCGAACCAAAAGGAGTCAATCTCAATTCACAGGAGATTCTTGACACCTTTCGTTACATGGGAGCTTGAAGTTACAGCGCAAACATCTCTAGTCGCAGTCTTAGCTTTTTCCTGGTTTGTGGGAGGTGTTGAAGATAAATGCTGTTCAAACTATTAACATGTCAACGCTTTCTCAAGTTGACATCAAACCTCTTTCAAGGCGTAGTGGATGAAGGGGTATTGCTTATAGCTTTGTCTCTTCAAATGTGTAGCAGCAAAATTCTGGAAACAAGCATGCTTGCTTTTGAGCATACTGACAAGTTTTGTCAGAATGGCAATTTTGTGAGATTCGTTCACTTTCTCCAACGCCGATACCGCTATTTCTCTGATCTGCGAATCAGAATGATCCAATTCGTCGACAGCAATCTTTGTCATTCTGTAGTCGTCAGGCTTGAGCTTCTCAAACATTCGGGCAAGAACTTCTCTTTTCTTGTCAAGATCAGCATCCAATTTGAAGTTTTTCAACGAGCGATCAGTGATGTCAAAGTTCTTCGAGAGTAGCATAGCATACAAATCATCCACAGCAGATGCTCCGACACCTGCAGCTTCTGTATCAGCAGAGTCCGGCCTGGTCTGGGCTTCTCTCTTGCTGCTGGAATTGACTTGTGTGGTTGCCTTCATATCAGTGATCTCTTGAGACCAACGCTTGAAGCTTGCAGCCGCCAAGTGTCTGTTGACCTCCCGTGCCTTCCTGTCTGAGCCTCTGAGTGCGTCTACAAGCCTACAAAGGGTCCACTCAAAGCTTTTCAGGTGCCCCAATCGCATTCTCAATATGATCAATCTCTTCAAGAGCTCGTAGAGAATCTCAGAGTCGCATCGCTTGTCTGTGAGAAGTCCGACGGTTACAAGGATCATGTTGCAAAGGTCATCGTCAGTGGCTGACGACAGTATAGACACCAAAAACTTCAAGGAAGGAACATGATTGAGAGGAGCGAGGCTGGCGAGCAAGTTGACGGCACTTCGCAACCACCTGTTGTCTTGCTGCTTCTCTCTGCAAACCCCTAGGACCCGAGTAGTCAGATCCACATCACCTTGAACTACAACTTCTGCCAACACCGAGCTCGCAAACAGAAATAAGGAATCCTCACTCGCAGTCATACGGAGCAGGAGCTCGTAGAGGCGGGTCAGCCTTTCATCGCATTCTGAAGGAGCAGACAGCAAGTCCCAAGCGACTTCTTCCTCTACCCCGTAGGCATGCCCGTTCATGACAGCGACAAATATTGTCTGTGAATACTTTGAGCCACCTCTTACCATCCTCAGGGTCAACCCGTCTATGATACAAATGTTACAGTCCAGTGAAAGTTCCATCCGACTCCAGACCTCCTCGTCCTCCAACTTGATCTCATCGTCCGGTAGCAGGTCAAACTTTCGCCTTAGGAGCATCGTGTCGTCCTGAAGCCGCAGGGCCCATCGCACAACGTCAAGAACACAGTTGTTGCTTCTCGAGTACTGCGGACTGCAGTCCTTGAAAACTTTCTTGTCAACCAGCACGAGTCCTCTACGCGCGTACTCGCGCCGAACCTGACAGAGAGCGTTCAGTCTTAGGTAGAAGTCACTCCGTTCTAGATGTGAGATCAGCAGATCCAGATCGCCTGCCACCTCCTCTGAGAGTTTTTTCAACACAACAACAACATGATCGGGCAAGTGCGAGGAACTCTGAGATAGCTGCCACAATCTCAACTGGTCAAAGGCTGACAGATATCTTGCACACACTTGAACAAGCTCTTCGAATCGGTCTCCCCCAAACTTGCAACCCTCTTTGAGTATCTCTACTACGAACTCCAGCATGAAATCGAGATAGAACGAATGGTTTGATAACCAGGTCACAACGTGCATGATGTTGGCGATGTCGTAACAGCGCAGGCACATCCCAAGAAGGTCTTGAATATACTCCTCACGAAACTCACTTGGATTTCGATCATTCCGCCATATCAAGAGCTCCAGAACTATTGAACGGGTGTACTTGCACCTGCTCTTCACGGAGACCAACCTTAGATCGTCCTCCTTCACTCTCATCATCTTCCACAATGCAAGCATGGTCGACATCTCTGCCGTGAGGATTCTGGTCACTTCAGATGCTTCCGGGTTGTCAAAGACAGAGTTCAAAGTGTCTGCAAGGTTCTTTGATGATAGAGTCTGATCTGCAAACATGGATTGCACAACTCTCTTCAACACAGCTGATTCTTCTTCGTTCTGCACCGCACAGAAGAGACTTGTTATCAAACTAGGATTGTCGCATGTCAACGTGAGGATGTTCTGAAGAGCATTTGAAGCCTTCGATCTAACATGTTCTTCTCTGTCGCCCGTCATCTCCAGCAACCGTCTTGTAGCCTCTTTCTCTACTCCCTCCAATCTTCCTGTCCGCATGAAGATTGTCTCCACTGCCTTGACAGATGCGACCCTGACAGCCGCGTCCTCATCACCCAGCAGCTCCAGCGCCATTGACAGAGCAGAAGAAGCGTCTGCTGAGCCTGCGAGGGAGCGAACGGCATGGAGACGAACGGACCATGCGGGATCGCGAAGGCGCTGCATCAAGAGCGATGAGTCGCCTGTGCTTAACTGTTGGAGCATCTGCCCCCTGCTCATCATGGCGTCTCCCCTCCCTCTCAGCTCTCTTCCTCCTCCTCTCGCGCGTCCCTCCCTCCCCCTCCCCCGACTACTCCGGCATGTTAACTACCAGTGAGCCAAAATTGTTGTCGAAACTTTCCGAAAACGTATCATTTAGCGAAATATTTTCGAAACCATCAAATGAATACTGAGGTGTGCCTGGCGTGTAACTTTTTGAATTTGACCAGCAACCGTGAAGGCAGACTCTTTAACCCGAACTCAGTGAGTTGGAGGGATAAGGGCAAGGCAAGGCAAGAGGAGATTTTATCAAGAAGACGGAATAGATGGTCTCGAAGTTTTCAAATCTCCTGTCAGGTAGTACGTGTCACGAGAAGGCTCAAGAGCAAGGCAGCAGCTGACCTCCAGCAGGGAGGCTCTCGCCCTCTCGAGGATCTCCTTGGCACTCACGGGCCTCGTCTCCAGCATCCGATCTCGAGATCGCTCATTCAGCCGGGGGCTTTCTTCTTTCAACACGTCACCATGGCAAACTTTGACAAGCTTAGGCTCTTGAGCTGACCTGCCAGCTGGCAAGAGGAGCTTGTCAAATACTTGGAGTCGACGCTCCTTCCCAGCGGACTGTCCGCGCTGACTTCCCTGGATCCGAAAGCTCCTCGATGACTGCTGGGGTACTTGCTGAAAGACTCTTCGTCGTACTTGGAGCAGGCAAGGTCAGTCTCTGCAAGCATCGATCGCTCTGACCTTCTGCAAACCACTCGATATCCTCCGATACTGCTCCAACAGCTTATGAGACGCCTGTGCACTAGCATCAGGGACCACATCCGCCCTCTCCCTCCCTCCTCTTCCTTCAGGTCAGCATTCAGGATTTCGATCTGCTTCTTTGCCTCGTCCAGCTCCCTCCTGCTGACATGGTCACGCTCGTCCTCACATTGACCTTTCATCATGGAGGGTCACCTGCTCTGAGCTGCTGACGTCAGGGCTCGCTGCAGTTCAGTCGTGGTCGTCTGATCTGGAGGTCAAGAGGTCTGTCGCAACTGACATCTCTTCGCTCTCACCTGCTGCATGTCTTTCTGGATCTCTATCGACGTGTTCGACTCGTGCTGGTGCACTGCCAGAGCTTTCTCAGCTAGGAGTGCTTTCTTCTGCTCCTCTCATCAGCTCCAGGGACAGCAACTTGACTTCCCAAACCTCCCACATGCTCGCCGTCATCTGAATCGCCTTCACCTCCGTCTGGAGATTCTTCAGCTCCCGCTACGACCATACTTACATCCCCCATCGCAGCCAGCACGTCAGAGCTTTACCTGCACATTCGCCTTCTCACCCTGAGTCCGGCTCAGCTCCTTCTGCAGAGAGGACAAGTCCTCCCATAGGCTCCTCGTCCTGCTCTGCTGCTGCTCTGCTCGTGCGGACCCAGGTGTCAGCCACAAGGACCTCACAGGATCTTAACGAGCGACTACCGATCTCAGCGTCCCTCGCTTTCACCGTATTCTCCCGGATATCCAGCGAATGTCTCAAGTTCGAGATCTCTTCGTTGAGCTTGCTCATCACCGCCTGCGACTCCTCCTGCATCCTGACGCTCTCCTTCCTCTCGGCAAGCAACAGGCTGCGGATCTGACAGGGCGTCAAAGATGCACCACAAGCTCCAGCAGACCTCAGTGAGCTCCTTCTGAAAATCTTCAGCTCCTCGTCCGGCTTCGAAGAGAGCCTGGAGCAGCGTCAACGACAGTCCAACGGTCGAGGCAAGGGGGGACATCGCGGAGCTGCTCCTCGAGCCTGAGTGAACGAGACTGAGAAGACTCGCAGACGGAGCAAGGAGAGAACCTGACGACGAGCTGCCTCTCTTCTCTCAGTTCCAATGACAGGGCTTCGACCTCCTCCTTCGATTTGCTCTCGAGCTCATCGTATCGCACTTTGAGGTCCAGCAGATCTTCGATCTGCCTCTGCAGCTTCCTTCTGAGCTCCTCGGCCTCCTGATCGCATTGCTTCCTCTCCGCCTGCGCTGCCTTCACCTGCTGTGACATCTCCACGTCTTTCCTCGCAATCGTCTCCTTGCACACCAGGATTTCATTCTCAAGCTTTGACATCCTTGACTCGTATCCGTTCAAGGACTTCATTAGCTCAGCCTTCTCGATCGTCAATTGTGCGCTCTCTTCCCGTCTCTGTTGATTTGCAGCCCCGAGCTGCTCCTCCAGCTCTTTGTGTCTGTTCTGATAGTGCTCGGTCATCCAGGAGATTTCTTTTTCCAGGCATGCACACTTGGTCTTTTCGTTCTCAACCTCCCTCACCATCAGCTCACCGCTCCTTGACAGCTTGTCTATCTTGTCGGCGAGTTTCGCTTCTCTGAAGAGCAAACACATGTCAAGGCTGAAGGTGTCTCAAAACTGATCATAGCTCACCTCTCCTCAAGGTCAAATATCCTGCGATCCCGCTTCTCTATAATGCTGGTCTGTTCTGCCATGGAGTGTTCAAGGTTTCGGATCTCACTTGATAGATGAAAGTTGTAGCTCCGCAGCTCTTGCAGCAGTCCGAATGCTTTCTTCAGCCTGGAAACAAGGATCTCGTTCTCCTGCTTTTGGAGGTTGTAAGAATTTGCATAAGAAAACCCATACGGATCCGCTCTGTGAAGCCTGGGCTTGCGATCGTTGTTAGGAGACACAGAACGTCCGCGGCTCGTTGAACGGAGAGAACGAGACTTTGACATCTTTTTCGTGCTTCCTTTGCTGGGCATGGTCGGAGTATCGAAGCCTCTGGCGGACATCAGCAGTGGTCCATCAATGACCTCGCTTTCGACGTTTGAGAGAAAATCATTCCCATTTGCAATTCCAACATGGTCGGGGGACCAAGAGATCATCTTGTTCTCAGCGTTTGGCTTGGATGAACCGCTCAAGCCTGCTATCTCGTTGATTTCGTTGTCGATCCGGCTCATCCTCGCAAAACCCTTCGGATCACTGTTGGGAAAATTCTTCATCCCGATCCTCGAGTCAGCTATGTATTGTGAGTATGGGAGGGCTGGTTTGACCCGATCGTCTTGTCGTTCCTCCTCTTCCTGCTTGCCTCGGTCCTTCTCTCGTCCTCCTTCCCTCCCCTTCTCCTCCCTCATCATAGGCAAATCAACGAAGTTGTCCATGATTTCAGCCCCCCACTCCTCCATGCACCTCACCACCCATCTTTTTGTCCACCTACCCCTGTAAACGCCACCCCAACCACCTAATTTGCACTCATTTCCCCACACCCCTCATATGATTCTTAGCTACTTTACTCAAAGTACCCACACCATGTAGAAGTAGTACCCCCTATTACATCCCATCAAAAATTGACCTTATTTTTCGATCCTTTCCCTCTTTTGTCCTCAAATCGACTGAGCAGCGAATATAACATCTGGGCCAGGGAGGAAGGGAGGGAGGGAGGAAGAGAGGGAGCATACCTAGCTACGAGGCACGAGGATGAAGTTGAGGTCTGCATCAGTGAGAAATAAGTCCTGCGATCTTCCTTGAGAGATTACGAGTGAAGGAGCGGGAAGATGGGTTGCAGGGAATCAAAACCGAATGCTGACGAGGCACCAAAATGGAGCAAGTTTCAAGACGCGACAGGAGAGTGCGTCATCAACCAAGGTATGTCGTCGAATGCCATGACCCTCGATGATACGCTTCTGGTCGCAGAGGAAGAAGAAGCTCATCTGCATGCCTGGAAAGATCCCAAGACTCGAAACCGAGTAGAGACCCAAATGCCTGAGGAGTATGCGGACACAACATATGAGAGGATCCTGGAGAACTTAGAGAACTATGCCGCTCTTAAGAAACAGAAAGCTGCGAATGATAGTCGATCTGCTGTCTCAGCTGAGCATGGGAAACCAGAAGGGAACCGGGAGGATGAAACATCAGCCTCCTCGAGGTTGAAGAAGCTCGAACTAGCGCAAGCTCAGAAGAAGAAGCAAGAGCTTCTCGAGTTGGAGCCTGGTGTCTGGAAGCGCTATGCACTGGAATCTCGCTATCAACAAGGAGAAGACCTGCTGCTGCAAGCCCAGGGAGAGGAGTCAGCAGAACGAGGAAGGTATGGTCTTTTCTTGTTCAACGATCGAGGTTTTGACGTATTCCTTACTCGCAGTACCAAAAGGCTGGCAGAGCTGAAACATGCAGTCGCGCTGCTGTATGACTACAGGAGCAATCTTGACGTGACCGGGCAGCAGCAGTTCCTCTCATATGTTTCCTACAAGCATGCCAAAGAAGCCCTAGGCGTTTGGAAGGAGGTAGAGGATTTGGTGAAGGAAGATCAAAACATGGCTCGCATGGTTCAGATCTTGAAGTCTGAGACTATGTTGCTTATGGGCAAGAGCCTGTGTAACTTTGCTCTTGACGGAGACGGTGACAAATCGAGGCATGACTTGTCAGCTAAAGAAGCCTTCCACAAGGCCAAGGAGATTCTCGAGGAGGTGCTGGAGAAGATTCAGACGCGTTGGAGGCTCAATGATTGTATATGCAGGTAGAAACAATTCGACGTGGGCAGGATGCTGCCCTTGCAGAGACAGTGATGGCGTTAGGGTATCTCAGCTACTGTCAAGCAGGCGCAGCAAGCAATGCAGGGCCAAGATGTGAGAAAAGATAAGAAGGTTCGCAGTCGTCTCCGCTAAGATCTTTCCCAGGCTCTCTTCACTTGTCAGAAAAGGAGATCGAGTGTTTATACAACTCAGCTCTCCATTATTACAAGGAAGCGCTGGAGCTCTACGTGAAATGCTATGGCAAGGTTGGTTGCTGTCCTGTGGTCTGTTGCCTTGAATTTTGAATTTGGAGGTCGATGGCAGGACCACAATGACTCGATCCGAATGATCTGCAACATTGCACTTGTTCACAAGGCAAAGGGACTTGTTTTCAAGAGACTTGATGAGCTGGAAAAGGTTTCTTTCCAGCTCTGTTGCTGATTGAGGAGGGAAAAATGAATTCTCGGGGCAGGCGGAGATATGTTACAAGGAAGCTCTTTCTTGTCAGGTAGACCGACTTTTGTTCTTTGTCCTACTTTCTTCTGACTTGGCTCTCGAAGGGATCGGATACTGACAGTCATTTGAGAGCCAAGAAGATCAAGATGGTTTGCAGTGTGTTCTACTTGAGTTTTCTCTCTCGTGACTCGTACGAAGGACCTGGCAGAAATTGAAGTGCTGAAGGAAAATAATATGGTATGAAACGAACTCCTCCTCCTCCTCCTCCTCCTCCTCCTCCTCCTCCTCCTCCTCCTCCTCCTCTTTTGACTCATTGACGTTCACAGGTGATGCCGGAGATTGTGAGCCAGGAGGACGAGGCGAGCCAGAAGAGGAGGGAGGAGGTGACTTGACCTGTCCTCACATGTGCAGCTGAGCGTTCTCATGTGTAGGAAGCCTCAGCCTTGATGGAAGAGTTCCTGGGTAACACAAATTTCACTTTTTAATGCCATTACTTCAAATGTTCAGTGTCTATTATTTCAATCTTGACTGGGCAACACTGACATCGGCATACTTCCAGCCGCCCGACGAGCTGAAATCCAGCAGCATTCGAGCGGAACGAGGGGAGGAAATAAAACTCCAAGTTGAGAGGGTAATGTGACATGTTCCGTCCCCTCTTTTGCACTGATAAGATTGGCAGTCATCTTGCCGGCAGTAGATGGCAGATATCTCTACGTGCAGAGGGGGCCGAAGGGAAGAAGGAGGAAGCAGAGGATGGAAGGAGGACAAGAAGAGGATGACATGGCATCTCAAACAAGTCTTCGCTCCTTGACACGATGACGCCGAGTGTCAAACAGTTGCACAATTCTTGTATGCTTTTCTATGAAAGACAAGGTCAAATCGAAAGGAATTCTCCGGCCATGCAATACCTTGCGAACCTCCGGTGTAGGTGTTGAACAATCTAGAATCAAGATTTCTCGAAGATGATTTGAATAATTGCAAGGGATCTGGACGAGAAACTTTGTGTCTAATCCCTTCAGTTTGATGTCGACGGATGCAGATATCGTCAGAAAAAATTCGTTTTTCCAGCTCATCTTCAGCCCACGGGTCAAAAGACTTCAGTGCAAGGGAAATGCAAACCTCCGTCAAACGACAACAATAGAGGACTGGTTATGGTGTCCTAGAGGAAACATTCAGAGTTGAAAGGGGTGGAAAAGATGAATTCGCAACCAGCAGTTCATGAACAGAGCCGCTTGTTCTCGATCTGTACAAGTCTCCTGGTGTTGACAAGCATCTCAATGCTGTGCTTTGGTCACTTGTTTCTTTCTGAATTTCTGGAGGTGTTTTGAAACATGAAAGATGCTCGACTAACACGTATTCAGCACGCCAGATTGAAAGTTGACTGTACAAACGTACCATTTAGGATGACAAAAGTCGCCTCTGACGAAGGCTTAGGGCTATCAAAAAGTTCAGGGTTGCGCTGATCTGATCCCTCAAGAGCTGCATGCCGATCTTGTTCTGATTTCTCACTGTGAGCGACTTTAGGCGCCTGAGTGAGTATCAGTGACTAGGTTGAGGAATCGCATGGTAGGTTACAGAATCTTTAGGGGATGATTTCTGTATCGAGGGAGAGACTTGTTGCATCAGCAACTTCATGGATTCGTTGAAGTCTTCATAGTTGGACTGCAATTCATCTTTTGAAATGTTGACCTTCTTTGCATCCCAACCCCGTCAGAGCGATGATTGTCAGAAAGTGCAGGCAGTCACCTTCAGGTTCGATGCAGTTTCAACGTAATGATCCTTCGGAGACAGATTGACGGATTTTGTTTCACTCCCGTGTTGCTCGATCCTTTTCTGCTTGCGCAAATTAAATGCAGCTTCAAACGGTTTGCCAAGCTACCTTGAGGGCGAGGATTTGATCTTTCATGGTGTTGTTCTCATCTAAGAGGCTTCGACAGACTCCCACAAGCTGTCGGACTGTACTCTCAAGTGACTCGACTCGATGCCGCATGTCCAGGAGGAGATCGACACAAAGTGTCTCATTGCTGTTCACGAATGACGGCGGCGAGCGAGCAGGGGGCTGGAATCGGACGTTGGGATCTACGTATCGTTTGACAAGCCGTTCTTGTCCCGGAGACAGAAAGGTCTGACTCGGAATCACCTCCTCACGAGCTTGAGGCTTCTCCCTAGCAGGATGAGGATGACGAGGATTCTCCTCTTTATGGCTGTACAAGGGAGAAGTGAACTCTGTTCTTCTACCATACATCGACATCGACGTCACCCTAATGGTTCTTAGAAGTCAGTACTGTTCGTGCTCGTCCCTTTCTCATCGCTCTCCCTCGATTCCTCCGGCTCCTTGTCCATCGATTGCTTCTCCATTTTGTCGCAGATGTCGGTATCGATCTCAATGGTCTTGACCCGTCTAGATGACTGCAAAAGGACCCCGTACAATCCTAATGACGTTTTTTTTCGTCGGAGTTTTGGATCCGAGATGGGGGGTCCTTTTTACAGTGGATAGGGGGGTCGTAAAAGCATCCGAAACCATCGATATGGTGGGGTATTCGAGGTCAAAATGGGGGGTGGATCTTTTTTCTTTTTTTGCTCCGACCCCTACTAATGGCCGGTCCGGGGCCCGGCCGACCGGGCCGGCCGCAGCCAAGTGCCATTTAAACTTTACTCAAAGTTAAGTTAAAAATCAGTACGAGCCAGGACAAGACAATTGGCACTCAGAAGAAAAAAGTCAAAAATGCGTGAAATGACATGAAACTATTGTAAAAATTGTATGCGCCTCTTTCTAGCAGCTGACTGGGAGACTACCTATGTCGATATGCTGTTGTCCTCTCCATCCCCCCACACCTGACGTGTCCTCGTGTCTGAAATCGCTCTGATCAACTGCAATGGTTCAGGTGCGCTGTGGATGGATGGCAGCTCGAACCCTGCTGTTGTCTCCCGTCGCTATCCTGCTCGCCCTGCAGTCTCTTCAACTCGTGGATTCTTCTTGTCAGTGCTCCCTCTCCTCCAAGATACCGACAACGGTCCTGAAGACGTGCGATGTTCGCAGAGGAGTCTGTCCGTATGAGTTTTCAGGTTGCGGAGCCCAAACGGGTTTGTACGAAAAGACAAGCAAATTTGCTGGCGGGTGAGAAGAGTATGACTTTGTCTCCCTAGCTGACTCAGAGTTCTCCTTGCAGCTTCCCCATCAGTGTATGTGCGATTGCCGAGGGATCTACATGCCAAGGGGAGACTAAACTTCTCAAAGGAGTGCAATGGGTAGGGCAAGAAGTGAACTTGTTTCCTGGTTGAATGATGGTTGTCGAAAGATGCCATGCTCAGGCATGTCGAACTGCAACGCGACCAAGGGGAAGCTGGCAGGCATTCCTTTCTCTATCAGCACGCTCGTGAGGCCACAAAGACTTGTTTGTTCATGTTCTTGATGGAGAACTCCAGTCTACCAACCCCTACCGTTGTACTACTTGCGATCGAACCCATCAAATCGGGGCAGACTGGACGGATTGCTGCAGGAAGTGCACAACTCTTTCGTCGACGTGTACCAGCTGGGACTTTCAAATCAGCACTGCGACCTGCCGCTTATTCTCTTCGACTGGACCAGCACAGGTGGAAAACAAGGAGCGATTGTTGAGCTGAAGCTTCTAACGCTTAGAAATGCACAATAGATGGTAGATGATTTCATTACGGGGTACCAAGGGTCCGATGAGAAGCCCCTGGACTGCTGGCTTCGTTCCAAGGAGGGTCCGTGCGTCAACAACGTTGGGAAGGTGATGCTTGTTCCTTGGTATTTCATGTGTTGCTGATGAAGTCTTGTAGATCATGAGCGTGGCGATCGGTTTGTTGATCGCAGGAATCTGTTCTCATGTGGTATTTGCAATCTATACAGTTCACTTGTGGATCAAGTATGTGGAGATTCCGATCAGGTTTTGTTCCATGAAATGTTTGCAGCTCCATCCTTTTGAAACAACTCTTGCTCAGTGTTGTCTCTCAGAGTGTTTCAGAGTTCGAGAAGAAGGGGACATTTTCCTCGGAGATTCGCATAGTCCGCAATTATCAGGCTGAGATCAGCTGGTACTTCAGACTAGAGGAGTACAGGTGATACTTGAAACGAGAGGGGAGGGAGGAGCCCTTAGTTGTTTCGGTGCAGGGCAATCGTCACAAGGAACGACTCTGCTTTTCTTGACGGGGAGCGAGTAAGCTATCTGCGTCTTGCTCTTTCTCTTACGGCTTCGCGGCAGATCTACGTGCAGATTGCTCGACCTCAATTGTGAGTTGCTGGAGTTGTCATGATGATGTGTGAGGGAGAAGGTGGCAGGTTCAAGCTCATGACCTCAAGGAGGGAGTACATCTCAGCAATAGTCTCCCTAAGCCTACTGGCATCAGCCGGCTGCTTCTTTACCGAAGGTATACAGGGGGAATTGGGGGGACGAGCAGAGCGTCGAGCAGCACGAGGAGCAGCGGGAAGTGACGGCTGCTGCAGGTATCCAGGGCCTGGGAAAGAACGGCGGGGAATTTCTCCTGGCGCTCACAGTAGCAGAAAGTACACAAGGCTCCTCCCCCATAAAGATAACCAGCACGGACCTCACGAGCGCCGCCGTTCGAGCTGGGTTCATGCTGGTGCTGCCGCGAGCTGGATTTCAACTGCAGGCTGACAGCGAGCAGGCGGGAGGAGTTATCCTCTTCCTCATCGTCATCGTGAGCTACTTCTGCACGAATCCTTTCTGGCTGCATTTCATCCGACTTTTATTTGTGAGCTACTTCCCTCTGCCCTCCTCTTTCCTCATCCTGTCGCAGCTGCGCAACCACACAGAACATGTTCTGCGACGTCAAAACGAGACCAAGCCTCCCAAGGATGATGAGGACAACTGCCGGTGACCTTCCGCCTTCAAAATCTCTCCATTGACTCTTTCCACAAGGCCAAAACCTCCGATCCGTACTAGCGTGGGTACGAAAGTGTAGTGATGTGACGTGCTGAAGAAATACAGTATGCTGTACTAGTGTAACACTGCCGTCCTCAGAGCTTCTCGATGAAATGTGATGCATCCCTTCCTGGGAGGTAACTGCAACCTCGTCAGGCTCTGCCACACATGAGGGTTCGAGATCACTTTGTCGACGGGACATTCGACGTGTCCACCGACTGTTCTTGGTTCAACAACCTGTCGCACGAGGTCAGAGGGCTGCAAGTCGGCGTTCTTGTTTCCCACCCGCTCCGCTCGAGAGAAGCGGCTTGACCGAAGCCTGTGCAAACAAGTAATGAGGTGAGGGGGGAGAGTGGGGGGGGAAAGTGAGTGAGTGAGTGAGTGAGTGAGTGAGTGAGTGAGAGGAGGGAGGGAGGGAGGGAGGGAGGGAGGGAGGGAGGGAGGGAGGAAGGGAGGGAGTGGAGAGAGGGAGGGAGGGAGGGAGGGAGGGAGGGAGGAAGGGAGGGAGTGAGAGAGGGAGGGAGGGAGGGAGTGAGTGAGAGAGGGAGGGAGTGAGTGAGAGAGGGAGTGAGTGAGTGAGTGAGTGAGAGAGGGAGGGAGGGAGTCAGGGAGGAAGGGAGTCACACCTGCCAAGACTGCAGTCTCTCCTCCGATCATCAGCGCCTCGTGCAGCGACCAAATGCACCAGATAAAATAACCCCAGAGCCCCACATCAAAGATCATGTTCATGCAGTCACCGAACGACCAGCGGGTTGTCATGCAGAAAGCTGAGCAGGCCAAAGTTAGGGCGGGAAGGAAAAGAAGCAGAGGGAACAGTTTACAGAACAGCAACAGGTGTCATGGAGCATTGGTGCATGAGAAGTGTAAAGGACGCAAGCATGATCACAAGGTGAGAAATTGAATGTACAGCCACGAGAGAACTTGGCAGTTTAAGTGAGGGGAAGCAGTAAAGTAGCGATGAATGCACGAGACAGCGAGGCAGAGCAAGAAAGCATCCAAGGAGGAATGCAAAAAAACAGTTAGACAGAGACCGGCCAGGCTGAAGGACAGGGCCCATATCTGATACAAGTAGTAATATCTTATCCCATCTGCAGCGAACACCGGTTATCTGCCCTCTGGCACGAACATGTCGCTTACCAGGCTCCGACTTGTGTATGCTTGTAAGACATTTCAGAGCAAAGAAGAACTCGGCACCGTAGAACGCTCCTGATGTTTTCAGACACATCAGCACCCGAATGGTGCAGGAACGACGATTTCAGACCTATCAGGATCAAGGCCGGAGCTCCATACCTATCCATTCCCAAATGAATATCTCACTAGAAACAAGTTCAAATTGATTACATCATAGAAGCCATGAACAATCTCTTCGACGCGGTATAATAATGCGCTTTCAAGAACTGCAAACGTGGAGGGTCAATCATGAGTGAGGTTGACGGTAGAGCACACCTGTTCTTCGTCAATGAATGCCATCACCTGCAGAACAAGTATGACATCAGTTTGAGTTTGAGGGAAAGAGGGAGTGCGTGATAGGGGGCACAGGGGGAAGGGAGGGATGGGGAGGTAGGTAGGGAGGGAGGGAGGGAGGGAGGGAGGTAGGGAGGTAGGGAGGGGGAGGAGATATTTTCACCAGAAGTGCTATAAGAACAAACATGAGCATTGCCGACATCATCTGGGCGTAACAGATGCACATAACTCCCTGCAAGTCTCATAACGCTGCCGGCCGACCGAGAATGCGCCGACGCATACCTGCTTGAGAAAGATGCACCCGAAGAAACTGTTTGCTCGTGGGAATCCACTCTGATTGTTGGGCCCGGAGCTAGAGGACAGCCGTCAGTCGCGTATGCCTCCCATGGTGCTAGAAGTACCATGACTCCGCGGGTGGGCGCATCTTCACGTCCAGTCAAAGTCCCTCAGAGCAAGGCCCACCAACGAATAGAGTGAGGTTTCTGCAAGAGAAGCATGGAGTCAAGTTAGCCAGAGACAGGAAAACTATAAGGAGCATCGCTTACGCTTAGAGGTACTGCAACATAATTGATCATGAGGCCTGTGAAGACTACAAGCGTAGAGAATACGCTATCATTGCCATCGTTCTGTTGCGGAGCATTCCTCACTCTTACTATCTCGTATCATTCTGATTTCCTTCGTGTTTGCCATACCACCTTACATGGGCCACTAGTCGCTTATCCCCACAGCTCTGACTTCCCAAGACAAAAATTGCATTTCCGATTTTCCTAGACATCAATCACTCATGTGTACATCATTATCTCAAGCACACACCTTCATCTAACCTCTCCTCACAACCTGAACTCCCTTTAGTCAATCATCTCCTCTCCTCTCCTCTCCTCTCCTTCCTCTCGCTTCAATATCCCTTTCGCTCCGACCATGCCGCTCTGACTCATTCTATACTACCCCCATCTGAAGCAGGGCATGATCCACCCCAACTCGTATTCACCCCACCCCTGAATAAAGATAATAGTACCCCTACATTGAAGATGAACTTGGACCCTTCTGATATTCCCCACCCCTATTTTCTGCCCTTTCGTTTCTGTGGAATCCGCAGATATGGACGACCACTTTGTGGAGTACCCGACGATTACTCGGAAGTACCCCATCACGATACCACATTTTCCCCTCTAAAGACAAGGTAGGGTGACTACCCCCACTCTCACTTTTGTTTGCTCTGGACCGGACCCCTATTCCTACCACACCCCTGAAAATTCCTGCTTAGGACCCCTTGTATAGCCCGATACGTACAAACTTTGGGTCACCCCTCCTTCTTATATAATTAGTACCGGTACTGTTAATTGTCAGGTATAACCCACCCTGCGGAACAACCCATTTGTATACCCCACCCTAGTGGTTTCCTGGAATCTTCCATGGAACATGAGGGTGGGTCACGACACTTACCCACCCCCGCTGAGAGTTCACTCGTCTGAGTACCCCTATGGAAACACAAGTTGAGGGGATAAATGACCACCCCTCATTATTTTTACCCACCCAATTTCTGAGTAACCCCCCATTTTAGTACCAAATTGCTCTGCAATATACCGGTGAATTGAAAGTATTTTATACCCCCACCCTCTGTTGGGTATCTCCCCACCCACCAATTGAACCCTACCCACCAGAATCACAATACGGACCCCCTCCACTTCCCATCTCCCAATGCAGCCGGCCGCTATGTTTCCATTTGGAGGCCTCCTCCTCCTCCTCCTCCTCCTTCAAACATCCTCCTCCTCCTCCTCTCCTTCGCTTTTCCCTTGTGTTTCCTCTTCCAAGTCATCTCCTCTCAGTCCGTCTCGCGACCTCTTAGGCTTCGCCATCATGCCCAATGCTGGTGATCGCAAGGACTGTCGTGGTCGAGGTCAATCTGCGTGTGGGGGAAGAGCAGGACTCATTCGAGCAGCTCGAAGGACAGCATACCGTGATGAACTCGGATTTGCTGTCCCAGGTGTGGCCCAGAGGTGTTTGATCGCTCGCAGGGCTACCAACTTGAAGGAAGGAGATCGCCAAACGCTCGCTGACCTGGAGCGGAAGATCGGGAGGGAGGTGCAGTCAGACGGAAAGCATGAGGACCAGCTTGATTATCTTGAGGAGCTTTGTACAAGCAATGTGGCCATGAATCCCTGGAATGAACTGTTCCGCAACCTCGCTAAGAACGAAGAATTCATCTCGGAGTATTGGTCTAAGAAGGTAATTTCCACTTCTGGAAGGGTATACCAGGATGTTCATTGGTTTTCAGCCCTTCAAGTTCGATGCGGTGATCCCTTTTGCAAAAGAATGCTTCAGCATGAGCGATCTTGAGACACAGTGCACGTGAGAAACTCTTACCGTGCTGTCTCCATGATGCTGACATGCAGAGACAGTTTCTATCCAGCAACGTATGCCGGGACGGCTGTCCTGACATTGGAGAATGGCGGGTGGATGATGTCGAAGTTTGGACCGGAGATGAACGATGCAAACAACATGGCGCCCTTGGACTTCGACAGTATCAAGGAGCAGATGCAGAAGGGTACAGTGTCCCTCAACAGTGCTGGGTTGTTATCCTTGCGTTAAGATCGACGAAGAAGGACTGACGAGCTCCTTCCAGCTTCTTCATGCCTCGGCTCGCTTCTATCTGCACAGCCTTGTTGAATGCTTTCCAGGTCGTACCTTGCTGGAGTTGATGGCGATGCGCCTGGAAGATCCTAACTGCCTCCCCGTAGCTGCCAATATGGCTGAACATCTACATGACAGAGTCCCTCAAGCCTTCCTCCGCACCTCTGCATACGGACAAGCAAGACGTGATTGCGATCCAAGTAGAGACCTCTGTTCCATCATTCATAAGCCTCACTCCCTGCGGTTTGCAGGCACAGGGTAGCAAGAGGTGGAGGATATACATGCCTCCTCATCCCGCAAACAAAGTGATGGTACGTCATGCCTCCACTTGTACTTGTGTTGAGGAGGAAGCTTTTGACAGCAAGATCCTTTCACGCGCGGAAAGGGAAATGACGTCTTGACGTTCGAAGAGCTCGAGGAGCCGGTATGCTGCCTTGGGCCTCCAAGAAGTGTTGGATGGGATGAAGGAGGGGGGGAGTGCAAATGAGGAGAAAGAAGATTCTATATCTTCTGATACAGCTCATCTTTACAGCTCCTTGATGTCGTCCTAGAGCCAGGGCAGATGCTCTATGTCCCAGCTGGGTGTGCATAACCCACAAGTTCCCCTTCTCCTGACGTCTTGCGGCAGATACCCGCACGTGACCGACACTGTCAACGGAGTGAAGACGAAGGAGGAGTCCATCCACCTCACGCTGGGCGTTGACACGTGAACTCTTGCGAGGAGACGAGCAGCGAGACTGACGAGCTTCTCAGGCACGTCTGGGATCTGAACTTCGCGTGCATGCGCGCGTCTGCTCTGTCGAGAAAGAAGCTCCCAGTGCTGATCGAAGGAAGTTTTGACGTCAACAAGCTGGAACGTGACCAGTGGCTCTCGCTCCATGCTCCTCTTCCTCTTGGCTTCTCGTCCCTTCCCATCCTGTCCCTCACGGATGGCTCGAAAGAAGGTAAGGGATGAGAGTTTAACAAATTTTAATCGGCGGGAGAGACACTGAACGTGTAAATTACAGAATCCTCGGATCTACTATGCAGGCATATTGCACAAGAGTTAGCAAGAAGGATGCTGCAGGCCGAGCCTCAGCGATGGGCAAACTTTAACGAAGACAGTCTCGTTGACGAGCTTGACCTGCAAGCTGTAGCCCATCGGTACATTCTCCATCATCACAGGATCATGGCGATCGAGCGGAAGGTGTATGCAGACGCAACCTATCAAATCCGAGAGATCTCCCATCCTGTTGAACGAGCTCAGCCGTACTTGGACGAGTTCAAGCTCGCTATGGAGGAGCTCGCGCTGTGGTCGGCAAATCAGCCAATCCCTTCTGGTGGAGGAAGCAAAGCGGAGAAGCCGGTAGAGAGAGGCCAGGGCCTGGGGATGGGGATGGGCAATACGAACGATGCCAAGAACAAGAAGAAAGCAAAGAAGAAGAGCAGATGATCCAGAGAGTCACTAGAGAAGCAGGTTGGAGAGAAAGTTGGAGAGTCGATTTCTGAACGTCGCTTGCTCGGGTGGCCGCGCGGCCTCGCAGACTTTGACGAAGAGGTTGGGAAACACACCTTCTGCTGCGTATTTCTTCCTCAGCTGGTTGTACTCGCTCTCCGAAGGCATCGTCTTCTTCCACGGCGCTTCTCTTCCCCAGAACTCATTCTCGCTGTAGAAATTTTGCGAATAGAGCATTTTCCTTCCCCCTAGCTTCGCAATCTGAGCCTCCAGGAACTTGGTGTAGAACGAGCCTCTGCCATCGCACACCCGCCCGTAGATCCCCACGTTCACCACCAGCGATTTCACGTGCCCATGGGGAGAGAGCAGCTGGGCTGCTGATGAGGGTTTGACGGGGCAAAGCCAGATCGGGGTGCTGATGGGAACCTTGGACCGAACTTCCTGCACGAGCGTCGCGGCGCTCCTGATGGGCATGTATGCATCCTGTGAAGACGTCACAATTTGCACGGGAAGGGTGGAAGAGAGGGAGAAGAAGGGCGTGTAGAGAAATGAGCGAAGTGTGAGCAAGAGATGGAGACTTGAAGGGTGACTGCAAACTTGGGAGGAATTTGATACCAGAATGATCATCTTTGACGCAATTGCGGATCTTGAGGCGAGTCTGAGCAAGGAGAAAAGGATCCTCGTTGAGAACATCCACCCCGTGAACATTCTCAGCCATGGACTTGTCATCAGAAACAAAGTAGAGGTCACCAGATTAAGCCTGTTGTCAACGCAATCAGAATGACAAGAGCATCAACACAGGACAAACAAGGCTCGTCACATCTTACCTGGTGCTCTTTGCCCCCCACGTCATCGGCCGTGCCATCCAGAAGGCGCCGTAGTCGTAGCGAAAGAGATAGTCTTCCGTTTTGACTATCTCGAAGAAGTCGCCCTCTATGTGGAAATCGCTCCTTTTCATCAGATCCGGATGTTTCCTCCTCAATTTCTCTGCTACCCGGCTCAAGTGCTCGTAGAACCACAGGTTCCATGGCCTTCCCAGGGAGAGGACCTTGCACTTCTTCGGAGAGGGCTCATCCTTAAAGCCGCTCGTCACGCTGGCAGGGCGATCGGCCGCCTTAATGTTCGCCGAATCCGTCTGCTGCAGGAACGGGGCTTGATAGAAGTCAGCAACGACGACGATGGCGTGCTTGGAGTTGGCGAGCTGAACGCCATCGATGAACTCGTGCTCGGATGAAGGACCGCACAGTCTCTCCATGGTCTGAATCGCCTTGTCTATGGTGGGCAGCAGGGTATAGCTCATCTGCAGAACATGTCAAGTTCCCCTCCTTTCTTCATAGTGATGGTTTACCTTGATGTACTGTGTGGCCGGCACACAAGAGATAGAGGCCGACAAGAGAACGCCCAACGTTCCTGCCAACCTTTCAACGTGTGCAGGAGGGAGGACAAGTTGGAGCATACCGTACGACCCGCTCAGAGCATTGAACAAGTCCTCGTTATGAGTGGCGCTACATAGGATCACGCTCCCGTCCCCCAACAGCAGCTCGACTGAGTTGCAGATGTCCAGAAACTGCCCGTGCCGGTGTGAGCTGAGAGAGACGGTCAGCAGGGCCCTAGAAGATTAATCGTCACCTGCTCTCTAGAGCTGCCCCCATGATGGCCCCACCTACAGTGATGTGCTTGAACTCGGGAAGAACCTTAGGAAGAAGCCCGCGCGACAGCGTGGCTTGCACGAGTTCCTCCATGTTGACAAGAGGCTCGGCCCTCACGATCATGCTCTCGACGTCTACGCGCAAGATGGAGTTGAAGGAGGAGAGATCGATCGGTTTCGACTGTGCCTTCTTGTAACTAGAGTCGTGAACTTGATTCGAAGACGAAGTTCCTTTCTTCAGGGCATATCCTCCCGGTTCAGTTCTCTCAAGTAGGGATACACTCAACTCGGCAGAAATCTTCTTCACAGCGTTCTTATGCGCTATCTCCTTCTCTGAGAGGAACAGGTCCGATCCTGTCTTGAGCACTGGGAAACCATGCCGGTCTGTAACCCATCGCATCCCCCCAGGCAAACTTCCCGTTGACGTTGATCTTCCAATTGAAATTGCCAAGCACAATCCCCCTCCTCCCCCTCCTCCCCCTCCTCCTCCTCCTCCTCCTCCTCCCCCTCCCCACAGCAACAGGATCGCAGTAGCAAGGAACAACCACGGCATGATTCCTCGGACCCCCTATCACCACTTACCTTGCATCCAATGCATTGGTATCACCCTACCAGACCTTTTATCATAGATCCACTATTGCATACACCCCTCATGGTATTACCCCTACCCCCTATTTGACACTACCCTCTGGATATAACACACGCGCCGGGCCCTCGGACTCCCTGGCCAGGCACTGTGAGCCCCTTTCCTCGGAGGCGGGCCCTCCAAGCTAGTCAAACTTGACTCAGTGACTACTAGCCGTCATTCAATGCGCGGCGCGGCCGGGGGATCACTAGCGGCTTACGGTTCCGCAGCGAGCCCAGGCTGTAGCAGGCTAATTGCAACTAAGTTGATTGTAACTCCAAGGTCAAGTTGAGCCGCGGCGATGTAGTAGTCATGGTCACTGAGGCGAGCCCGGCGGCCGCTGAGCCTCCGAGTCAGGCACAGAGTCCGACAGCTCAGTACTGCCGCCTGGCAAACCGACTCCGGGACTCACTGAGCCTGAGTCACGGTGACACCATCACACACAGTCACTCGGACCATGGCCGACTCTGACACAGAGTGGAAGTGGTGCTACCCGGAGGAGGTTTAGCTTGTTCCGCTTTGTTTTGCTTGAGGCACTTTTTACCTTCTGCCAGTAAATCCGACACTGTGATACACTCCTGGCGCACAGCGAACAGCGAGAAGCTGCACAAACACACACAAAACACAAGCCCGAAAAGAACCAGCACTGCTCGGGGTGACCCGGGAAACCGGAACCCGGGCAGCCTGGCTTTGAATTAGCCAATCATCACGTATCAAAACGGTTTGTGATAACAAAACAGGAAGGAGACTAAGCAAACAGATAGAAAAACGATTGCACAGTGAACCGTTTAAAACCGAAGAACTTTCGAACAGCAGGGCACTGAACTTGTGACTCCAGCTGACCGATCCCAAGAAGGTTGGCGGCCGAAAGCTCCACTACTCAAAGTTTGCGCGGGGTGACTCGTGGACCTCGACATCACACGCAGACTCGAGGCATCATGACTGTAATGACGAATGACGTCCTGGCCTTCTTCTGCTCTCTGAGGCTTATCTCCTCCCAGGCTTTCCGAAGTTCAACCCGCCGTTCTTTCACAGACTACGCGTGGCGGAGCATGCAGGACCGGACGTTTCGTAGCAGATCTTGGCCGTCGCTGACACAGACGATTGCATGGCTGTGCTTGACAGCTGGCTCGAAGTCGCTCAGCACATGTATGCTCCGCAGGCTCACTGCTCCAGCATACTGCTCAGTACGAACCGCCGAGGATCGATGGTTGAGCGAGGGAGCTGTATCAAGACGCCTGACATCATCCTGTGCGGAGCCCTGATCTTGGCCATCAGGGAAGAGGAGGCTCGAGGCGTGAGAGGAGAGGAGGGACTTGAGGGGGGGCTGGAGAGAGCTGGCCGACGCCATGGCAGGGGCAGGCGGGCAGCGCGGTACGAAGGACACTACTAGGCCGAAAAAGTCGCTGGAAAATCAGTCGCTTTGGCAGAACGCGACCTCTTCCAACGGGTGTGACACAAATATATTTACGCCATCCAAATCGCTTCTTTTCGTTTGCCGAATTGACTTCCCGTGAGCGACAACCGGAGGCTCCGTCTGTTCACGGAAAGTTTGACTTCATGACTGGAGCAAACTTGAACACAACTTTCACGAGATTTTATGTTGTGGTTGACGCTTATTGTTACAGACAGATACAATCGGATTTGACTCATTGATTTGCTCACTGTGACTCATTGATTTGCTCACTGTTCTGAGCTACACATCTTACTGAACTCGGCCGATGTGCAGAACAAATGAGACGAAGCAAGAAATCAATGGAAGTCGCGAGAGCGTGAGGAGTATCGGTCTGGTGGCTGAGTAGCTTCTGTAATCTCGATGTAAGTATATTGCCCGTGAGAGGTATAGCTCCAACTCCTTGCGCTGCCTTTGGAACAGTTGTAAGCCGTCAGATCATCGGATCACTGCCTGTGAGTGAGCCGAGGCTGGTAAAGCATCTCAACTACCGCTCTGTCCGAATGACCGGCGAGGGCATGGAACAAGGCCAACAACGACTTGATGCATTCGACTAGACACTTTTGAACTTTGAGTGTGTATGTACATTCGAGATAAGAAAGAGAAAGAGAAACAATACCCCAGACGCAACTACGAAAGACTCTGTGTTGCCTCCTTGCTTCAACATGTCACGAGCCCCGTCGGACCCTTCCACGCACCATGACGAATGACGTCCTGACTGAACCCGAAAATGGCCCACGTCTAGCTCCGCCGTACCATGGCAATCACACCCTTGCTCCCATCGTTCAAGTGCAGACTACCATGACCTCCTCTGCGGTTACAAGGCACGGCTACGCGTGGCGGAGCATGCAGGACCGGACGTTTCGTAGCAGATCTTGGCCGTCGCTGACACAGACGATTGCGTGGCTGTGCTTGACAGCTGGCTCGAAGTCGCTCAGCACATGTATGCTCCGCAGGCTCACTGCTCCAGCATACTGCTCAGTACGAACCGCCGAGGATCGATGGTTGAGCGAGGGAGCTGTATCAAGACGCCTGACATCATCCTGTGCGGAGCCCTGATCTTGGCCATCAGGGAAGAGGAGGCTCGAGGCGTGAGGGGAGAGGAGGGGCTTGAGGGGGGGCTGGAGAGAGCTGGCCGACGCCATGGCAGGGGCAGGAGTGGAGGACGAGACAGGCGGAAGACGGAAACCAGAGGGCTGATGACTCTCAGGGCCACCGGGCGACCCCTAGATTGTGGGCTGAACCACCCGGTCCGAAGAAGGCGGCAACTTGAAGTCATCGACCTTCAGGTACCGTACAGCACTGTAGTAAACTGAATTGCAACCCTACGAGTTCCGGATAGCCAACTGCAAGACACTTCTTTACTCAAAGTTAACTTAAACTCAGTACGGCAAGCTGACTTTGCCAATCAGCTTCAATGTGCAACTGGCAATGTCGGTTTGCTCCGAGTCGGAGCCAGGTCCGGCACCGGCGGGCCCCGGGCCCGGTTCGCTCGGAAGCCTCGAAAGGCCGGCACTGACTGGCAGGCCCGCCGCCGTTCGACAACTAACCAGTAACTAAAGAAGTCAATCTGAGGCGGGTTGTTCTGATCGCTCGCCTTGTGCGCTTGAGGGGCGAGATGGCGGGTAAGGGCGGCAGATCGTCGGCATGGACAGCGAGAATGGCAAAAGAGATGAAGCAGCTGGTGAGGAGGAGGAAGAGAAAGAATTTTAGATTGCACGAGACGAGCTGTTGATTGACTTCTACTCTGCCTCCAGGAGATTGAGCCTCCTCCAGGGATCTCGGCGTGGCCGAGAGGGGAGCAGATTCATCTTCTCGAAGCAGGTGCAAAGCTACTTCCTTGTGCTCGACAGCTGAAGTGCTACAAGTTGTTCAAGGACCTGCCGGAACCCCTTATGAAGGAGGTGCATTCAAGTTGGAGATCAGCGTAAACACATCCCTCCTCTTCTGTACCCCATCACGAAACTGCCTTCAGGTGCCTGATAGATACCCGTTCGAGCCCCCCAAAGTTCGCTTCATGACCCCCATCTATCACCCGAACATAGACTCAGGCGGAAGAATCTGTCTTGACATCTTGAACATGCCGCCCAAAGGACAGTGGAAGCCAGCATTGAACCTTAGTACAGTGCTGACAAGCATTCAGCTGCTGATTTCAGAACCCAATCCAGATGACGGCCTCATGCCCGAGATCGTGAGTCTTGACTAGCACGAGATGATGATATGAGCTGATTGCCGTTAGACCCAAGAGTACAAGCAAAACAGGCTGCGATTCGAGGCAAAGGCGCGGGAGAGTACCAAGAAGCATGTGAGTGTAAGGAGGATCGTTGTTCTTTACGACCTCAATGTCGCTGTCAGGCTGTTGATCGAGGAAACGTCACGCTGAGCAAGTCATGGGACTCTCACGAAGAAGCTAAGGTAACCCAGGCAGTGGAGCTGTCGCACTGATTCCAGCTTGACCCAGGAGAACCGCGGGGTTGAAATTAAGGCCGGGAACGAAGAGCAAAAGCAGCAGGTAGCAAGCATGTCCGTCAATCATGTTGCAAGAACGTGAGCTGAAAGAGCGTTTTTGTGTACCAGCAAGGAGAGGATGAAGAGGAAGAATCGGATGATAACGAAGAGGAGATCGCACAAATGTGGGGAGCAACAAAACCAACCAAAGATCCAACGGCCCAGAAGCCCAGCAGCTCGGGAAAGCATGTGAGTTGTTTGCAATCATAGGACAACAAGCTCATGACACCCTTGGAGGAAGAAGAAGTGATAGCGGATAGCGAGGAAGAGCGGTCAGATGATGAGATTTTCACACGGAGCATCATCTCAGGTTTACAATGCTGCATGCCCTCCAGGACAATCGCTGACTTGTGTTGAACAAGAAGAGCCGAACCAATCGGGAAGGAAACGAGCTTACGCAGATGTATGATAGAATGTGTCATTAGAGACGGGAAGATGTAGAGAGCGCTTGTTGAGAAACTAAACGAGCAGATCACTCCGTGTCCAACGGTCTCTAGGTGACTCATGCATGCCTGACTGGTCCAACCTTCCTCGCCTTGTCTGCAAGCAAGCAGCTCATCGTGCTTTCTCGAACTCCTGCTTGACGATGTGGACCCGGAAGGAGTCAGTAGTCGTCTTGAGATCATCCTTGAGATTCTGCGTGATCCCATGAGCTACGAGTAAGACAGGTCCGAAGACTCAAACCTTGAAGCGAGTGTCAGCTGATGTCGCCCCGAGAGCAACCACAGTGGTTCCCAACCCCACAAGCTTGGCGAAGCCGTGCCTGCCGACGACCTGACAGACAGTCAGCTGAGGACATCCTCGAGATTGAAGCCGCACAGGCCCGCTGGTGATGAGATCGTAGCGGTACTCAATGTCAACAGCCTCGTTCCCATCGATAGGCTCGCTGGCCTGCATGAGATGAAGAGTAAGGTAAACATAGAGGAAGAGAAAGGGAATGCAGAGATGGAGGTAGCTGGCGGAGGAGAGACAGGAGGGAGGGCCGTGTATCAGTTAGTCAAGGATACGAGTGGCAGCGAAGGCGAGCGCAACAATGCCAAAAGGCCGATCGAGCCACTACACACCTTCTTCTTGATGACCTTGAAGCCTTGCCATCCATTGTTGCTCACAGTCTGCCATCGTCCCTCATTCTTTGTCTGCTGATCACCAGTCAACGGTACCTGAGTCAAGAGCTTCTCGAAAAATTCCGTGCCCTGCTCCACGATCTGTATGACACATTGAGGACCATGGATGGCATCAAACAAATCCGGCGAACCTTCCCAGACTCCAAGATGGTGGCAGACACGGCAGCACTGTCTCCCTTGACCTGTTTCGAACCCTTCAAGCAAGCTCTTGTCGTCCACCTCAACATCTCACGTAGTTGCCGGCCGAGACTGTTCCACTCTCACCTTCATCCACAGGTTCAGAACAACACGGCTGCTTGTCAGTGACATACCGTTGGTAGTGCTGATGGGAAGAGAGACAATCCAGGACCTTGAAGAAAAGAGGATGAGAACTCGCAGTCAACGCGCAGCTGGGAATCTGGTACCCAGGATAGTTGAAGAGCACCAGGACACGCTCGCCCGACTGCAAAGGAACCTTTCAGACTCAGAGCAGACAGGAGAAAGGATATTGAAAGAGGGAAGATGTTTTCAGATTGCCAAATCTCCGCTCCAGTCCTATCACCTTGAGCCCGACGCTGACCTTGGATCCGATCGAGTCCATGATCTTCGAGCCGTCGATGTTAGCAGCAACCTGAGAAGTTGAGCAGCTCGTCAGGTGAAATATGCTGTATTGTCACTATCGTGTACGTCCCAATATGCCCCTCATCGACCCCACCTCACTCTCTAACGTAACTCTCCCTCACTCTTGGTTCTCCGGTCTTCTCCTATTCCCTTCAGACTGTTTCTCCAAAGCAACCCCTCTCTCCTCTCTCTGCTCTCTTCTTCGTCTTACCGACCCTCCGATCGTCTGCATCAGGGGCTTGAAACCTCCAGGAACGCTCGCAACTTTGGACAGCCCGTAGGCCTCCAGTTGGGTATTCATATCCTTCAAGTTCTCACTGTACCCGAAGGCCAAACCGGCAGCATCAGCCTTAGCTGCAGACCAGCAACGGTCAGTATCGGCAGACCCTTAGGAGGAGGAAGGACCCACAGGGGATGGCGGCGGCAACTGCGGAGGCCAAGGACAGCGCCAGTACCTCACGACGGGTGGCCTGAGACTCCATGCTCATGCACACCTCGCTTGCCCGCACGTTGCGCTGAGCCCTCAATGCTGGGATGCCCTTCCCTTGAACGAGGGTTGGGGAAGGGAGAAAGCATTCTGCGCCGGCAGCCATGGCGGAAAGAAGTACAAGTTTCATGTAGGCCATGGCGTCCTTGAGGATACACAAGAGTCAAGCATTTTTTTTGCAAAGGGAAAGACCTCTCTGCTTGAAAAAATCTCTTTCCAACACGTAAAGATAATTGTAGATCATTGCATCAGTGCTCATTGCTCTTCCATTATCATCCATCTAAACTGTACAATCGCTGAATACCAATTCCTCTGCCTTCCTGTATGCTATGGCCTGTCGTCTACCTGTACCCTAACCGTGTTTTGCCTTTCTTCCACCTTCTACCATGACTTTCATAGCTTCTCCTTCCTACCCATCTGAATTGCGTCGTCCTGCGCCTCCTCGCCTCCTCTACATTATTGTTTCCTGCACTCCATTCTTTCCTCTCTCGCCGCCTCCATTGTTCTTATACCTACCACTGGCAGAGTACCCCACCCCATACATTGATCCGATTACCTCGAATGACATCACCCCTCCCTATTTCAGAGCACAGATAGTCAGATGAATGAAGGGGTCATTCGTCCATACCACCCTCGAAACGTAAGCCAACAACCACCCTACCCTCAATTACAACCCCCAGATCGGATCCCTTGTATGGTAGGGATACGAATCCAGGGATCGTGAGGAGGAGAGGGAGAGGAGAGGAAGAGAGGAGATGCACAGGAAATGATGCAATCAAGAGCTATCACTAACATGTCACATAAACTACATGATTCCGGTTCCTCTCCTCGTGCGACCTGCCTCGTCTGATGAACTCTCCTCTTGAAGCACTAGAGAAGTTGATATGACCATTAATTTCGCATCATGTCTTTTTTCGGAACATGTCAGAGATAGAAAGTTGTGAAGGAGGACGTGGAATCTTGATCGCTTCTTTCTCTGTTTTTCGCTTGGGTGCAACTTTGCGACTGGTATCCTCGATTTCACTCGATGCTCTCTTGCTGCGAGCCTGAGGAGACCCTTCTCCAGCAGAAGATGCTGCTGCTACACCCACAGCTCACGGAGGGGAGGGAGGAGGAGAGCCTTCACCTTTTCCCGGAGAGAAGAAGGACGTGACTGTGGCGAGCCGCACGAACTTCTGCAGACAAGACACTCAGAAGCCTTGAGATCAAAGGGAGAGGGTTACCAGGGCTTCGGGGATCACAAATACTCGACCTGTCGCCAAGAGTCATAGGCAGGCGTGCTCGTGCTCCTTTACCTTCGTCGATACCCTTTCGCAGATGCTCGATCCTCTTCAGGTACCCCGACACGTCAAACTTCTTCTCGAGGCCACCCGCCGTCATGCTGCCATCGCCGCCCATCAAAAAGCGAGACCTCGAATACTCCTCACCATCGCACTGGACCCAGCACGGGCCGCTCGGGAAAGGGCCTGCGACGATTCCTCCTTAGAGCAGCGAGGGAGGAGAGGGGATGAGCGATGTGGGAGGGCGAGGAAGAGGAAAGGGAGGAGGTGGAGGGGAGGGGAGGTGGCGGGAACGGATGAACCAGGGGGGAGACAGCTCGAAAGATATGGAGAGAGGAGGAGTGTCGAGGAGGAGGTACCGGTCTGCATGCCCGAAGCACCATGCTACCCCTGCAAAGGCGTTCGCCCCTGAAGCAACAATCAGTCGCCCTTAGGATCTCCCCGCGACCTTTCCTCTTCCATCCAGCTCCCACTTATTGTTCTGAGCCACCAGGAATCTATACGCATCCTCCCACTTGTCCATCCACAAGATCACCTGCAACCGGACATCAAAAGCTTCCGCTCCCATTCTCTTCCCCTCCTCTCCCCTCTTCTCCCCTCGCAGACCTGCTTGGCCCAGTACATCCTCATGTAGTTATGCATCTTCCCCGTTATGATCATCTCGAACTGATGAGCTTGGTCAGCACTCCAGCAGACTTCCACCAGCATCCCATCCCACCTGAGCAGCATTCCAGTATTGATCGTGCGTCCTGCCCTGCTCCAGCTGCTCTTCAGTATACGTGTGCGTCCGCTTCTCGTGAGCGTGGTCCCTAGGGCATGAGTCAGCAGAGCTCGAGGAGGAGAGCCCTGGACCCGAGGCCACTTCGCGCCCAGTCAGGCAGGGACAAAGGTCTGAGCGAGGCAGGGTCAGTGTCGTCAGGTGGGGGACCAGTGGGGGAGCAACTGACGAGTCGTAGCTGGGGTTGTGGAGGACGAAGTTGACCGCGAACTCTCGTCGGACAATCAGCTCCTCGAGGAAGACATCGACGTCTTGTCTGTGCTCGGGGAACTTGGAGGCGAACTCTCTGGCCTTCATTGCGATTCTAACGGGAGAGATCTGACCGAACTGAAGGTAAGGAGACAGATGGCTCTGCCTGGGCACTGGTCAGCTGGTATCGGAGGACAGGCGCAGCTACTTGCGCAAGCTCGGATCGTTCCTCTTCAGCTGGTACTCATTGATTGCCTTTCCGTCAGCTCCCGAAGTCAAAAACTTTGACAAGAGCTCTTCAGCCTTGCAGGATCTCCATCACTCTGACAGCACGATCCTTCACCAACTCACTCGCGTCTCTCCTCCTTGGAGGAAGCAGGAGCAAGGAGGTACAGTCCGATCCACCACCAGCTGCTCGAGTTCGCATGCGCAGCACACATGAGCAATCAGCCGAGTGACAGGGATACTTTTACCTTGCTCATGATCTCGTCGAGAGGCAAGCTCATGTCCATCAGCTCGAGATCGTCATGCTTGTCAAAGTTGCTTTCAAAGTCCATGTCCACCGAAGGGAATAAGACGCGCTGCTCGCCTGCAGAGACCAGATATTTCTGTGCTGAAGCTCAGACAGCTTTCAAACAGGGCAAGTCTCACGTCGATCCACTTTGAAACCTTCGGCCTGAAAGTCGCTGCCGCCGGCTCTTGTACTTTGGACGCCACATCAGTTGGAACAACAACCTGTACACGTCAATGAATTGGCGTGCTCGAACACGATTGTTGTTTCACCTCTCCCTCAACGAGGACGATCTTCGTTGATGACTTGGCAAGAAGTTCTTTCCTCCACCCTCGCACTGTCCTTGTATACCCACAATCGAGCACAGTGCAGCAGGACTTGTCTTGAAGCAGAAGGATGGGATCGGGTGGCCTTCCTTTGACGACTGTAAACTTGATGCCCTGCCTCTGCAGGTTCAAGGAAACTTCTCGTAGCCCTTCTACCATGAAGGTGAAGTGCCTGCCCGGACAGGTCAGCCCTTGAACTTCCCCACCCGCCCCTCACCTCTCATTCGCCTCGGGGTACTTCTCGAAGAGGCAGAAGATGACCCAGAGAGGTTTCTGCATGTGGTTGCTGATGGAGATGGCGTGCTGCAGAGCATGGTTTTCTCTTGTTCGCTGAGCAGCGCTCATCCAGTACAGCACGTACAACCCTTCCTTCACCACCTCCTTCAGCGTTCGCTCCCTTGCCATGCCTGCGGCCCCCTTGTTGAGGCGGGCCCGATACTCCAGCGTAAATCGGTCATGGTCACAGGAAGAAGTTGAGTCTTCTTCTGCGAGTCATGGGGTTGCTGTCCAACCATGAGTGCCATGTAGCGACGAGCCTTCAACCAACTCGATCATGCTATTCTCAGGCTGCCAGACTCTGGGTGATGATGTACGGACACTACTCAGTGTTTCAAGGATGGAATTCTGTCAGTGAACAGAGACCTCAAAGCATCAGAGATTAGCTCTCTACAGTGGTATCAGCCAAGACACGAGGTTGACAATAATCCTCCCTACCAGAGCAAACAGTCCGCCGGTATGTAAACCGCATATGTCAACCGTCACAGAAAGAGGGACTCCGTAGAGGGGGACATGATGGACATTTCGTCAGTTTCACTGACACCTAATAACAATCCTTCTTCATATCTCCTCAATAAATTCCGTTGGAATTCATGAGGTAGTCGTCAAAGTTCAAGATCTGATCCACGCCGTTGGGGCCAGTGAGCTGGAAAAAAGTCACACGAGCTCAGATGACGCGAGGTTTCGAGGAACGGCAAACGAGAGCCTCACCACTCCCTGAGAAGAAGCATAGGTGTACGGGTTGGAGGTGCTGTGGTCAGGGAGAGACCTCTCATTGTCGACCTGGTTCTCATTGTATTCCTGAAGAAGCGATCAAACATCACTGACAGGTTCTTTCGCACATGCTCCCAGCAAGCTGATCTTACCAGGTCTTCCTCTGGAACGTTCTCGCCGACAGCCTGTCCACTTCAATCAGAGAGCAGGCAACATGGAATCGTTCGATCTCACCGTGTCAGCATCGTCCATATACTCGTTATAGTAGTAGGACGACGGACCCCTAACACAGCGATCAACAACAACAACATTTGTCAGCACATCTCCGCTATTCACTTGATTGTTCCTGGTCCAGGATTCTCCCAACCATTCTGATAGATCCAGTCGCTTCCATGTCCGTATTCCTGCCATTGAAACGACGTGTCAGTTTCTGTACCTGCTGAAGCTGCTGAGGCTTACCGGGCCGTTGGCCGTCATAGTGGTAGCCCACTGATATCCAGCTGTGACGATACAACGTGTCAAAGGGCGCAGATGGATTTGAATATGATAGGAAGAGCAAAACAACTCAACAGAGTGGTCACAGGGACTGGATCTGTCCAACCTGGATGTTCAGGCGCATCAGGATTCTCTCCATTGATGAAGTTGTATTCTCCGGTACCGAGGCCACCCTTGTGCACGTTCACCTCTGCCATCCCTCATCGCAGGAAGTTACCTTGTTGGTACCGAGTGCTGGGTTGTTCATTGGGTTCAAGGCACCATGGTACTCGAGGACAGAGCTTCATTTGTCGCGTCAGCTGGCGAACATGGTGCGACATGTCACGCTTACGCTCTGGAGTTGTCGTTGATGGCAACATGAGCAAGAGCAAGAACAGCCAAGAAAGACACTGCAACCAGGCTTCAGGCTGGAATCGGTGGGAACATTGACCATACCTGCGATAGCCACAGCCCCCCTCCTCAAGGAGAAGGAAGAGCGCTGAGCGAGCTCCTGCCCAACCATATCAACATAGCCCAAATACAACAACAAAATTGCTCGTCCAAGTATCACAACGTGGACGCAAACTATCGCTCATAATCCAGATAACGTGACAAACAGCGAACACAACAAAAGAAGTTGAGATGCCATGATTCATTTCTCTTGCAGGATTCGGCGGTGGAAGAAGAAGACAGAGCATAGAATAGGAGATCATATCTGCATTCTTCTTCTTTCCGCCAAAATCTTCTCCTCCCCATGCTCACCATGCCAGGAGCAATGGTCCCGTAGCTCCGCATTCCGCGCCAGTGAAGAGTCGTGTGCCCCTCATCCCCACTATTTCGATTGCCCTGATTGCCCTGGATGCCTGCTGGATGCCCCTCATACAGGATCAGTGGTCAACCGGCAATCGCGGATTCTTCCTCCGACCGGAGGAAACAATGAAGAATAATCTCCTTGCTGACGGGGGATCAGCACTGAAGCTTCGACGCAGAAGATGGAGGTAGGGAGGGAGGCTGAGGAGACGTGCTGAAGGAGCGAGGAGAGATCCATGACTGCACTAGGCAATGATGGTGAAGACAAGAGGCCATGAAGAGAAGTGGGCATCCGATCGAACTCCAGCCAGTGGCAAGCACTGTTAGAGGACGGTCGTAGAGCTGTAAACTCCGTAACTGCGAACGCGGCAGCCATGGCTCTAGACCAGAATGATGTCTACAACTTTGTAGGCTTCAGCATTCTCTTTTCAGCATGGATGGTGTTCTTCTTGTTCTTCTCTTCTCGCCTGATAGGCTTCCTGATATCTTTTCTTCTCAACCACCTGGTCTTTCACAGAAACGTTCTAATCGACATCAAGGGCATCCACTTTGCTGTGCTGAGAGGGTGCATCAGTGTAGGAGAGATCAAGATATCAACTCCGAACATGAACTTTCGAGCTGTAAGTGGGTACCTTTCGATCGCCTGGTGGCGGGAGTGGGCCAGGGACGGCACGACGATGATTCTCAATCTGAGTGGGCTGGAATGCGCTCTTGTCAACAACACAGCCAAGTACAACATCCTCGAAGAGCTGCTGGGAAGATCAAGGAACGAGACCGTTGAGATCGAGGAGAGCCTCCCGCCAAGGGCTTCAGGGATCTTCTGGCTTGCTCGCATGATCGGGATCAGAATCAACATGGGGACTATCACTATCGGCAACCCGAGCTTACCGACCATGGTCATCCTGGGATTCGAGGCGGCCAAGGGGAAGTTTGCTCTGCACCAGGACAAGAGGCTCTGTAGCCGTGTTGAGCTTGACTTGGACATAGTCGGCGTCAAGGTGAAGGTATGCGAGAACGAGGGATTTCAAGAGGACTTCTTCCGGCCGGGGGACCCTCGCAGGACCTTTCGCTCCCACCTCTTCTCCTGGGAAGCTTCGCACGTGTGGCACGGCATGGTTGCCGGGTTCAAGGACGCGTTTCCGTTCCTTCAGCACCTGGTGGACGGCAACGACAACATGTCAGATTGTGGAAGAAGTTCGATGGAAGGGGGTGAGAACGACGATCAGAGCAGGGCAGAGATAGGAGCGCAGAGCGGAACGAACAGCAGCGGGAGAGTGAAGTCGAGGGAGGGTATCGAGGAGATCCTGTCCAGTCAGCTGATCCACCTCAAGTTCTACGACCACCTGTCAGGGTTCCGCAGGGAAGTGAATGAGCCGTTGGAGTTCTGTGGAATGGAGCATGTGCAGGATCTTGAAAGGGGCCTGAGACTGACAGTCGTACATCCCACGATCGTCTACGGACCGTGGGAAGACAGGCAGAGGGCGATTCTTCAGAGTTTCTATTTCCCATTTGACTTCCAGGAGCGGCGAACGAGGAGGGCAAAGGCAGGTTACACGTCAGATCGATGCGGCTTCAGGACGAGAGTTGAGATCCGGGGATCAGTCCGCTTCAAGCTGCCGTTCAGCAGGGAGTCCAGCAGCAGGAAGGTAGACGCTAGATCCTCGTACACTCGTTACCTCGAGTCAGACGCCTTCCTAAAGTTCTTCAGCGGAACCACGAGGGAGGACGGGCGATCGTGCCCGTCTGACGTGTTCGAGACTTTCGGGAGGGGAGGGAGGCAGGATCAGGATAGTGCAGAGGCGCCACGTAAGGACCAGGGAGTCGAACAGCAGGAGGAAGGAGGGTCAGGAGGGTCGCACTCGGACCTTGAAGCTCTAGAGCAGGACGGGACTTCATCGTCAGAGACGACGGAGACGAGCTTCGAGAAGTCTGAGGATGGATCGACTGAGGAGGAGGAGGAGGAGTACGTGTTGAATTCAGTCTTGCCGGGAGACAGAGTGGACTCCCTCCCCCTGGTCGTTGTTGTCAACAACTTCGTCCCCTTCCACTACTCGCAGCAATCTCTCCACGAGAACTTCACGGATGTTGAGTTCGTAGAAGATGTGTCCATCTCGACCAGCATCGTCAGTGTCAAGTCTCAGAATGTGTTCTGGAAAGCTTCCAAGTTCAAGTTGAGCGTCTCGGTCCTGTCCGGGAAGAGGTACAACGACCTAAGAACGATCACATGGAAGATCAAGAGCACGAACAGCAGGCTGATTCTGCTCAGAGATCATGACAGACTGATTGCCTCGTTGATCTCCGATTGGATCTGGAAGCCTCCTGGAGTGCAAGCTAACGTGGACCCTGCGCGTTTCATGCCCAACATCGTCAAAGTGTTTGTGGACATGGATGGCAAGCTTGAGGTCAACCTGATCGTGAACGAAGACAACGTCGTCAACGATTTTGCCGACGATGACAACAACGCAATCCTGATGCTCAGGGCGAAGTCGCTGAGGGTGGAGACCCGAACTTGCAATGATGTCTTGCAGGCCATGAAAAGTGAGACTCAGTATGTGGTGTCTGTCGAGAGCCTGAATGGGATCATGAAGGAAGAAGCTCCTCGGAGCATCTCGCAGTTCATCTCTGGCCCCCTCCCAGAGTTCTTGAAGGGGAGGGGCCTGAGGGTATCAGGAAGCGTCCTCCGCCACAAGTGGAACGGGAAGGGCTATGCTGATATCGACAACTCCTCGATCTACATCGATGCGGATGGAGTAGTTCTGTTTGCCCACGGGCACTCACTCTCTACCATCAGCAACTTCATCAACAACTACTTCGGGTCCTGCTCGATCGCCGTCACAAGGAAGGAGTTCAATGCTACCAAGGACAAGAACGGCATCTGGGGTTGGAATCACAAGCAGCAGAAGACCTTCCTAAAACAGTTTCTCCGCAAGCAGGATCAGCAGGTTCCCAACAAGAACGAAACCTTTTTGCGCATCACCCTGTGCGATGTCTCCCTAGAGCTCCCCGAGCACGAGATCATCACCGCAAGGAAGCAGTCGTTTGCAACGGCACATGTCAACGAAGTCATCATCGAGATCCGCAACCAAACTCAACAGAGTGACCTGACCCTGCTCGTCTCACCGGCCTCCCTCCACTTCAAGAGTCCATCTGACAAGGTAAGGGAGAAACCAAGGAGCCCGGGCTCTGCTGGGGTTGTGCGCATTGACGGCATCGAGCTGCACCACAAGAAGCTCCTCGGGTCTTATCCCATGCAGCTGGTCTATCATGTATCCACCAGGATCATGTGCGGCAGGTGCGATGGCGAGATGTCTCCTACTCAGTTCCAGTCGTTGCTCGGCTTCTTCCAGCAGCTCCTGTCGTCCAATCACCGTCCTCTTAACATCGAGACCGACGTCGTTCCAGGCAGACTGTGGCAGCGTCGCCTCTCCTACGATATCTTAGATTGCCAAGTCGACGTCGTCTCGCTCACTCTCACGGACCCTTCCTACAAGATCCAGCTCGAGCTGTCTCAGGGTCTGCAGGTCAAGGGCGACTCGCTCGTCTGTAATGAGCATCATGCAGCCAAGATCGTTCAGGTACCCTCGTGCAAGCTTGTCCTGTGCGATGCTGCTAAGGACCCGTTCTACGTGTTCAACACGCTCCTCCCGAATCGTTCCTGCAATGCCAACACCCTCTGCTATGAGCTCGCCAGGGTGCAGACTTCGTTGGTGATCAGGCTGTTCAAGAAGTACTCGACATCAAAAGAGGACGCCGAGAACCAGTTGACCTTCCTGGTTGAGAACGACAGGCAGACTGGAAGGCTTGCCGACGTGATCGCAAATGAGAAGCAGAAGATTGGGGGGAGGCCAGGAAATATCTCAGAGCGCTCCTTCTCCAAGACTCCCTCCTCCGAGGTGTACACGACGGCTGCGGACTTCATCACTGCAGACGACGCTTCCTCTTTCTCAACGTCCGACGGGTCGCTCCTTGACAGCGATGATGACTTCCGAGAAGTGTCGGACACTTTGATGGAGAGAGAAGAGTTTTCGGGTCAAGTTTCCACGTCATACGAGGTAGTCCCGCTGAACTTCTCTTGTTCTTGTGCCAACACCAAGGCAGCGACGGTCAAGATGGCGAAGTTGAGACTGTACACTCCCTTCCATCCTAAGTCCTTCACTACTTTTGACCAGAAGGAGTTCGATCGCGTCAAAGATCAATTCATGGATGACTACGACAGGAAACTAGACACGCTTCTCGGGGAGAAGACGGTCAGGGTGAACGGGTGGAAGGTTTTGCAGCACGAGCAGCTCCCTTCCTTGAACCAGGACGGGAAGTCAGAGGACGTCTTTGTGGAAGAGCAAGTCTGTGTGTCAGCAGGGCTGGTGCAAGCGAGCGTGTGCGACATAGCCCTGTTGAAGCTCCTCTCCTTAGCAGAGAACCTTCCTCATCTCACCAGCTCTGTGGAGGGATGTTTGAGTAGGATGAAGCGGGCGAACTCTCCGCCGTCTGCGTCATACGCCTTCAGCGCCTTGCACGAGAGGAGGAAGACGGTGGTGGTGAATGTGGATGGGACGGAGTTGAAACTGTTCAAGCTGTCGGAGGACGAGGCGACAGCTCCTGAGCAGAGGAACGTGAGGTCAGAGATGAGGAAGAAGAGGGAGAATGGGAAAGAGGACGAGGTGCTGAGCAAACTTGTCCTTGCCTTCGGCTTCAAGACGATCAAGTCGAAGATAAGCCTGTCAGAATGGCAGGATCCCTTCATTCAGCAGTCCAACGTCAACGGAGAGCAGGAGGGAGCGATGAAGAAGGAGAAGAAGATTGCAGTCGACTTCTCGATGAGGAAGATTCTTTGCTTCTTCTGCATGCAGGGGTACAGCAGGTCCTTCTTGAGAGAGCAAGTCGGGCTGCCCAGCAGCATGATGCACAGGGTCATCGGAGAGTCGTTCCTCCGAGCTGAGGAGGATGAGAGCTTGCGGCACCTGCTCATCGTTTCTGTCGAAGGCCTCACGCTGAGCCTCAACAAGACGGTGATAGCAGATGTGTCAGAGGTCGATGACTGGCAGCTGAATGTCGGAGCCGTCCTGTCTGCCATGGATCAGACCTGCATCGCCTCCCTGCTGCCCTTCCTTGTCATGTACGCGGAGATTGTCAAACGGTTTCAAGACAACCTCAGGCAACGGACCTCGATCATGAAGCGAAACATCGGCATGCTCATCGATCAGGCTGTGCCTGACACTGTCCGAACTTCCCAGCTGAACAGAACGTCGTCGTTCAACTCCTTCTCCACCGACTCCTCACACGACCTCCCCAACTTGAACCTCTCTCACCTCAGAAGGAGCAAGAGCGACGATCCGAGGAACTGGAAGGACAGTCGCTTCAAGTCTCCGCAAGCTATCAAGAATCTGCAACGACACACCAGCGAGGACTACCGGCGTATTGCTTCCCAGCTGTCGAAACAAGTTTCTTATCACTCCGTTGTGACGTTTGTTCGGGCTTGCTCAGGTCATGACATCAAGGAGCTCAACAGTTGTTTGAAGTTGCCGCAATCCTGGGAGTTTGTCTCCCCACAGACTCTGAAGGCTGTCTGCGGTGCATGCAAGCTCAAGAGCCAGGAAGAAGAAGCGAGTGTCTCAGACTGGAGTTGCGTCGTGTCTGCCTCATTCCCCAAGTTCACTGTCCTCACTCTTCCCCCTGGATGCTCTCTGGCGGGGTCAGAGAAGGAGCTTCGGTCACTCAATCTGAGCGACATCTCCTCCAGTGAGGCGTTCAGAAAGGCCAACGACATCAGCTGCCTGCAGATCCTGGATACCAAGGTGACGGTGAACGGGAACATGTTCAGCTCGCAGCCATCAGCGGAGAGGAGGGTTCCCAGCTCGTTGAGAGCGAACAGGCAAGGAGACCTGAGCATCATCGCCAACGTGCAATGCAAGAAGATAAACATCCACATCTTCCCTCTCTTTGCTGAGATGGCCGAGACGGTCTCGACCGTGTGCAGGAGGGTCGGCCGACGGTTTGCATCAGGGGTGATCTCCTCCTACCTCGAGAAGGAGGCGCAGACTGTGAAGTCCAGCAAGAGGATCGTGTCGTTCAAGGAGAACATGGTGGAGTGGAACGGAGAGGCGGAAGAGAAGAGCAAGCGCGATGTGTGCGTGGTGCTTCCTATCCAGGGGGTTCTGAAACGGGTGGACATGCCCAAGGACACCAGGAAGGAGCCAATGACGTTTGCCGCCGCCCTCTCAACGCAGGGGGACAAGAAGTGTATGAGGGGGATGAGAGGTCTCGCAGCCCACGGGAGGAGCAACTCTCTGCCCTCTTTCTCGGCCGTTGAGAACGCCCTGGCGATCAGCAACTTGCTGTCGGACCTGATTGCGAAGCCGTCGGAGGGGGAAACAGCCAAAACAAGGAGGAGGAAGACCAACACTAAGATCCACGTCTACTGCCAACTTGATGTGGAGCTGTGTGCCGACCTCCCTCACGTCGGGCGGGTAATGCTGGTGATGTCGCCCATCTCCCTCCTGCTCACCGACGTTGGGGACGCGAAGGAGCAGCAGGGAAAGAAGATGAAGACGGGAGTCTCGTCACAGATCAAGACCATAGAGGTCAAAGTTGAGAAGATAGCAGAGGACGAGTTCTCGTCGTTGGGGTCGATCGTCGGCAGGGAGATCAATCTGTCCGTCAAGACTTGCTCAGTCTTCCCTGCTCGTCAATCATCCGAGCAGACCAAGGGCGCTGCAGGTGTGAAGAACTTCCAGGAAACTATGAGGGCTGCAGTGACGGAGCAGGAGCACGAGGAGACGGGAGGGATCTTAGACATCAAAGAGCTCCAAGTCCTCGACGTCTCCCTCAACAAGGTCGATGGCAACCTGCTCCAGAAGCTCGTCTACGCGTGGTTCCCTCCCTCCAACAAGATTGAGATCGCGTCTATCCGTTCAGGACTGGACGGGGGAGGCCAGGGGGGTCACGGGAACTCGGTCCTCGAGCTCATCCTCCGTGTGCAGAGTCTGCGCGCTAGCGTGAAGGTTCTACAAGACGTCTCCCTGAACTACGTCATAGCTGACGGGCTCAGCACAACCTGGCGCCGATACGTCCTGTGCGACTACGATGAAGTGATGAGAGAATCGATGAACCGTCAAGCGCACTCGCTGATCACTATGAGGGTCCACAAGGGGAACCTCCGGAGCTCGAAGCAGGGAGGGGGCAAGGACAGGCATCCTGCCATCGCCCTCCCTGAGATTCACCTGGTGACGGAAGTCCTTACCAACGGAGGCCGGGCCGCGTTTGACGGGAGGCTGCACAAGGGAGGGGAGAGAAGGACGGAGGGCAGGGCGACTGAGGTGAGTGAGATCAAGTTGCTGGTCTCTGTCGAGCAGGTGTGCAACGAGGTCCGAGCTGAAATCCTCAATCATCTCCTGGAGATCCAGAGGACGATGAAGAACGAAATCGACGTCTTCCTGCAGGAAGCTGAGAAATACGCCAAGAGGTACTCCTCCTCTCCCTCCGGCGACTCTCGGGTGCTTCTATCTCGCATCACCTTCCACGTCACCTTTGTGATGATGGGCATTCGGCTGAGAGTTGCCTCCCCGTCTGCCTCGCTCATGCTGGACACGGGGTTGATCTCCGTGCAGGCTGAGCTGAAGCCCAGCTCGTCTCTTCACAGCTCATCGATGTGGAGGGTTGCCCTGGACGGCTTCACCCTGGCACTGACCTCTACCTCCGTGAAGGCTTCGTCCTCCACCCCTCGAGACGCCAGCGCGTCAGGTCCCAAGAGGAAGCAGAAAAAGAACTTGATCCAAGCTCAGATGACGACCAACCTCAAGGTGCAGAACTACGCAGGGGAGACGGCGATGTCGTCGGACCTCCAAGAGGACGTGGTGACCTGGCTGCCGTCACGAGAGGAAAAGGTCGGATCTCCTCACAAGCTCTCCATCTTTATCAGGAACACGACGATCGTCGCACGTCCTGGTTGCGTGCGGACGTTCATAGAGTTTGGCAACCATTACGTCGAGGCATACAAGGCATACCAGGAGCAGAGGAAAGCGATTCACCTCGAGGCCCTGGATAAGTCGATCAAGCGGATGGTCAACTCCGGGAAGACAGCAGCCGGCAGCCGCCTGATGAACAAGAACCACGAGAGCTTGATGAACAACATCTACTTGCATGTCGAGCTGCGGGAGACAGTGATCTCCATGGTTTACGAATATGAGATCTCCAACGATTTCTGCTTCACCGTCGACGAGAAGGCGAAAGCGTCTGATTACTTCCAGAGCTTCTTGTCGATAAGAGATCAACAGCAACAGGACAGGCTTGGCTTGCACAACGCTCGATCTCTGATAGCCTGCCTGCATATGATTGACCTCAGTGCAGAGAGCTCGTCCTCGTCCTCGTCCTCCACCTTCGACCGAATGATGCTGTCACACCTGGACTTCCAGAACCTTGCTGTCGGCTTCTCGTCCGAGAAGTTGAAGCTTCCTGACAGCCTGCAGTCTTACGATCATCTGAGAAAGCTGCTGAGTGCTAACGGGTTCATCCTGAAAGAGGCCTCGGGCGATTTCAGTCTCATCGCCAAGCAGCCGACAGGAGCAGCGTACGAGGAGCTCGAAGTTTGTCTAGTCATGTCGCTTCCCTCCTTCGAGATGGAGATGGACTCGCAAACGGTCGAGAGCTTCTTTCAGTTCCACAACTCCTGGGGGATCCACAGAGCCTTCGACTCTCCCTACTACCAACAATCACCCGACCCCGACAACGTCGAGGAGGACCAGGAAGCAGCGACGGAGCCGGCGGAGAGAAGCACGCTGAGGCTGATGGACTTGAAGTCTGAGAAGAAGTTCAGATGCGTGAAGTTGAACTTGTCGCTTCATTCAGCGACGGGCATCCTCACCATCTATCACAAAGCAGGAAGCGACACCCGGAGGAGGCACAAAGTCGCACCCAAGAAGCCTGATAGCAACGAGGAGCCTGACATTCTCCTTTGCGTTCCCTTCCCCGAGTTTGACATCGCGGCCTGCGGCAAGTTGTTCTTTGCTATGAAGGGATTCGGAGGCAAGGCGGACAGAGAAAACTCTCAGATCCCTTGGAGGTGGAAAGGAAACTCGCAGATTGATATCGACGGGGAAGTTTTCAGCCTCCCGGACACCCTCATAGTCTGTGAGATGCGCATGCCTCGAGATAAGCAGGGAAACGTACGGGAGCTCTGGTTTTCTCCCCTCGTCCTCGACTTTCTCAATGAAGTCCTCAGTCTGCATTCGCAGTACACGAGTCGTATTCAAGCCTCAAAGTCCAGCCCTCCTCTGTCTGTGACTCCTGAAGCCCGATCCGCAAGGAGCGAAGGGAAGGGACAGCAGCGCGGCGCTATCAAGATGCTGATGAACAGGACGGTCTACTCCATGCGGTTCGCGTCCTTCGACGTCAGACTGTCAGCCGTGGAGTCAGGAAAGCCCGAGCTCGACAATCGCGATCTCTTCGCCGTCCTCTCCATCCAGAAGCTCGACCTCATGACCTGCTTCAGCTCGCGGGAGCAACTTCGGGAGGGGACGATGCACCTTGCGGATGGAGTCTGGAGGTACCTGTGCCTCAACGTGGAGCAGGTGACGTTCAAACTTGTCCAGCAACAGATCGACTCGACCATGGTGAGGAGGGAAGGAGCTCATCCTGACTCCTACGTCAGCTTCCAAGGCATCTCGGCATCCGCCACCTCCTTCGAGAACAACAATCAGCTGCTGACGTCGTTCATCGCGACCTTGGTCTCAGTGAAGGGCCTTGTCAACATTCGATCCATGTTCAATGCTTCGTCGCTGCTTGAATCTTGGTTGGTTGCTGGCAAGAACATCTCCCTTCCTCACAAAGCTGGCAACCTCGTCGCTCCACGTCGTTCGTTCATCTCGCGCGTGAAGGAGCGAAAGAAATCTTTCTTTCGCTTGTCTGTGCAAGTCAAGGAGTGCAACGTTGCCGTCGAGCATCCCCTAGGTCATGCCAGGTTGAGCAACAAACCCGGCATGGACGAGCGGAGGGCCCATCCCATCACCTTCTACTTCGACAAGGGATCGCTGGATCGAGACAAGGCGGGGCTGCAGCAGCAGGAAGGCATCGCCTCCTGCACTCTCGGTGAAATTTGACTTGGAACAAGCGGAGAGTTGTGACCTGGTTACACCAGATATGATCAGAGTTGAAAGCCCCATGAGAGACGATTCTCTCTTGAAGATCGCGAGCGCTCTTCAGCAAGGATACTTCTTGAAGCAGACGGAGCCGGACGAGAAGATGAACAGGTGATGACCTCAGTCATGCATATGTTTGCTTGGCCAGTCATGCATATGTTTGCTTGCCTTCCTCTAAACAACATGGCACCTCAGAGCAATGTCGCTGATCGCTGGCTCGAAGTACGCCTTCTGCGACCTGAGGTCCATCCGACACTGATCGCGAGATCTCTTGACATTCTTTTTCTTAGCCTGGATGGCTCCAAAGTGCTTGAGCTCAGGTCCAACGACACGCATGCAGCCATCAACAGCAGCTTCCCAGGTCATGGGCACGAAGGGGATCCTGTTTCCAAGCTGCTCCTGAGGTGTTGAAGAGCATCCACACTTACCTCCTCAGATATAACTAATGGATCATTTCAGATTTTCTCGTCTGTTGATTCACGTTTCAAGTGAGACAACTCCGACCCTGATGAGCATCTGGAAGAGAATGTCATCTGCCCTCCAGACAAGCAACAAGACTGCTAGGAAGGTTCCTCTTGGTCTTTGTTCGCTCCCCCACTACTCACTGGTCCTTTCTAAAGGCCCCCAATGGAGATGCAGCTGGGAAGAATGCTCATCAACATCTGTCAAGATCCTTCTCAGCGTTTACGACGGACGCGGAGTACGAGACACAGGTGAAGGAGAGGAAGAAATCATTCAAGGAAGCGTTGCACCCGAGTCAAACTCAGGTCTCGGAAGGACAGATGGTGAGGAGGGATCCCTGTTGTTGGAGGAGTCCAGGGCTCTCTGATCCCTCCTGCAGGTGATGGGAGCGATTGCCATCGTAGGTGAAGAGATACACGTCACCTGTTTCGACAGCAGCATAGCGGAGGGTGTTCAGTGTTGTCAAGTATCCATCCACGATGTTGTTCTGAACTTCCAGATGGAAGAGAACCTGGTAGGATAAAGGACTATCTCACGTGAAATGTTGCGCTGACTTGTCCCAAGGCTGAATCTGATATGTATCGCTTCTTGCAACTGAAAGCAAACATGGTGTATGTCATACGAGTAAGCAAAGGCCCGCCTTCCAAGGTCAGTTGACGTGTCGTTTGGTGCCCTCCTGTTGATTCTTGCAACCAGGACATCACTTGCAACAGGATCAAGCAGGGTGTTATGCGACATCTTGGCGCTGACTACATCGTTCACATTCCCGACATTACGATCGATTTGTCTACCATACAGATTTGTAGCGGTGATCATTTGTACTCATCAGCCTGCTTGTGGCGTCTGATGCTCTTTGCAGGTGGCAAAAACCGCTCGAAACTTGTTCATTGTGAATTCGACTCAAACTTCAAATCTCCCATCGAGGTCAATGTGGACTTCTATCAATACGAGTATCTACAGCAGCTGTTCAAACGATACAAGGTTTTTCCTTGCGTCTGCACTGGATGATGAGAACTGACGGAAAGCTTCAGAACTCAAGGAGAGACGACATGTCCTCAGACTTCGATCATCCTCCTCTGAACGACTTGTTTTCTCCTCTCTCAGAATCTCAAAGTCGATCTTCATTGCAGCGTGAGAAGAACTTGACGCAAGGCCTCAAGCTCGACTACAGGTGCGCCAAATGCGGTCGTGTCTCGCGGGGCTCAGGCTCACAATCCTGATGAAGGTGCTTGAAGTTCAAGCTTGAACCACCGATCGCGGCCATCAGTGAAGTGCCGATTGACATCATAACGATCTTGAGCTGGCTTGGGATCCGCAAGAGAGAGACGATAGTTGGGATGGTAAGGGTTGCGCGCGATCTTTCGCTCCTGACAGACTGCGGCAACAGCTTCACGAGGGGATCATACAGAACTCCGAGAAGATCCTCGACCAGGTCAACGCGCGTCTCAAGGGCATGGACCCGCACGGCGTCACTGACAAGTAGTCGGTAGATCATGTTGTACTAGTATGTAAATACCTCTTGAACTCTCTCACTGAGAGTCAGCAAACCGTCAGTATGAAAGGGCTGCTCAGACTCGACTCGGCCAGTCGGACTTCCGAATTAATCTGGCGGTCTGATGGATCGCATGCCAGCCGTGCCAGTCAGATAGCGCCGAGCTAACAAAAACGGTGGCCAGCGGGTGTGTTGATCCGATATGCATAGTACTGCCGGCCGCCCGGCACCTGTAAACCAATTGTGTTTTCGGTGCCGGCCGCCCTCAGACGCAGTGCTAAGCATACAGCACGGTCTATCCGACTGTGACTCATGAAGGCTGGCTTGTTGCACCTGATGTCGATATGATGTCTGCATTACTTTGGCTTAGTACAAGTCTAACAAACTTGCCAGTTGTGCTCCGTCCCCCGACGGTACCGTCGGGTCAGCCTGGTGACTCACTAACACTGAGAGTCGGGGGCCGGGGGGCGGCCCGGGCGGGCCGCTTGCAGGGGAACATGCGGTTTGATTCGATTTCATTCGATTGATGTGCCGGTTTCGCTCGAAAAAGAACTTCTTAAAATATTTTTTAAACGGCCCCGCGGGACTCTTTTCCAAATATCTTGCGCAGACTCAAATATGTTTCTGTAAATTCAAGATATAAAAAAATATTTTGAACCTTGAAAACAAATCGGATATTTCCTCTTCGTTGCACACATTGACCTGCTTCTACCCCACCCCTCCTCGCTCCTTCGGAACCCCACCCCCGACAGGACACAACCCCACCACCTCCCATGGCCGCAACCATACCGACCTCCCTTCACAAGATACAAGGACCCCTGTAATATATTTCGCAAGTACCGGTGGTTGTCCTTGCTTTTTTTTAAAGGATTTTTTGCGTGAAAAGGCACAGGACTGGAGATGACATCTGTGGAGGGTTCCCATGACGGGGGTGGGCACTGTTAAGTACCGGTAGGTGATAGCTGAGCTGTAGTCATATGATCAGGGGTACAGTCGGATGGTTGACGTTTGACCTGGACAGGTAGGGGTACGTTTGTCAAGGTGGTAGGTAGGTGGTGCGTCTCTTGAGGAAATGCAATGATTCACATGACCACCCCTATCTTGCTATTGAAAAAATACCCTTCCAGATGAATCACCCCTCTTTCCCGCGAAAAGTACCCTCACCCCTTGGAACAACCGACATTGCTACCCACCCAAAGGCGTTCAAACCTGACGGAGTCAACCACCCTACCCCCCAGCTCCATGCCCGTCCCTCACCCCCTTGTGGCCCCTTCATCACCCCCACCATCTACCCATTAGAGATCTCGTAAATATCACCCCGATGAGAAGACTACCCCCTACCCCCGAAAGGCACCGATTGACTCGTTTTCAATCATCAGTACCGGTACTTTGGATATCAAAGATATGGGTGATTGATCACCCCACCCCACTAATTGGGGCCCTCCTGTCCCCATTCCTAGGGTTAGCGCATCGCAATGGTGCAACCCTCAGGAGCGGTTTCATGACGATCCTAAGGACTGTTTCTACCATCACCCTCGCTCATCGCCATATCATTGAACACAATTGATGATCTTCATCGTCCCACATTCATTCACCTCTCAAACCTCTTGTATCTTTCCTCTCACACAGAGTTTGTTCTGCTGAAGGCGCTTTCGGTACATTTCGATGCACTTACCTCGAAACTGCTTCCCCCTGCCGCTATATTGTTGCTGATATGAGACTCCATGGTTGTTTTGGTTGAATGAGCTAAAGCTGTGCATATCAAAAGTGGACCAACCTTTGCATGACTTCCATCTCTCGTGCTCAAGTTGTCCTCGATGCTGCTTTTCTCTGTCTGCATCTTAAGCACGAAGATAGATGTTGTTGCTTCTTGTTTGCTGTTGAGGATCAAAGAAGTATACACGATCAATGATTTCACATCTATTCACGCATATCAGTACCAGTGCTGATGACAGCCTCCAAAATTATCCCAGGCATTACAGACTTGACAAGAAATGTCCCTACTTGTTGCAAGGCTGCAAGGACTGACTTGAATGTTCTCAGTTGAGGCTTCTAACCGTGCGAGCGTTGGAAAATGACAGATAGTCGAGAAGAACACCGCAATCAGCAGGTGAAAGTCACTTCAACTTTGATTTGGTGTTACATCCTTTGCAATAGAGCTGATTGTGGGTCTCCAGGGTTTACGAGGTGAAGGCACCTCGCATCCTAACCACAGGCCGTTGGCTCCGGTTTACATCCGCTCTTCGGATGCAAACTCTGTCATAGCATCTCTCAATGGAGCTGTGGAGTCTTCCAATGATGTTTTTACTGGTGTCCCCCAGGAGGTGCTAGACCGAGATACCTGTCGCATGAAATATGCAGATGCTATACTTCGGGAGCTTGAGAAACAGAATGAGAAGCAGGAATCTGATGCGAAAGACAAGTCTGAATCGACTGATGCCCAGAAAGGATGCCCGCATTCTGCAGGACTCATCATACCTGGTCTTCAAATCGACACGGAGGAGGACGACAGGCTATGTGAAGTATGTCAGTGCGGCTATGAAGATGACGAAGAAGTCATGGTTCTCCCGTGCCAACACTTCTTCCACAGCGAGTGTGTTGGGCGATGGCTAAGTATGAAGACAACTTGCCCCAAGTGCCGACACGAGCTGTCACCGCCTGCGCCAACAGAGCAACGTGAAGTGATCATAACGAGGACTACAACGATCGAGTGGATGCCGATAACACAGTGGGTTCCTGCTAGCACGACAACGGTAGAAGTCCGTTCAGAGGTAGGTAGCGACTATGAGACTGTTACAACCACCACCACTCGCCCTGTTATGATCCAAGGTCCAAGCAGGTCTGTTTCCCATGTCATACTCTCCTTATTCTTTTTCATCATATTTTTTTCACGATGTAATATTTATAGCAGCCTTCCGCAACCGCCCAATGGATTGAACAATGTTGCACCTCCAAACATGAATGCAAGGCCTCTTCCAATACCAAACTCTCTTCCGAACGTGAACGGCAACCTTAATCCCATCAATCCTACCAACCTTCAGAATCCGCAAAGTTCCAACGGCTTCAGGCCTGCGCCGAATAATGCTCTGAATTCTCAAAGCTCAGGGTGAGCTGAATTCCAGACTGATTTGAATCCTTTGTAACATGTCTTGTCTGTCCTCAGTCCATCCAGCAACATTCCCGTCCTGACTGCGGCAGAATATCAAAGGTTGCTAGAGAGAGCCAACGAAGCGCTTCAACAAGTACAAGGAGATGGTTCAGATGCTTCCCAATCCCAAGCTCATCAATCATCGTCAGCGGCTAGGTACTCTTTCTGTCAGATTCTTGCTGTTCCTGATCTTCTTCAATCAAGGATACCGGTGTTGACTGAGGAGGTATACCGAAGGCTCTTGGAAAGGGCCAATGAGGCGCTGCAGCAAAGAAACGAGGACGGGAGTGAATTGCCTCATACGAATACGATCCCTGCTGGTCAAGGGCAGACTACGAGGTCTCTTGTTTCGCTTCTCAGCAACCAATGCTCACTTACTGCTCCAGTTCGATCGGGTCCTCCTCACCAGGCCAAAGTTCCAACCCGGCCTCCTTCGGTGTGTTGTCTCAAGATTACCCAAGGCTTGACCGAGTCCCCGAGCCTCTGCCGAGTACACAAGGTTACTCGCTCCATGTGAAGTAGGCGGCAGATTCACTCATGACCCCAGGAAATTTGCACGGAACTTCATGGACTCCACAGAGTACTTCAGTTGGACCAACACAAAGAGCATGGACAAGTCCTGTTGCCTCGAGCAATCACCCTGCCAACAATGCTCATCGCAGCACCAGCATACAGGTGATTGCCGTGCACTGCAGACAACCATTTTGACTTGTTGTCTTCCAGTCCAACGCTGTGATTCCTATGTATGGATCCCCCGACTGGTCCAACAGGTGCATCTCTTTCTGATGAAGATCAAAGTTTCTCTGACCAGTCGATCTACAGCAGCATATCTCTCTCTTCCAGCGCATGGCACGTGCTTGAAAACATGTCCCCTCCCACCGGGCCCCACCCTCGCATCATCGCGAGCGCTCTCAACCCAAACATTCCTACAGTGGATTCAGGTAAAAGAGACTCCTCCCTGTCCTTGTCCTCTGACGATGCTCCAAGGCTCTCCCACTCTTCAACCCATCGCAGCGATGGGAGCCATTCCCGTCACCCCTCCTCTCCTCCCAGGTACGACCAGGGCAGCATCCTCGTCCCTGTATTGATCGTTGAGTGCAGGAGGGCCGATCTTGGTGCCGTCTATGGAGATTGCTTCCTCTCAAGTGTTCACTGATGTCAACCCCTTAATCGTCCTCATGCAGTGAAGCTCTCGGCTGGCCCTCCACCCTCTCAAATTTTGTGTTTTCGCCCTGCCGACCGCAGGGCAGCAGGTCGGCAGGACAGCAGCGCAAATTTTTGCATCATTTATCTTTCTTTTTTATCGCAGTCAAATGTAGAACAGGATGGCTTCAATGTTTTCATAAACAGACAGGAGCTTTTAGGACTTTTTACATTGGTGGTGAAGCATACAATCTTACAAGATAGGGATGGTGAGCGAGTAGAGAAGAAGGGAAGGAGCGGAGGAAAATTTTGGTCGGTTGCTCAGCTGATGTATGCCAGGCTGGCGGTAGTGGGGGAATGAACGACAGGCAGCTGACTTGGACTGCGACAAGTCACGAGCATCGTAGCAGGAGGAAGAATCTCACTCACTCTGTCGCTCTTCGCAGACGAGCTCCCTGATTGAGGATCAGCTCCTCTTGGAGGATCTACGGGCACGTCATGGAGAGGAGGATTGAGACTGCAAATCTTGCCTGCCATGGTTGAGGATAAAAAGTTCTCCTGATGTAAGCGACGGCGACATCCGACAGCAGCACGACAGACACCTGTAGGCAGCCTGATGAGATGGGGGAGCGGGAGGACAGGTGGGAAGAGGGAAGTGAAGGGGGGGCTGGAAGGGAGAAGCGATGTTGAGGGGAGGCGGGCGGAGGAGCAAGTGGAAGAGAGGAGATGGGGGAATGGGGACGAGCAAGCAGCCTCAAATACCCAGAGGATGACGACAAGCCAGCTGTGCGTGCTCCTGAGCACCTCGTTGTCGACAGTCCCGCAGGTGGAGACAGGGTTCGAGTCGCCGAAGGCAGACAGAGGGCAGAAGAAGGTGTTGAGGATGAGGAGGACCATGTAGAAGGCGAAGAGGGAGAGCCAGATGCAAACGTGCGTGATGATGGTCCAGTGCCGCAGGAACACGATGATCTTGAGCGTCACAGCCCAGACAACCGCCTCTGCCAGCAGCATCCCGACACCGTCCGCGCTCGCGACCTTCCCGTCCTCCACGTAGGGGGCAGTCTGAAAGCTCGCCATGGAGTAGATGATGCCCAGGGTGAGGACGACGCCCTGGAGGAAAGCCTGAAGCTCCCACACGAAGAAGGACCAGAGGCTGAGGGGCTGCTTCCTGTCGCTGGTGCAGTAGAGCTCGGGGTAGAGGGAGATGACGTCATGCGTCAGGTCTTTCTCGAAAATGGCGAGAGCGAAGGGAGGAAGCCCGGTGAAGATGATGTTGAACCCCAGGATGATCCAGGCGCTGTAGATGGTGGTGGAGGAAAAGAGCGTGTAGAAGAAGTAGACAACCTGGGGGGAGCAGAAGCAGATGTTCTTGAAGAAGGAGTACTTGATCAGCTCCGACGTGCGCAGGCAGGAATGTCTTCCATGCACTGCCAGCAGCTTCTTCAAGTGCCGGAACTCCCCGATGGCGAAATCGGAGGACCGAGCCGCCTGCATCCCCTCGTTCCCCATGATGCCGATGCCCACGTTGGCCGCCAGGATCATCGGAACGTCGTTCCCTCCATCCCCCACGGCTAGCGAGACTTTGTTGAGCTTCCGAATCACCAGGTCCACCACCTGCGCCTTCTGCACGGGAGCGCAGCGGGCGCAGACGATGACTGTGCATGCCTGGCAGAGCGCAACCAGTTCCTCCTCCGCTCTCGTCTGAGCAAGCGCGAGAGCGGCTCCTCCTATCACAAGTGCCTTCCCTTGCGGCCCCGGCGGCTCCTCCCTCGCTCTCCTCAGCTCCTGCTCCAGCTCCTCCCAGGTGGACGAGTCGATGACGGAGAGCGCCATGTCGGAGGAGATGATGGAGGAGGAATAGGCGATGGTCAGGGCAGTCTGAAGCTTGTCTCCCGTCAGGATCCATACGTGCATGCCCGCACGGATCAGGTACTGGACAGTCTCCGGCACTTCCTCCTGCAGTTTGTCTTCAACCGCCGTCACGCCATGGCAGGTAAGATCCCTCTCGAGGGTGTCATAGAGCCGCGCTACCTCCTCCTTGCGGCGATCGAACAAGCTGCTGGTGCGGAGGAAGGAGGTTTCAAAGGCGATGAACTCATCTGAGTCGTTCGTAAGGCAAGGAGAAAAAGCTTGGAGGTTCAGAAGCAAGAGGAGGTAGGTGAAGAAGAGGAAGGAATAATCTGGTAGGAAGTGCAGGAGCAGGAGCAGGAGCAGGAGCAGGAGCAGGAGCAGGAGCAGGAGCACCTTCTGAGATTTCTCTCGCAGCAATCATGAGAACTCGATATCCTTCGGTCGCGAAATGTTCGGAATCCTGAAAGATTGGATGAGAGATGTTAATGAGTTGAGACAAGACGAGGAGAAAGAGACGTTGATAGCGATGCGAGAATACAGGTTATGAAATGACGATAAGACAGGAGGAAAAGGATATGTAATAAGCATTGGAGGAAATTACAAGGTCGAAAGGGTCGGCAAAACGGGAAAAGGCAGAAAGATGTTTTCATCACCTTCATCATCTTCTCGAGTACTGCTGCGTCTGTGTTGTCTTTGCATAGAGGGAGCATGGCCATGTCTGCCCCTTTGCTCAACAACATTCTTGTCCCATCCTTTCTCTGAAACCAAAAATTCAGAATTATGTTAATTATACCTCACTCTACGTAGTCTCTCCCTCCCTTCCACTCTCCCTCCCTTCCTCTCTCCCTCCCTTCCTCTCTCCCTCCCTTCCTCTCTCCCTCCCTTCCTCTCTCCCTCCCTTCCTCTCTCCCTCCCTTCCTCTCTCCCTCTCTCACTTTCTCACTTTCTATTCCTCCCCACTTTCCTTTCATCACATCACTAAGACCTCTCTTGTTGCTACATACACCCCATCGGACCTCCCAGCCCCTCACTTCCTAGTATTTGACATTCGAAGCATCAGTGTCTGACCTGAATCAGGACTGACATACGGCGTCTCTCAGGTGTGAACTCGATGACATGTAAGACTTTGTACTCGATCGTTCGACCGTTGTCATCCAGGATAATCACCTGCAAAGAAGGAACACGAGGGCGATCAGAAGGGAGAAGGAGAGGACAGGAAGGAAAGAGAAAGAGAAATGGAATGAGGGGCGAGGAAGAAATGGAGAAAAGGAATGGGGAGAGGATGGTGACAAAAGGTGAGAGGAGAAAGAAGATACGATGAGATAGGGGAGCAGAGCAGTTGGAAAGAAGGAAAAGCAGAGGATAGACAGAGAGGGACGAAGGGAGGAGGCGGTAACTTACATGTGAAGGCTCGCGATGAAACAACCTCCAACCATTCTTTGCCGCACACTGTCAAGGCATCAGAGGCATGGCAGGGACAAGCGCGCTCATCGAGACCTCAACAAGGCCGATCTCGTCTGGGCTGGAGCTGACGAAGGTCGTCGGGTCAGAGGAGGCGAGGTCAAGCGTGCTGTCGATGTCCTTGGATATCTCCGGAACGACGTCGTTGCAGATGGTAAGAGCCTCCATGAAGGTGAGCAGGGATCGCTGCAGCTGCGGCGTCGTCTCCTGACTCCCCATAGCCTCTGCAAGCTGACCGTCCATGACCTCTGAGAAAACTCGGCCGTACACGGAGCAGCCCTTGAAGACCATCTGGTTCTTGGTAAGCGTTCCCGTCTTGTCACAGAAGACGTATTCGATGATGCCGAGCTCGGAGTTGAGGTTAGAAGTCAACACCTACTCGCACATCAAACCCAGGCTCCTGCCTCTCTCTCCTCACCCGCATGTTTCCTCGCTCCTCAGACCACAAGTCATCGTCCCACTGCATGAAGAAAGACTGCCACAGTTGTGTTAGCCTCCCCTTCCCTCCCCCGGCTTTCCAATCCTCCTCCCCTCCCCTCTGCTCTGCTCTGCTCCTCTCCTCATCTTCCGCCTCTCAACAAGACCTGCAGGAAGATGGAAACCTCGAGCGTGACCATGAGAGACAGGGGGATGAAGGTGTTGAGAAGCATCAAGTTGGTGAAGAAGTTGAGGAAGAGGTTTTGGCTGCTCTGAGAGGCCTGTAACATCCTCGTCATCTTCGACATGCAGGACAAGAGCAGGCAGAGACGTTCTGCAGGTAGAAGTAGTTGTTTGTAGAGGGAGCGACAGCGTACGATCCTCCCATGAGGGCTAGGGACAGGATCGTGAGGAAGACGAAGAGCATGGCGATGCAAAAGTTCAGCGTCTTGTCCATCGTGGAGAATTTCCTGTAGCACAAGAGGGTGAGGAGAAGGGTGAGGATGTTCTGAGAAGAGAAGCTCAGAGCAGAGGAGGAGGAGGAGGAGCGAGAAATATCGGAAACGAAATGCTCACGTTCTCGCGGCACTTGAGTTTTTTGCAAGCTTGGATTCCATCCCCTGGATGAGCAAGAGAACATGTCAGTGAAGGGGAGACAGTCTGTTCCGGCATCATCTTCATCATTCAGGTTGTCACATCATTGCTTCCTCCTCAGGTTCAATCTTATCACATCAAAACTACCGCATACACGACGATCCCGACTGCCCAGCTTGTCTTCTTCAAACGAGCCCCGCGCAGACAGACGTTCTCGACGGAGATGGGGAACATGGCGCGAAGGTCATGCGAAGGATGTGAATCATGAAGCTGCTCATTCGACACGCTTTGCACGTGCGTGTGCGGCTGGACGGAAATGAAAAGTTAGCAAAATGCTGGATACCCAGCAAGATCACAGAGAGGAAAATGACTCTACATCCCATCAGATAGACTACATGCCTGAACAAGACTTCAACATCAACATACCATCTTCCATTGTCCAGTGAATTCATAAAGATAAGGATTCGGCTTCTCAACAAAGATTTCGCCCTGCAGATTGAGGAGCGAGGCCTCGTCTTGCAGCGACTTTGTATGATCGAGAGCATACCTAGAAGCAAACGACAGTGACCCAGCAGTCAAACACATCTCTCCTCCCCCATCAGGTAGCACTGACACATCTCTCCCCCTCCACTCACATGCGCTTGAGATTCCTCTCTCCATCCAGGTTTGACGTCTCGACAAAGGTGATCCCCGACGGGTCCGAGCTTGAAACCATGACCATGTCCGCCGGAAACACCTGATTCTTCTCAACACGAACAATGTCTCCAACTAGGAGATTCTCCGCAAATATCATCTCGAACTTCCCATCTCGAAACACATACACCGGCTGCGTGTTGGCTTCCTTGTCCGAAACGTACCTCCTGTAATCCTCGTACCCGTCTTTCAACATGCTGATGACCAGCACAATCACCAGGCCCATGATAGTCGTGACAGCTGAATACGCAGCAATGCTGGGTATCAATGATATCACACACTGAATGAGCCAGAAGACGTTGAAGAGACGTCTGAACTGCTCCGCCAGATTCTTAGGCAGGAAGGTGATGATGTTGTACTTTGTAGTCTTGATCTTGTTGCCTGCAGCCCCCTTCGCAGGCCTCCTCCCGCGCCCTGAGGATCAGTCATACACAATGTACCATCAGGTATTAGGAACGCTTCATCACTGACCTTGGAAGAATAAAGGAGGCCGACTGTCTGGATCCGTGAGTGACTTCAGGATCTTGACGATCCTGAAGTTATCTGGCTGAGGCGCATGCATCATGCACGAGAGAGCGTGTCAAGTAAGAGCACAACTCAGCCCTTGTGACTATCCCATGGCTGAAGAATGAAGTGAGGCGCACTGTGGAAGCCATATTCCGCAAGGAAAGGGGGTCCTGCGCCGTGCGCATTGCCATGCCATGGAACAAGATTTCTGTAGTCCATGTTCACGGAGGCGAAGAAAGAATCAAACCGGTCAGGTCACCATTGGACTACAAAACGACACCTGGAAAAGAAAGTGAGGAGAGAAGCCACGGGATCACGGAGGTCGTCTACGCCTCGTCGCTTCCTACTTGACTTTTTCCATGATCACATGCTATCCTGTGATCCTATCACATCGCTATCCGTTTACATCCCTGGTTGCCTTGTTTCCTCATGTGAACGACACATGCATGCACTCCTTACGAACAATACGTCTCTTCCTGCCCCTCAACCATCCCTCCTTCCGCTTACAGCCATCTGTTCCATCCTCCATATCCTGCAGAAAGATCGGATCACCCCCCTTTCCTCTTTCACGGACCCACCCCTTGCAGAGGCAGTTACGTAAAAAGAAAGGTGCTTTCAGTACTCGACTGAATGTTTTAGTTACCTCAAAGGATGGAAATTCCTGGGAATGCAAGGGCAACAATGTGAAGCGCTGCGTTTGTGTAGTAATTAGGATATCAATGAAAAAGAGTATCTTCACATTGTTGCCCTGGCTATGGAAGGTTTTAACACTGCGACATGCCAAACGTTGTTATTTTTCAACTTATCAGAAGCTCAGAAGACGTTGTTTCGCATTGTTGCTCTGAATTCGACAGGCAAAACCGTGCCGTGAGAAGAAAAAACAGTCGAGTCGCAAGACCTTTCAGGGGCATATGTATCCCCAAAGATACTTGGGCGGGCCCGGGATCATCGGATTGACTAGTCATCGCTGGGACCGGACCCGGTACGGGAGGCCCCCGCTTGACCCTGACGGCCACTCAATGACTCATACTGATCTTTAACTTAACTTTGAGTAAAATAACTCATGATCGGACTGTCGCACAGGCCCGGCCGGTTCTCACTGTACCGTACCGGATCTTTTCTGATCATCATGTAGGGGACTTCGAACTTTATCCACAGTGACAGTAAAGGCGCCGGTGACCGTTTTCTGCACGTTTCCCAACACGGCCCTGAAGCAAACTGCAAGCGGCAGCACAGCGGAAGCCTCCGAGGGCATCGTAATGCATATGCTCAGCACGTCCCGCCAAAGGCCTTTCTTTCCATCATCGCCAGCACTGATGGCCTCTTGCAGGACGATGATGCGTTGCGCTTTCCGAGGCTGTGGTGGCTGGCGGATCGCTCGGCGAACAAGGCAACGGCAGCGCTGGATGGTCTCTCGGCCTCGCAAGACGTCTCAGGTGATCCGACTTGCAAACGCATCCGGTCCAGGATCGTTCGTCAGCTCAAGGCCTCCCTGTCCTTCGCTGCCATCATCCATCGCGGGTGCATCCCGGTATGCGTCTCATTCCTTCGGCGGCGGCCACCGCGACATCGCTGGCATGGCCGCGCGGGGGACTTGTCCTGCGCGCAGTTAAGTGAAGGTATCAGTTAAGTTTGGGGGACAGCAGTCGGCAGGATTGGTGATGCGGGTATAGTCCAGCAACTGAGCGATAGTGCCGCACTTAGGAGTAGAACAGATGAACAATGAAGCTAGATTTGTTTATGTACAGCAGTAAGAGAACACACGTCAATGTTCGTGCAATCCCATTCCGATGACGTGGCCAACGTCTAAGATGGGTTGCTTATATGTCGAGGTCAGGCTTAACCCGTAATACAGCAATGAGTAAACATGTGTATCGGTTTATACCAGCCTCATGCTTTCATCATACCAATGTGTTGTACGTACGTCTACGTCCAGTACACTGATCTTCGATTCTAGCATTATACACCTCGCCAGCGTACGTAGCCTCTTACGACTACTCGCATGATGCTGCCATGTCCGTTACTGACGTAACGTCATGCGGGTGCAACATCAATTGGGTTTGGTTCTCGCTGTCTTTTCTCTTCTCGCCGTTTGGCCAGTGCGACAGTGTTGAGGGTCAAGCCTCCTCGACTATCCTGATTGTCCTACGGTACTGATCTTTAACTTAACTTTGAGTAAAGAAGCTGCGGCCCGTATGGTACGGTCCGGGCCCGGGGGCCCGGGATGCCAGGTGACGCCGAAGTTGCGCGGCAATTTCAAGCGGCCACGCCGGTGGACCGTCCGATCCGATCCGACCAGTCGCTAAAACTTACTGATAAGTGAAAATTACGCCGCAAGTTTCCCTAAGAGATGAGTCGCTTGTTGTGTTCAGGTTCGCGTCTAGACGGGAGATAACATGTCGCTGAAAGGCGTCGCGACTCCGTCGGTGTTCTCTGTTGAGGCAACCATCTTACTAACGAGCGAGCACGGGATGCTGATGAGTGTGCCTGTTGACAGTGGGGAGAGAGGGAGGCTGAGAACGAGAGCAAAGTCCATCGCGCGCCAGGCTACGAGAAGGAGCTCGTGTCGCTGCCTTTCTCGGATGAGCCGCACATCAACACCATGTCCGCTTGTTTGAAACGTGCACGAGACAAGTAAGCACGATGATGTTGGTCCCCGTTGATTGTCGTTTCAGGTTTGCAAGCCGCCCATTCTTGGGGGAGCGGACGCGGGAGCCGGAGGGCAAGAGAGGAAAGTACGTCTTCGAGACCTACGAGAAATGCTATACAGACATCCTGAGGTCTGTCTTGCTAGCTGCTTCATGTCACTCAAGCCTTGTCGGCAGGTTGGGGGTTGGCCTCGTGCAACAGTGCGGGCTGGATAGCACAGGAAAGGAGGGGGAGAGCCAATTTCGCATTGGAATCTACTCGTACGTTGCAAATATGATAAGGAGTATCGGTGATGAATGCTGCAGAATCAATCGCTCCGAATGGACGAAGCTGCTTCATGCTGCCTGGAGGTCCCGCATCGTGGTCTGTTGATCGCAGCATTGGAACGACGGAGAGTGAGGGATTCACGTCAGGTTGTTCCCCTGTACGACACGCTCATGCTCAACTCCGTCACTTACATCGTTACTCATGCCGAGTTAACGACGGTTAATGAAACATCCTCGCAGGAGGAGCTGACATTCTTGTCCTAGATCGCAGCAGAACGAGCAAAGTTGCCCAACTTGATCAAGTGCGACTGGAAGGGCTCGAATCTCAGGAACATCGTGAGGGGAACTGAAGTTTGACTTCAAAGCCCTGACAAGTTGTGAAAGATTCTATTCGAGGATCCTACAGAGGAGGAGATTTCTAGTGCACTAGTTGCTGGTGATATGACAGAAATGGTCTTGCTTCTACTCACGTTTCTCTTCTATATCCCAAGGCTTGAAACTCTTCTCCTTCAGTAACATTATCTTGACATCCGCTCAAAGTCCCGTGAGCAGCCATGGGCCCGAGCATAAGAACCCTTTTAACGCCTTGCTTGCAGTCTACCTTGATGCCGGCTCCAAAGGACTGGGCCTGCATCATGTACACGAGCGGGACGACCGGGGTCCCCAAGGGAGTGATCCAGACGCACGAGAACGTGCTATCCTCAGCTGCTGGAATTCTCCGTCAGAACTTCCGTGAGGACTTGCTGCTTGAAGACAACCTCTACATCTCCTACCTCCCCCTCGCTCACTCGCTCGAAGTCGGGCTCCAGAACTGCGTTGTCTTGGTTGGCTGCGCCATCGGCTTCTATCAGGGAGATGTCAAGAAGCTCGTGAGTGAGGACCTGCCGGATCTCCGACCGACCATCATGGCTGGAGTTCCGAGAATCTACGCGCGTATCTATGACAAGGTCTTGATGGGCGTTGAGAGCAAGGGTTTCATCGCAAAGACCATCTTCAACTGGGGAATGAGATCGAAGAAGACCAAGTTCATTTACAACAAGATACTCTTCAACAAGCTCAAACGAGTGCTCGGCGGAAGAATCCGTCTGCTGGCCTCAGGCGCTGCTCCTCTCAGTGCAGAGCTTCACAACTTCCTCAGGCAAGTCTTCGACTGTCCTGTCCTTGAAGGGTACGGGATGACTGAGAACTCTGCTACTGCTTGCGTTCAGCCGCTTGGCAGTATCAAAGGAGGAAATGTCGGGGGCCCAACGCCAGTAGTTGAGGTGAAGCTGCGAGACACTGAAGACTACAAGAGCTCAGATGTTTATCCGACGACAAAGAGAGAGTTTGAGCAGCAGGCTTCCTTCAAAGGACCCTTCGATCCCACTCTTGCCGGCAGAGTGGTCGAGCGAGGAGAGATCTGCTTGCGGGGTTTCAATGTGTTTCCGGGTTACTTGAAGAATGAGGAGGAGAGCAGAGAAGCGCTTGACGACAAGGGTTGGCTCCACACGGGCGATATCGGCATGTGGAATCAAGACGGCTCGCTCTCAGTCATCGACCGCAAGAAGAACATCTTCAAGCTCGCACAAGGCGAGTACGTAGCGCCTGAGGCTGTTGAGAATGCCTTGAGCGCCTGCAAGTGGGTGGGACAGTGCTGGATCTACGGCAACTCCTACGAGAACTACGTGGTCGCAGTGATAGTGCCAGATCGAGAGGTCTTGATGACGTGGGCAGGAAGGCACAGGCCGAGGACGAGCATGGCTGACCTGGTAAGGGATCCTGCAGTGAAGAGGATGATCTTCGATGACGTCATCGCCATCGGGCGCGCGGCGAAGTTGAGGGGCTTTGAACTGCCGTGTGAGATCGAGTTTGAGACCGAGGTGAACGAGGCGGGTCAGGGGTTCACCATAGAGGAAGAGCTGGTCACTCCCACCCTCAAGCTCCGGCGGTCAAACCTAGTCAAGAAGTACCAGGCGAGGATCGATGCCATGTACCAGCAGATCCGAAAGAACGACAAGATCGCGAAGAAGATATAGCGTTCACCAAACTCAGTAGCTATGAGACGGCTGACTTTCTTTCTGCTGTTCTCGTATGGTTGTTGTATCATAGTGCCAAGAAACTAAGAGGCCTCCTTGCTCTTGAGTGATCTGTTTTGAATCTTGTTGATGAGTCCTAGCATTCAAGCTTGATCGAATAGAACCTTGTATGTTTGCTACTGTTGCAGCATGAACATGTCGATGAGAATGGCGAGAGAGCTCCATGTCTCAGGGTCGTTGGAAGTGGAGAGGCCAAGGGAGGGGATGATGGCAGACAGGCTGCCCTCCTCATCACAAGGCCTCCTGGGCCTCCAGCCTTACACTGCTGGAAAAGAGAAGTAGACCGAGAAAAGAATCCAATGGATGCAAGACTCTCTTCTACCCTGCATTGCCTCTCAGCCTTCAGCAGCTGCGATCTGCAATCTGTTGCTCCAGCAGAGTGGAAAAAGTTATAAGAAACAATCAAAACGCATTGTTGTCAGAAAATCATCCCACAGAAACAAAAATACACGAACAAAATATGGACTGTCATTTAAAGCAATTGATTGATTGAAAAAATATGTATAAATATTTCGACATGTTGTGATGATGCTCTTGCCCGAGGTGCCTTGTGCATGTATTAAGGAATGTTCCGAACCTGCCGGATCCTTCTTTTACATCATGTGACCACAGGGATCTGGTCTTGTTCCTTGAATTGTTTCAGTTTGGATCTTGAGCTTCTGTGGAAGAAAAGAGGTCAAGTTCCACTTCAGCTATTGCAATCAAGCTCTACCGTTTGAGGGACGTCCGCCAAGTTCCTGCAAGCAAAACGATCAAATTTCTGAGTATCAGATTTCAATCAGATTTTGAATTACCTGCGAGGGGATTCTGTTTCCAAGAATTTCTTTCAGCAACTTAGAAACTTCCCGAGTTTCTTCTGTCTGTCTCTTGGTGTCTTCTCGTAATCCCTATTTTGTGTCTTATTTGAGATTTGCATCATACAACCGTCGAACCTTAATCTCCTTCAGTACTTGTCTTAGCACATGTGACACTTCTTCATCTCTCACGGCCTTCATACAGATGTTAATCCCGGAAAGCCTGCCTCGCCCAACTCTCGCCTGTCTCAGCATTGGCGACGAAGATTGCGCGTCCTGGGCTTCAGCAGCTACTTGCATGATGTGCTCTAGTGCTCTTGACAGGTTTGGATTCTGCGCTCTTGATTGACTGTCACCCCGCTTTGCTCTCTTGCCTGGTGGCTCATCACCTCTGATTTCCTGTTACGCAACCACGTCAAGGACAAATCAAGCACAAGGTGTACTCAACCTGTGAGTCCAAACTCCCATCAAGGACGGAGCTTGGCAAACAAGATTGTAATGCGAGCGCATGGGCTTGTTTAGACTTCTTGGTCTTCAACTGGGAAGAAGGCAAATTTCGGACCTGGGAGAACATCAGACCTGAATCGAGTTTGCTGAGCAAATTCACCAGTATCCTCCATTCGTCTTGATATTCTGGTATTGTAGGGAAGGTTGGGCAAACGACCTGAAGCATGTGAGTCTCATATTAAAAGAAACCAACATGATATACCGCCAAGTGATGGAGTTGTTGCGACACATTCTTTGCACCGGTCCAGCTGCAATGGATGCAACGGACGCGCTGGAATACAACAAGTCACAGAGGAAATCAAACCGGAGTGGGATCCATACTTTGCTGCTGCAACCCTCTACAGGAGCTGCAGGTTCAAAATGCTTCATGTGACGATTGCAATTTGATCGTGTTTCACTACTTGGCGTTGGATTGTGATTCGAATGTTCTAGGATCGAAAAAAATTCAACCACAAATAACACGAAGACCCACGCTCAGTCAACAAACAGATTTAAATCACCTTGAATATCGCTCGTTGGAGACTGTTGCCTTTTGTTCTCTGCACCTATTGAGAATATTAGATTCAAGCATTTGAGTTGGGTGTGTTTCATACCAACATGTATTGGCTCTGAAGGCATAATGTTCGGACATAAACTCCTATGTAGATACAATTGTTGTGCTTCTCCCATCGATACAGCACCTGAAAAAAACCTATTTGTTAGACCATCAATCAATAGCTTTCATGGCCGCTGCGATTTAGTATTTGTACTGTTATACGGCATGAGCGATACAAAAAAAATTGTGCATCTTTGGACTTCAAGAAGGAAGCACAGCATAGAACCACTGTTTTGTGGGAAGACATTCATTCAAATATCATATCTGATTTTAAAGTCGGGTCCGTTAACCACACACACCATCAGCATTCACCGATGAAAGACCAAAAGCAAGTAAATTGCACACGAGAAACAAACCCCAGCAGCTAGTTGATGGCTATGATGCAAGAGGCAGGAACAGTAGACATCAGATAACAAATCAGAGGGTACTTGGATGAACATCGCAAGTCAACAAGAAGGTTTCCTGTCTCCTCCCTCCTCTCCTTTACCTCCTGCATTACTTTGCTGCTGTGAGCTTTGCATGGTAGTACCGAGGATTGAACCAAGCTTTCCGTTACATCAAGAACTCCTATGACCCCCACCCCTCCCTATCCAGTCACGTCCCTTGAATTGTTGAAAAATGAACCTTTGAGGGATAAAGTACCGGTACAATATTCCTTTGAAAGAGGGGTACTTTCATTTTTGGCAGCAAGCACCGCCTGATGGTACTGTTTTCGTTACAGTGGTCGTTCACTTTCTGAGGAACGACCAGTGTTGTTGGTAACTTTGAGTGCAGTACTGATGGGGCCATGCCAGCCGGGGCCCGGGGCCCGACTAGTCCGAACTGATCGGCGCGGGCCTGATTGTCCACGTACTGCTTTTTAACTGCCTACTTTGAGTGAGAAAGGGATCAAGTTTCTACCGGCAGAGCAACTGATGGCGCATAGAAGGATGCGATGCGCTTGCTGCTCATGGCGATGCGCTTGCTGCTCAATGATGGCGATGCCGAGTGAGAGAACCTTGAGCTAGGAAGCTGAGAGAACCAACTCTTTGTCCGATCTCGGTGGCATGGCGCACATTCAGAGCAATGTGTGGGGGCGATGGTCGCGCGAGCATGCCGTGGTCGAGGGGAAGTCTGCAAGCATCCCAGACTGTGAGGGAGAATATCTTGTGCTGGCCAAGGTTCCCAGACGAAGAGGGAAGCACAGATGGCAGCTCAAGATCGTGAGGAAGAATCCCTCAGCTTCGCTCTGCATCGGGATCGCGGTGGACATACAGGACTCTGACTTGCAGAAGGGAGCGCTGGACACGTACTTCAACGATCGGCTCTGGCATTACTGCAATTCCGACGGATGCTTGCGGAGTGGCGGCCGCCAAGTCCCGGCGTCAGATCAGAAGGAAAAGCGGATGACGGGAACAGGCGATGTGGTAGATGTCTTCTTCGATGTAGATGCTGGCCTGCTCTCCTTCGGCGTCAACGGCGACAAGCTGGATGCCACCATTCGTAATGTAGTCCATACGAGCTTCCTCGACCAGTTCTCACCGGGCGAACGAACGTCCGACAAGGGGTATGGACAATTCTACCTGTTCGTTTCCATGACTTCTGGCGATCATGTGGAGATGGAGGACGCGCCGGCAGAGCTGACATACACTGCTGGTGTGTGTAAGTACGCATCCGAACATGACATCATTCCCAACGAGCCTCTTCTTGAATCTGGCTCTGCCCCCATACACTTCAGCATCGATCGACCGCTGCCTCCGGGCCTTCATTTCGATGAGGCCACGGGGATCATAAGTGGGAACCCTACAGGGCAAAGTTCGCTGAGCATGCAAGGTTGGAGAGACCTGTGCTTGCAGATGTACATGGGCAAAACCAGCGACAGCGGATGGAAGAAGGCAAGAAATGCGCTCCTCAAAGAATTAGGGATGAACCTGACAGAAGAAGAGATCCGAGAACGAGCAAGGGAGATCTTCAACAAGTACGATGAGGATGGGTCCGGGCAGATAGACTTCGACGAGCTGAAGGCTCTGATGACTTCGCTTCACATACAAGTTTCTGACGAAGAGTTGACGCACATGGCGGCTGAGTTAGACGTTGATGGCAGTGCTGAGATCGAGATCCTCGAATTCGAGGAGATGCTGTTCAAGATGTATCACAGCAAAGACAAGTACGGCGCCTGGAAGGAAGCAGGGTATGCATTGATCAAGAAGTTGGGGGAAGGACTAGACGTGGAGCTTGAACTTCCCATCCGATGTAGAGAGGTGTTCAACGAGTTTGACGAGGACGGGTCGGGGAAGATAGACATCGGAGAGCTTGAGCTGGCGTTGAACAGTTTGGGCCTGGATGTGGAGCAAGCGACGATACTTGAAATGATGGATGAAGCAGGGATAGATCAGGGATTGAATGATCCAGGAATTGACTTTCAAAGCTGGAAAAATCTTCTGACGAATATCTACGTTGGCAACAATGATGATGTCTGGGAGAGTGCGAAGGTGGGGATCGTGAAAATGATCGGTCCAAACCTGAAGAAAGAAGAGCTTTGGGAGAGGCTCGATCAAATTTTCCAAGAGATGGATTCAGATGGTTCTGGCGAGTTATCCATTGATGAGCTGGTGGTTGCCTTGAACAAGGTTGGTGTCACAATCAAAGACGATGAACTGGCAAGGATGATAGACGAAACCAACTTGAACGGCCGCCTATGGACCATCACTGCCATGAATCGTTTGGGATCGACTAAGTTTGTGCTGAAGCTTTCCATACTAGAGACCGTGTCAAACTTGCAGTACGAATCTCTTGACGTCTTCTGCGCGGTGGAACAGAAGTTGAAGCCTATCAAAGTCGCCACACTCAAGGGAACGAGGCCGCACAGGTTCTCTATCGACCCTCCGCTTCCTGAGGGAGTGTCCATCGATACTGAGACAGGAACTATTGCGGGGAGACCACTGCACGACTCAGCAAAAGTTCTTCACACAGTCACCGTGCAGAATGATGTCGGGCACGCCCACTGTCAGGTCTACTTCCAAGCTCTTGACCCCCCCGTGGAGCTGGAGTACTGCTTCACCAACGTCATCTACCGGCAGGGAGAGCTGCAGCTGGACGCGTGGAAGTCAGCAAGAGCGTCGTTGATTTCAAAGCTGGGAAAGAGGATGGATGACAATAGACTTATCTCAGCAGCCCGGGAGCTGTTCGACGCCATTGACTCGGATCACTCCGGGTCAGTAGACGCCAAGGAGATGGGGGACGCGCTGGAAGCGTGGGGGGTTCGTATTTCCGAGGAAGACCTGAGCAGCATGATGAGGGAGGCCACGAACAGCGATCGCGGAGAGGAGCAAGAGATCTTCTTCGACGACTTTGTGAGGATTGCGAAGCAGATGTACTCTGGGCACAGAGAAGGAGCTGACCACTTCAAAGTCAACCAGGAGGGCGACTGGATCAAGGGCCCCCTCAAGGTGAAGGCCATCAATGGAACCCACCCCTTCATCTTCAGCACGAGCCCCGAGCTTCCTGAGGGACTGAAGATCGACAGAGAAACAGGCGCCATCAGTGGAGTTCCCCTGAGGTCTGCGGGAGCGACAGACTACGTCATTCGAGCGAGCAACAGGGTTGGCTCCACTGAGTGCGAGGTGAGCATGGAAGTGATGGATCCGCCTTCAAACTTCCGGTACAAGTTAGTCGAAGACGTGGTCAGACTCGCCACCAACACCGCCTGCCGACCCATGAAGTGCGCGACGAATGGAACGGCCAAGTCGAAGAATGGGTGCATGAGGTTCCTTGTTGGGATCGATCCGCTGCGCTTGCGGACCCTCTTTGACTCCTACGATGACGATCAGTCCGGCACTCTGGACTTCTCAGAGTTCAAGGAGATGCTGAGCATTCTTGGTATCCGCCTGGCCAAGTCTGACATGGAGGAAATCTTCTCGTCCATGCTCTTGGAGGGCTCTGACTCCATCACCTTCGACGCCTTCTCCAGGTACTTCTCCTCTGCCCTCCCCAAGGGCCTGCACCTCAACGAGAACGACGGGTCCATCACTGGCGTGCCTCTGCTGCCCTCCCAGCTTCGGTTGTACGTGATCACAGCATGGAATCCGGTAGGAGAAACCTCCACCACGCTTAACATGGAGGTTCAAGACGCTCCGTCTCAGTTTCGCTATCGCTCCTCGGACGTGATTTACAAGCTGCATAGCCCCGAGTGCTATTGCAGAGTCGATGCTGACCCTGAGACTCTGTCGGAGTGCGGCGAGATGTTCTATGACAACACCCTGACCTTCGAGGGAAGCAGTGTCAGCTTCACGGTCTACCCGCCACTCCCTCCTGGTCTAGAGCTGGACGAGAAGACTGGAACGATCAGTGGTGCCCCTACGAGGGAGACAACATCTAGCGGAAAGCCAGGGGTAACAGAAAGCGTCAGGTTCGTCGTTACCGGGAAGAACTACGTGGGGTCACACTCAGTGGATGTTCACATCGAAGTGGCGAAGGTGGCGACAACACTGATCTACATGAAGTTTGACCTCGTCTACTCGCTCAACGAGTCCATCAAGGACAACGAGGTGCTGCTCTGCGACGCCTCTGCTCCGAGGAGATTCACAGTGGCCAGAGAAGTTGAGAAAGCTAGAGAGGTGTTCAACAGGTTCGACAAAGACGACAGCGGGGCTCTTGATCCCAGCGAGTTCCGACTTTGCCTGAGAGATCTAGGGGAGAAGTTGACTGAGGGAGAGTTCCGATGGCTGCTCGCTCAGATCGACAAAGACGGGACTGGACAGATCGAGTTCGAAGAGTGAGAGGCCTGAGGCTTGTCCTCGCTTGCTGACGTTGCTTTGCAGGTTTTGGGAGTACTGGAAGCAGCTTCCGTACGGCCTTGAGATGGAGGAGAGGACCGGAACGATCTACGGTCGCCCCTTGCGCAACTGCGAGCTCGGCACGTGGGTTGTCACAGTCTGGAACAAAGTAGGACACTACAGCGTGAAGATGAAGATGCAGGTGCTCGACGAGTCTCGATCGCGCGAGAGAGACGCAGACAAACGGAGGCAGTTTTGGTATACGGGGGAGAGAACGATGAAGTTTGTCAACGGCAGCGAGTACCGAGGACGCTGGAAGAACGGGAAGTTAGACGGGAGGGGTACTTTCGTGGGGGAAGATGGGTATGTGTACGAGGGCGAGTGGAAGTATGGGAAACGGCATGGCACATGCAAGGAGAAGTTTCCTGATGGCATGCAGTTCGAAGGCGAATACCTGGAGGGATGCCGACATGGGCGGGGCAAGCTGACATGGCCGAACGGGAGCGTGTACGAGGGAGACTTTGTGAATGGAAAGAGAGAAGGGAAGGGGATGCAGAAGTGGAGGGACCAAGACGGGACTCTGTACAAGTATGACGGGGACTGGCTGAACGACAAGCAGCATGGCTCTGCAGTGCTGGCGTACGGGGGTGAGGCGTACGACATTGAGAGCAGGTTTGGGTCGGTCATCCTGATGCAGCCCCACGAGAAGGCTCGACGGACTTTCACGTTTCCGGACAAGTCTTACTATGATGGAGAAGTTGGGGACGTGGAGGAGCAGGAGGAGATGTGCTTCCATGGCTCAGGCTCGAGGTGGTGGGAGGATGGATCCAAGTACAACGGGGAGTTCGTGCTAGGAAGCAGAGAAGGATGGGGAGAGTTTCTGTGGCCCAACGGAAGCCGATATGAAGGGCAATGGAAGAGAGGGAGGCCGCACGGAAGAGGTTTCTTCCGCACAGGAGACAAGGTTCATGCGGTCTGGCATGAGGAAGGGAAGTTGCAGTCCAGCGCTCCGGTCGCTAAGCTCCGTGTGCCGAGCACAGACGAGCTCTCCGTCGGGATCACAAAGAGGATGAGGAAGGCCAAGTTTGCGGGCAAAGAATCGTACAACGAGGAGATGATGGAGGAGGTGCCGTACAGGGAGAGAACGATAGCAAGTGGCTATCGCGATGGGACCAACATAGTGGACAGCTACCGGGATGTCTCCCGCAGAGACAGCGTCTTTCCTGAGATCAGCAAGATGCGCTTCCGATCCTCCTCCTCGCGCTAGAGGTTAGAGCTGAGCCTGCTCGCTAGAGCCAAGTCAGATGTAGACTAGCAAAGAAGCAATCAACCTATGATGGCATGAATGTGTGACATAGCCTCTTGCACCTGCTCCTTGCTCGGGTTGTCCCCCAGCTTCTCCAAGCCCATCGCTGACATTGGGATGCCCAGGCCCTCAGCCTCTCGAGCAAGCTCAATGATCCTCTCCCTCCACACAAGGGAGCTGTCTGGCTGCACCCTCACGGCCCCCTGCTCCATCATGTCTAGGCGCTCGTCGTTGGGTTGGGCGCTTGCACTGCTTCCTCCGAGGGCGTTCTTGCGAGCAGACAAGGCGTAGAGAGGGTCGGACCCCTTAAAATCTCGGTTCAGAATCGCTCTCCGGTGAACCTCGACATCGTAACCTGCATGTACCAGAAGATTCTGCACAAGCTCTAACCTGCCCTCCTCATCTCGATCCAGGAAAGCTGTGATTGCCTTGGTCGGAAAGCAATGCCTGGTCCAGCTGACAATGACCACTCCATCATCTTTTAATACTCTCCTGATGTCTGCCAGGAGCTTCTCAGGATGAGTGAGGTACTGGATCGTGAAAGCAAGCAGAACGGCATCGAAGCTCTCGGCTTCAAAAGGAAGATGCTGCTTGCTGTTGAGGTCCAAGACCAAATATTCGTCTAGTCTGTGATTACTTCTAAGTTCGACTTCGTTCAGTCCCACACCAACTACTTGCGCATACTCCACATCATCAGGAAGATGCGAAACCCAGGAAGACCCAAGATCCAGTACGCGGCGATCGGCAGGAATCAGCGACTTGTATATGTCGGTGAGACGTTGCAGACAATCATGATCGGCATGATAAACAAGACGAGGGCTTTGATAGAAGATGCTGTCATCGCTCTCATCAGCTCTTCTCCTCTCAGAAGGCGGCATTCTCGCATAATCGTTTACGTTCGCCATGCGGCAAGGTCTCCTCAGCCGATGAGTCAAGGATCCACGAGGGAGACAAGAAGACAGAGGAGGAGGAGAGAAGCAAGAGACTTGATGGAACAGAGGAGGAGAGAAGCAAGAGACTTGATGGAGGTAAACCAACAAGACAAGAGGACAGAGGAACTCCTTCCTCAACATTCACAATGCCTCCTCTCCCTCCTCCCGTTCCTCGCACACAACCCTTGCAGAGCAAACTGTTGGTGCACTTTTACAACTTGACAAGTTCACCTCAGCATTCAATTAGTTATTCTCACAGGAACAGCAAAATAAACAAATAAAGAATTTCGTTGATGCTTTCTCTTGGTGCCTATAATCTCGGTGAGGCGGATCTGCTTCACCAGTAGTGCGGAACAGTGGCTCAGAAGAAGTTTCGCCGGATAGCGTCAGCATTGAACTTCTCCATCAACCTGCCGACCATCAAGTGACTTCAGCAGAAGCTGCTGGGAGATGCTGGGGGAAACAATCGAAAGTTTGCATGGAATGTTATAGGTTACTATTGTACCGATTTAAGTAAGGTCAAAATTCTAAATTTGAAAAAATGTCCCAGAGGCAGTACCATCATGATTTTATCGTCCTACTATCTCAGGGTGAGCAAACAAGTTTCCGTGTCTCACATCCATCTCAGCTACCCCTCCCATGCGTCTGATCGCTTCTTGCGCCGATGCCAGCGCCCTGTGAGCTTGCAGCTCGGGCGAGAGCGCGTCCATCCCAACGCCCGGGAAGCTATGAACGGCAACTGGATGCGGCATGTTGTAGGCGTATGGTTTAACTCTCTGCATTCTCGAAGGGTGACTTAACCGAACTGGTCGAGTTTCAAGGCATCAGCGTTGCAGCGTTTGTTTAAGAGGCAGATCACCTTGTGACTCGTAAGGCTTTAACCCCCGAACGATCCAATCAAAAGGATTTGACGAGACCGGGGGCTGAGACAAGGTCAAATATGCCACATACATCCCCTGAATAAAGATATAGCTACCTGCTTTTTGACAAGAAATCTTTTGGGATCCTCGTACACAGTCAGCTTGTGCCTTTGGTCCTGCTTATGCGTCCTATCCAATGCGATCTTGGAGATAAGTCTGTAAAGCTCTCTCTCAACCTGGGCGTTCATTTCGCTCTTGATAGCCATCTGAAAAACGAAAAATCAGAGCTCCACCAGTTTGTTGGACCACGATGTAGACACACCGATTTTGGCTTTCGGAGTTTGTTCACTATGATCGTTCTTGGGATTCTCTCCTCGCCAATTCTCGGGAGATCATCGTTTCTTGAAGCAGACAAGCGCATCTCTTCATCCCTTTGAACCTTTCCTTGTAAGATATGGAGATCCTTCTCGATATCTTTCAATTCCTCCTCCATGTCGCCCTAAGGCAGGTAGTGAGAACTCGAGTGTCTTCGAAAGGACGTGCTGGTACCGATTGCTCCGAGGACGAGGCAATGTCTTGGGCCCTTTTCGTTTCCGCTTTTGCTGCCTCGATGTCTTCCTTGCCCGCTTCTTCCATTCTCTAAGGCAAGGAAGTTACCAGTCACAAGATCTCTGTGATCAGACATCACACACTTTTCTTTCCAAACGAGAATTCTTTGCTGCGTGCATAGCGATGTTTGCTTGTTCTCGAGCCTCCTTCGCTTGTCTCTTTGCTTCCTTCTCAGCCGCTACAAATTCCTGCGGATCTGAGTTAATTCGATTTCAAAGGCAAACCTCTGTGAGGTCTGCAAGGTTACTTTTGAGATCAGCTCTGATTGCAGCTCAGCAGCCTCAGCCCTTCTTGCATCTTCTTGGGCTCGGAATTCAGCATCCTGACTTGACAAATAAGCTTGAAGTTCAAATGTTTTAGAGGATTTGCCTTCGCTCTTTGCATCATCTTCCTCTCCTCCTTTTCAACCTTTTCTGCAGATGCAATTGCGTCTCTTCTTGCCGAATCAACTCTCTGAAAAGACTGCGCGCATGTTGTAAGATCGATATGTAGAATTCCTCCCTTGTTTTATTGCACCTGGTCGTTTGCACCTTCGGTGGATCTAAATGAGATCTCACTCTGATCTGCAGCTTTCTCCGCAATCCTACGCTCGTCAGCAGCTTTTCGTTCTGCTTCCTTTGCCCTTCGTGCAGCCCTGGCCTCTTCAATCATTCTCTGGTCCTCGTCTTGAGCCGCATATTCTTCATCCTCGACAATCTACAGCAAGTGAGTGAACAACATACGATGAAAATCTTGAGCTGCGAGTGTTACCTCTTTGGCATCAGCAGCTGCACTGGCTGCCATTTTGGCAACTTCTGACATTTTGTTTGACGTTTCCATGATCCTTTTGTTAATCGACTCAGCAACCCTTAGTCTATTCGCTCTATATTGTTCTCGCTTTGCAGCCCTAATGCAAAGCTCAACACGAGGAGAGAGAGGAAAGCAGGGAGGTAGATGAATACCTTTCGAACTTTTCAGCCTTCTTTGCATCATCTTCAGATTTTGTCTCATCAATCTGTGACTGCTGAGCAAACGCTTTGCCAATGATGCTTCCGATCACAGCCGCTTCTTGCTCACTCTTGACATCTTTCCGCTTCTCTTGTTCTGCTTGTCGCTCCCTTTCCTCTATTGCTTCTTTTTCTTTCTTCATGGCTTCCTTCGCCTGTTCCAGTTTGCGATCGACAATAATTTGAACTGCATTTTTGATATCTGAAGTGCTGTTTCCCTTATTCTTCCCAGCGACAAGATTCTTGATTGCTTGTATCAGCGCGGCGTAATCATCAGAAGATGTTAAGTTGTTGGATGCCAAGGTCGTTTCTTTGGCGCCCAGTGAGGTCAGTAGTTCGTACGTCAGGTTCGGGTTATCACTCTTGTCAGACTGTTCACCGCTTAGAATGCAAACGAGGACTAAGAGAACGCAGATCCCTGACGCGGCCAGGGTGATGCAAGGACCTCTCATCCTGTCTCAGAGCTCTGCCGCACTTCCCTCCTCCTCTGCGCTTTCACCCCACCGCCATGGGACGCCCGAAACCCAACTTGAGAACACTTGTTGATTTTATAATATGAATAACAAAAATTGATGTATGACAGATAACTATATATATCGTTGCAGTACAATATTGAAACCGAGAAGCTGAACATGAAAGTATAAATTTGTACTAATAGTTTGGATTTGGTACTCATATTGACTGATAAATTTGTACCAGTTACTACCTTCTCCCATCAAATTACAACAGCTATTATACAATCCCGGAAATAGAAACGGAGTCGGACGGGATGAGGGGCAACGGACCCGGCCTCTGCCGCATCGGCACTGCCGGCACTGCCGCCTGAGTCCGGGCCGACCGTCCGACGGAGGCCGCGCTGGAAAGCCTCGGCTACTAGTCGCTTTGAGTAAAGAAAGTCGCCGGTCGGGCTCGACAATCGGATGCCGCCGCCGGCCGGTGCGGCGGGAGTTTACTGTCATTTTGATTGAAGTATTTTGGTGTCAGGATAGTACAACAAGAGATCAGCCTTAGTAGCTTAAAAAGGATCTATGAAAGCTTGAGATAGAGAGAAGAAAGAAGAAAGAAGAAAGAAGATATCCAGGCCACCGCGATCATTTCAATTGAATTCATCGCTCCCTGCCTTTCAGTTTACTTGCGCTTGCCATCCTTTTGAGCCGCTAATGCTGCCGCTGATGGAGTATTCTGCCGAGATTGCAAATTGAAGACTTCGGCAGATAACTTACTATTATTCTCCCTGAGCTTGAGCGCTTCCAATTTGTACTTCGAGGCCAAATGCCGGAGTTTGTAAACGTCTTGATTGGTCGGAAGATTCTTCGAATCTCTTTGCTTCATCTCGATAGAGGTTATCTCACTTTTCAAGTCAGCATTCTCCTTGACCAGGGCCTTGTACTTTGTCAAAATGCTTTTGGCCCTTGTATCTGCGCCTTCTTGACGTGCAGGCAGTGACGTTAACTTCGCATTCTGTCCCTTCAATGCTTCAATCTTCTTAAGCTCATTGGAATCAGAAAACGGGGACGTTGCATTTCCTTCTCTCATGATTTCCGCAATGTCCGAAGCACTGACGGTTTTGATTTCATTTTCGATGTTCTCTCTCAAAGTGTTGAATTGTGCCTGCAGAATGGATCTCACTTTCTTCAGCAGACCCTCCTTTGCTGCAGCAACTGTCATCATCTTTGATACGGGCTTGCTCGCTTCATGTTGCTGCCGCTCCAACTTTTGTACCTCGCTCTGCAATTCTAGAATCTGTGCCTTGTCTTTCATCCTTCGAACTTCATCTTTGAGCTTCAGCATCTGCGAGTTAAGAGCTGCAAGAGACTGCCCATGTCCATCATTACGCTTGCTTTCCAAATTATTGATGAAGGCAAGTTGTAATGACTTGGGGACGTCCTTCGCGATGATCCCCAAGACATATTTTCTGGCTTTCAGCTTGTCCTCATTCGCCATCTGCCGCTTGAGATTCTCTGACTTGCTATCTTCGAGATCAACATTCTTTGCTTTCGCTTTCTTTCTCAAACTTAGTTGAGTGACATGGGCTCTGCCTGATGCAGATTGATCCACTTGCTTCTCACTGAGGTAATTTTCTGCTCGAATCTTCGCTTCTCGAAGATCCTTTCTCTCTTCCTGATAAAAGATATCAATCAGCGACAGTGATTTGAATTCTTATGGCAAAAGATGCTCAAGTCGCCAACACACGCTTTTTGGGGTCGAAATATGCAACATACCCGTACGTTCGGATCTATATCATTTTTGAGCTCTGCGCTAAGATCCGACCATGACGCTCCTTGTTTGATGCTGGTTGATGCATGCGTTGCTTCATGCGATGGCTTCCACTTTCTGACGTAGCTAACAGGGCCACTGCGGTTAGTAGTCTTTCAGTGTGGATTCCTTGCTTACAGTGACTTGGCAAGGCTTTTCCAGGTGGGAGACGGTTGCTTGTCAACAGAATGCTTCCTTTCTTCAGTCTTGTCATGCAGCATTGATCGCTTGTTGTTGTCCATCAAACTTGCCGCTCTCTCGCTCTTACTGCCGCTACTCAACAGTGAATCCTGTGTTCAAGACGCAGCACCAGGATGAGTTTTGAATCACCAACGATGGGAGAGTCAAACAGTCACCTCCTTGTCAGCGGCAGGAAAATCCATCTTCTCCGAACCTCCACTGTCGCCAATGTTCGACATGCTGGATTCAGCCTGCAAAGAGCACAGGCAAAGTCAGAGAGCTAATCCGTCCTAGCACAAAATCCCTCACCCTGCTGTCATAGTGGTGCAGCATAGATTGCATCATCTTCTTTCGCAAGGATGCAAAGTTCTCTGGACATTTCAATTCAGTTCCTGAATCTCATACCCTGATGATTCTTAAAATGAATTCCTCACCTGAGTTTGGAGGAGGCGCCTGTGCTCTTGTCAATCTATCTGATGTTGTCGTTGTCCGGCGATGAGCTGCCAATGGCATGAAACCATATGCCTTTAACGCATCTTCATCGTCCCCGTACTTATTTATCAGGTACCCGTCGATACCGGACAACAACTCTGATTCTGCCTTTAACCCCCCCGATCCTCCATGCGCTATGAACAAAATTGCCAACAGGCTGCAACCTAGCAACATGGGAACAGCACAAAAAAGACGAAAGTAGCGACTCTCAGAGCTTGATCTCGTCTCGCATGTCGATCCAGGGCTTCTCATGGGAGCGGTTGATTCTTCCATGCTGCTTGTGTGTGATTGTATGTTGATGAAACAGCTGGACTGCTTCTCAATCGCCCTTCTTCCTCGTCCCACAAGGAGCTAACTTGCCTTTTGGAACTATCTGCTCTTATTTTATCACCACAGCCTCCGAGATGATTGAAAGGCCTGGGAATAAAAGTCAGAGCTTCATTAGCGGCTTTCCACAACCACATTCCTTTCGCGACACGGAAACAGCAAACACACCCTCCCTCCTTCAGCACCACACATTCATATCCGTGTCCTCATTTCATCCCATCCTTCCTCTCTCATATTTTCCCCTCACTCTCCTCCTCTCCTTACCATGTCCTGTCCCTCCTCTTATTCCAGCCCGGCCATTAGTCTCCCGTAATAGCAATGGACCACCCCTACCCCCCAGTCAAAACACCCCACATTTGGACCAGGGTACAGAACAGGTTTGCCTCAGAAGTCTTATTAGAGGAACAGAAAGGCACAGATTGCAGCATAGTACTCTTAGTCCAGCAAAGAATTCAGAAGGGCAGAAGTCACACCATAGCAATTCATCTAGTGGAACAAGCAATTCAATCTTGGGCAGAAAGGGGTTATAAGAGCTCTAGGAGGAAGGAGCAGAGGAGAGGAAGGGAGGGAGGGGGGGCGGTATCGGAGGGAGTGGATGAAGTGGACAAGGGAAGGCATGCAGACATGCAGGGAACAGGAAGAGAAGACATGAGAGGAGGGGAAAAGAAGAGGCAGGAAGAAGCGAGAAGGAGCCTTGCAATGGCAAGAAAAAAAGTTTAGCATTCAACAAAGGAGGGCTTTCGAAGACCAGTGGTTTGAGGTTCAGACATTTGAAAGAACTAGATCAAATAAACTGATGCAGCTGAGAACTTGATGATGGTTTGGCATGATGTATGGCCATGGATTGTATAGCAGAGGAGGTTGAGCCAATGCGATTTTGGTTGCAGATGGAGGTTCGCGTATCAAAAAAACAGATAAAGACAAAGATGACAGAGTATGGTTGATGAAAAATGGGGACACGACTTATGATGACGTTGTTGTAATCGATATGTTCATGAGATCAAGGCACTTGATACTTCTGATCAACAATATCCCATCGGCCACAACAAGCCACAACCTGCGTACAACCACGAAACTGAAATGCTGAGCAGAAACCCGACATGTCTGGTACTGGTGTCATTGTCTGCAAGGCAGCCGTGGCCTATGCCGCTGGGCAACCGCTTGTGGTGGAGGACATTCAGGTGGGAAACGAGATTGTGCTGCTTGTGGTTGATGCGATGGCAGGTCGAGCCCCCAAGGGCAGGAGAAGTGAGAGTCAAGCTTGTGGCTTGCGCTCTCTGCCATACCGACGCCTACACGCTCTCCGGTGCTCCAGCTCCCTTGTCTCGAGTGTGATGATTCACAGCACGATCGCAGGGTCTGATCCCGAGGGATTGTTCCCCTCAATCTTGGGCCACGAGGGTGGCGGTATTGTCGAATCTGTGGGAGAAGGAGTTACGAGCGTTGTTCCTGGTGATAGCTCTTGTCGTGGTGGAGGAGGATGGTGATTGTGGATGCAGGGGACCATGTGATTCCTCTTTACACCCCTGAGTGCAAGGATTGCATGTTCTGCAAGTCTCCCAAGACGAATCTTTGTGTCAAGGTTGTCGCTCGATTTTTGGCTGACGGCTTCAAAAGCTTTGACTCGTGCGTGCTGCATCAGATTCGGTCTACTCAGGGCAAGGGTCTCATGCCGGACGAGACCACGAGGTGAGGGATGCGGACTTGTGGATGAGTCGATGATCAGTAGCTGCTAAGGTACAAGAACATGAAGGGGGAGCCGCTCTTTCACTTCATGGGTTGCTCCTGCTTCAGCCAGTACATTGGTACTTGCTTGCTTCTCTCCGCACAGCACGCTGACGAATGCTTGCTCAGTTTGTGCTGAGATTTCTGTCGCCAAGATCAACCCCAAGGCTGATCTCAGGTGAACATGATTTGTGGCGTCGACTGCCCTCTTTCTTACTTGCAACCGAAGCATCGCATGCCTGCTGGGCTGCGGTGTCACCACTGGTATCGGTGCAGCACTGAACACTGGTGAGTGTTGCTCATCATGAACAACTGCAGTTGATGAGCTTTTGAACAGCTGGAGTGGAGCAGGGCTCCTCCTGCGCCGTGTTTGGACTCGGAGCAGTGGGTCTGGCAGGTACAGGGGACGATGGCCGAAAGATCGTGTGGATGACGTGGCCTCAGTTATCTACGGTTGCAAGATGGCAGGCGCGAAGAAGATCTTTGCCGTCGACATCAACCCGGCAAAGTGCGTTGTCGACCTTTGAGAGAAGATGCAAGAAATCTGAACTGCTCTCTCGGCAGGTTTGAGATCGCCAAGAAGTTTGGAGCAACCGATTGTATCAATCCCAAGGACTATCCTGTGACCCCTCCGACCTGGTATTTCTGTCTCTGATCAAACGGCGCAGGACAAGCCCATCCAGCAAGTCATCACTGGACTGTCCGGTGAAACAACGGACGACTCTAAATCACATTTGCTGAATCCCCATAAACAGAGAGTGGCTTTGGCATCGACTACACATTCGAAGCTATCGGGCGTGTAGAAACCATGCGATCTGCCCTTGAATGTGCTCACCGCGGGTGACTGGCTGCGCTGAGGAATCTTCTTGTCACTCCTTTCACACAGATGGGGCAAGAGCGTCATCATCGGAGTTGCTGGGTCTGGCCAGGAGATCTCTACTCGCCCCTTCCAGGTTTCCTCCTCTTGCCCTAAACCCCTTCCTCACCTGCCAGCGGCTCACTCGCCCTCCAGCTCGTTACGGGACGTCAGTGGCTCGGCACAGCCTTCGGAGGATACAAGTCGAGGTGTTGAAGTCAGATTAGCTGCTCCTTCCGTATGTGACGGTGCGACACGGCAGGTCGAGCGTTCCTCAGCTGGTGGATCAGTACATGGAGGGCAAGATCCCTCTCGAGGACTTCGTGAGGCGAGCTGGAAGGCTCGACAGCAGTCTGAGGGCCCTTGCAGGTGACGGACAGGATGAAGTTGGAGGACATCAACAAGGCGTTCGAGAAGCTCCACGAGGGTTCGGGTGAGCCGAGGCAGCCGGCTGTCCCTGACTCAGTGAGCAGGGTCCTGCCTTCGTTGCGTCATCGATATGCAGTGAGTTTCGCAGGATACCGTCGGTCGTCTTGCAGTCGTTGGACTCGACGCCAAGGGAATAGTAATAAAACTCCATCATGTCATCCACATGTCATCCTGGAATCGCTGCCCCAAAAGAAGAGAAATTCACATAGTAGAAAGTTCACTTTAGTGCTCTGTCTTTTTCACTCCTCTTTCCTTCTCATGAGGCGAGCTGGCATTTGCTCTGAGACTTTGTTACGAAGCCATGAAAGTCTTGGTGACCCTCAGCTTGTGCTGGGCGCATGCGAACGCGTTTCTAGCACCTCCCCCCCTCAAGGTCTCCAGTGCTCCTGTGGGAAGTTCGGCATGGCTGCACCAACCTGTCAGGCTCTCTTCTCCTCCTCGTGCTCCATGCCGATCCCTCCGCCTCGTGCAGTGCCAGCTCTCCCCTGCGTCCAAAGTGCTAGCTTCACAGCTCAAGGAGAGGCCTTTCTTCGCCAAAGGCGAGTGGATGCTGAGCGTGCGCTTGTTCGTGTTGACCATTCCTCTATGCAGGAAGAGTTGGAGGGGAAACGTGTGCCAGGGCCTTCGAGAACGATGTGAAGACAGAAGCGTAAGACTGAATGTCGGAAGTGATGGATGCTGCAGAGGTTCGTTACAGATTCCGAGCTTGCTGATGGGGGGTTCTCTTCCTCAAGAGCAGGCATGATGAAGGTCCTGAGAGACAACGAAGTGGCGATCATCGGTCCGCCACCCGCTCCCATCTTGGGCGTCTACAAGCTCACATGGACTTGCAGGAGCGGCGAGGCAAAAAGTTTATGACAAGTTTCCGGGGATCACGGAGCCTGGGGGAGGCCTGTATCCTCCCATCAGAGCAGAAGCATGCTGGAGGGACTTCTCGACGTTCCTCAAGGTAGACAGGTTGTGTCACCCCATCCTTGATGACAAGTCAGCAGCTTGTCAGCTATGGGACCCTCGCAGGAAACCCAAACATCGCGGATGACGAGGGATCCGAGATCATGGGAAAGCTTTATAGAGAGGTGAAGACCTTCTCTCTCCTCGCATCTTCTTCCTCAACCTGCCCCTCACTGCCCCGACGCGGCAGATGAAGGTTCCTCTTGATGCCATGGAGGAGGGGGTGAAGGGTCTAAGAGACGCCTCCTTGGAGCATGTCCGGACCAGAGGCGAGTGTAGCTGCGAGCCTTCGTGCCGTGTAAGTAACAAAGTTGAGCAGCGTCTGACGTCATAGGGGAATGGCCTGGTTGCGAAGCAACGTTCAACAACCTGATCAGTGTGCTCCGGAGCTACAACAAGCTGTGAGGCAAGGATGCCACTCGGACTCGGCGAGGGGACGCAGGCTGCTGGACTGAGTGTTCAGGTAGTCAGCATGTAAACCATCATGTCAGCCATCGCTGTCTGGGTTGGAGGGATTTGAGGGTCATTAGCAGAATGAACAGAGGAAGGTCCCTGAATATTAAATTCCTGAATCACAATAATATGGCACAGTGTCGAGTGTTTTGTAGTACCACGGGAGGACATTCCATGCAGAATTCCAGTCCAGTATCAACTGGCAATGATTGATTAAGTTTATTCCAAGGGCGACAAATCCTTGAAGTGTCTTAAAAATCGAATGAAGTGGATAAAAGTGGTCTCGTCCCATCGCAGATTGTCAGCTGGTAAGTTCAGCTTGCTTTCAATAACAAATTACATTCCTCTTGGATTGGCATGATCAATAACTTTCGTTCAGTGCCCTCGTCCTTGAGGTTGGTACTGACTGGGCGGAACCTGCATAACGTCCTGCAATCCTCGTGTGAGCGACGAGGGAAGAGGAAAGAAGGGAAGGGAGCCAACCAGAGTGTTTGCCAGCCAGTCTGAGATGTCAGCTCCCGCATAGCGAGCCACGAAGGGATGATTGAGCAACTGCTCTGCGTTCGGTCGCTCTTCAACCCTGTGCTTACATCAAGGCTGGTCCTCAGATGCAGTCAAGATTTTACCGTTTCACCAGCGACGCCGCAATGAAACTACAAAATTCAGGTGAAAATTGACCCTCAGGCAACCGAGGAGGATCATCATCCACAACCCTAGAAAGCAGGATGTCACTCAAAGATCGGGAACCACGGGCATGACCCTACCTGTCCAGCAAAAACATCAACTCCATCCTCTTTGCAACTCCCGAGCAATCATATGGAAACTTCCCCGTACTCAACTCCACCAAGGAGAGAGAGAGACTCCAGATATCGCTGTTGTACACATATTGTAATCCTGCTATTCTGCTCCCACGTCGTTACAATGTTGGTCTGGGGCTTCTGCAATGCTCTACCTTTCCGGCGACATGTAAGTTGTTGATCCAACCCACGTGTTTGCAGGATCTAGAGTATTTTTCAATTGTGTTGACATCCCAAAGTCTGAAACTTTAAACTGTAGGAGGTCGTCAGAATCCGATTGGCACACGAGGCTCTACGGGCAGCAGTAGAGTGTATCTGTCGCACCTGTCCCATGCTATTCACCAGAATATTTGAAGGTTTTATATCTCTATGTATGAGCTTTCTTTCCTGCATAAGGAGCGTCATCATCTGATAACTTGCACTGGAAGAAGTTGCCTTATGTAAATATCGTAGACCCTCCAACAAAAATCCGCAAGCATATCCTGCAACCTAACGGCAAGGTTCATCAAAAGCACAACCAGGCACCTAGCGCCACACACATGCTCAGGAATAGGCCCAGTCCGAGAAACGATGTCCTTGAGTGAATAGAGATCCATGAATTCCGTTGCAATAATAATAGAACTTCTGTCTGGAAAATAATCTGCAGCAGTGTCGCATCAGGAGCACCTCAACGATGTCGTCCGATCTTACCCGCTCCGAAAAATGCAACAACGGACGGGTGAGCGGAGCTGTAACTGCAAGGACGGCGAGTCAGCACTCTTGGTTGCGCGGGAGAAGTACCTCACAGTTCAACGAGCTGCTGGAGCACAGACATCCTGTCCTCATCACGGAGAGTGACAGGAATCACTTTCAGAGCAACAGGAGAGTAGTCCGCGCTATTGTAGGCTTTAGTTACAATGCCACTCGTCCCAAGGCCACAAGGATCCCACTCCCCATTAGGCTTGGTCGGGACCTGTACCGAAAATCCGGTCATGAGAAAGTATGGCGCCAGCCTAAAACTTTATGGATCCAATATCCGTTATGCATATATACACAGAAAGCACTTGATTTTGATAGAACTTGCTTGAAATATCAATCAACCATACTCTATCACCATCCCACGCGATTATTCAACCCCCAACAGATCACCATGTAGGGGGCGCAACAATCAGCGTAACGACGCTCGCAACCCCTCAGCCTGGCATTGCGGCGCTTTTGGACACAATCAACATGCCATCAGGTTGAGCAGTCATAATCACTTCACTTTCTCATGCTCACTTTCCTTCCTCCTCTCATTTCACACCCTACCTGGAAGGGTCCGATGACTAGCATCGCCATTTGCCGCCGCCGCCGCCGCCGCCGTTACAGACCGTTGCATCTCCGGCAGGGGGGATGAAATATAGAGAGGGGTGGAGGACCCTCCACCCACCCTTGATATTCAGTTTTTTAGATTGAGAGGGGTACTATAACTGTACCACCCTACCCCCTCGAATATCCCTTTTGCCCGTGCAGGTTTATTGGGGCTAATGAGCCCGCCTCACGAAGGCCGAGTTATAGTACGGTACCGTCAAGTCTGTCCGGGGCCCGTGGCTCAGCCTTCCCGGGCACGGGCCCCGCCGGGCGCAGTCCGGCGGTCCGGGTCCTGAGTCCGCTGGATCTCGGCCCGGATCAGCACTGCGGCACTGTCACTGCCCCTCCTTCCCCCGGACTCGGGAGTTCTCACTCAGTGGCTGAACTAACTCGGTTCAACCGAAAAGACAACAGTACTTCATGTTCAAATAGCTTACAGCCTGATAGTTAAGGGCGTGCCTTACTACTGGCACCGTCTGATCACGGATCACGGTTCACCGATTCGCCCCTGAAGACTCAGACGTTCCAAGAGAACCCGTCGACATTGGACGGCGTACTCGGCTCGCCGGGACCCCCCATACCTGATGGATCGCTGTGGTTCGAAGAGTCCATCGACAAATCATCTGGAAACAGTCCACCACCCTGATCTCCCACAACAGCAAAACGTCAGAAGACACTCCAAACAGAACAGAGGCAAATGACCATGTCGGCTTCAGCAATTGACGAGTTAGAATCCATAAGGTCTTCAACATTGTCAGAATACTCCTCTCCAAACACCTCCTTGCTGTAAATCTCCATCACGACCTTACAAACACACTCATGTCATCAAGTACCACTTCTGTCTAGTCCTTGGATGTCTCGCAATATACTTCCACGTCCCCTTGCCCGAGGACTCCGACGGGTAATAGGTCTCGAATTCGCTGCTGGACTCTTTCTCCTCGTCCTCGTCCTCGTCCTCGTCCTTGCCCTCAACCTTGTCCTTATCCTCCTCATCGCTGTCCGAGTCTCCTGGTTTGGGAAGAGAAGTCGATTCCGAGCTTTGTGACCAGAGTCCTTTGAAGAAGTCTGACTCTTCATCACCGAGGTCTATGATTGTATCATCTTTCACCTGACCACTCATCTCAGTCACGTTGGTCATGGTTAACTGCAAGCTTCACTTTGAATTTCTCCTTAGGTTTGGTCCTTCCCTCCTTGAATATCAGAAGATCATTTGAGTCTGATTCTGGAACTTTGCCTTGTTGCTTCCACTCTTCTTCTACCTCGTCCCTACATTGCTTCAAAGCAGTCGTCAATCGATCTCAGTTGTGAATGACACAAAGTTACCAGCAGCGTATTATACATGTCATCCACAATCTGATGCTCCGATTTGCTCTCTTTCATGTCTTCTTTCCTCACGTAAACTGCATGCGTTTCAACAACTCTGCGAGAAACTTGACAAAATTGATAATGTGCCTTTTTCCTCAGTTCTCAGCATATCAATTATCTGGGAAGGATGCCATGAGAACGGAAACAGCTCCTGCACACAGGTACACCTCCGCATAATGGGACCCCATCTTCCCATCTTCGTCCAATCCCCACATTTTTGCCATGTCCAGAGCTGTTCGACCTGTCAACTGAGTTAGTTCATCATTTTAACGATCACAGCCCGCACCGCTGTAGTAAGTCTTCAATTTCGGATTGGCGCCAGCATCCAAGAGCCGACGAACAATGTCAACATATCCGTTGCCTGGTTGATACTTATGTCAGTCGTTCTTTCGTAAAAGTTGTGTTGAGTCAGGTTTTACAGGTGGCAAGCTGCAGTGCGGTGTAATTCATACAATCAGTGGCGTCAATCCGAGCTCCCTGGTCGAAATTGGTGAGCACAAGAGAAGTTTGATCTAACCGTGAATGCGATGCGAGTTCCGTTGCCTCAGATGATGGCACAAACCTGCTTCATCCAGAAAACGAGAGCCGAGATATTTCCTTCTTCCGCTGAGTTTCTGAACTATTGCAGATATCAGCAGATCAAATACTCGCTGTTTGCAGCTTACCTGGTGATCAATGTAATCCTGCTCATTGTCAAACTCACGCGGAAATGTATCCGGAGGAATGATCCACGTCTCATTGAAACCTTCTTTCAAACCCTTGAGCATTCTTGCCATCTGAGACGCGTATCGATTCTCAATCTCCTCGTGATCCGTTGCAAGCCCTGCTTCCAGTTCCAGCCTCCTCTGCGCATCTGCAGTGCTTGATGGCGCTTGTTTCGAAGTGGATGACGTCCTACTTTGTGACTCCAAGTCAGATCTTGAAGCTTGGGACCTGGGCGTCCTGGGCGTCCTGGGGGTCTTGGGCGTCCTGGGGGTCCTGGGCGTCTGTGGAGTCTTGCGAGTTCGGGGTGTTCGTGGAGTCTGGGGCACGAGAGAAGACGACTGCATGTCGGAGCTTTTGTCTGGGCTGGGAGTTCGAAACCCATCCTGCTCGGGTTCGCTCACACTCTGCAGGATCCTGGAGAGGGGGCGTGGGCCCCTCTTGCTATTCCCTTTGCTGGAACCCCGTGAACTTCGTCGGAGAGGCGGAGATCTTTCAGCCTGAACAGAGAGAATCAGCAACATGGCATGCTGGCTCGAAGTTGGCAGAACTTACTCGCTGCGCTGCGTCCGGGTCCATGCTCGACATGTTCGAGGTCTCCATCCGAGAGAACTCATCTGAGCCTCCCCGCAGGTAGCAGAGGCGTCTACCGATCGTCGCAAGCTCAAGTGCGGATCTCTGGTCTGGCTCGGCATACGGTGACGGGCCGACCTCCACAGAGACCATCAACACGACGGTGACGAAAATTCTGGCAGGAAAGTTCCAAAACTCCATTGAGGGAGTAGGACGACTGGGACAAGTCCACCCAGGGTTTACTTGACACCAATGGACTTCATCGTGACCTTCATCTGCATCTTCGTTGCACTTGTGTCAGTATCCCGACCACTTGCCTCTTCATCGCGCTTGCTTCCCCGCCCTTTTCCTTCCCTCCTGCTCCAGTTCCCACAAGCATTTCAACGAATTCCGCCCCTAGGGTTGAGGGGGGATGAGGGCTACCGGATTCCCATGGGTCGGATCGCAATGGCGATCGGTGAAAAGGGGATAGAGGAGGAGATGATGGGACGCGCACGCGATATAGGGGGAGGAGAAGGGAGGGAAGGAGAGGAAAGGAGATGAGATGAGAGGAGAGGAGATGAGAGGAGATGAGAGGGAGGAGAGAGGAGGGGAGTAGAGGGAAGGAGAGAGGGGGAGGAGAGGCGAGATAATTCTTTGGTGCTGGTGCTGTCACAACGAGAGGAGGGGTTCTGATAGATCGGAGCACCTGCCGAAAGATGTTGCGTACGACCTTGTTAAAGTTCACTAAGGATGATGATGCAGGGAAAGAGGAGAGCAGCCATCTTGCGTAAGGAGAGCATATCATTGTCAACATGGCGTTGGCTTTCATGTACTCGCATTCTGTTGGATGCCCGCGTACCCCGTTTCCTGCCTCTCCATGCGGCAGGCCCTTGTGGTGCTATCCAGCACTTTCAAACCAGCTGAACCAGCCAAGAATTCTACGCAGTGAGAGGAGGAGATGGACCCCTGGGTTCTCACGCATGGGGTTGATCGGGGTCTTGCAAGCCATGTTCTCTGCACGCACACGTCCTTCACTTCGGATGAGCAGTCTCAACGAGGTGCCATCAACAGCAGGGAAGAATTTCGACGGGTTCATGGAGCATTTTTCAGTCAAGAGAAACATCAATATCATTGGAGGCGATAATGGATTGGAGCTGAGGCTTGTGAAGGATGTGAAAAGGGGTGAGGTGCTTCTCGCCATTCCCCGCAGAGCAATCCTGGAAATAGATGATGCTGCTACTTGTCCGTGTAAAGAATACATCACGGGAGAGATGTGGCAGGCAATCCCATCATATGCAAAGCTTGCAATCTACTTGCTATACTCCATCGATCATGCCGAGCAAGATCCTCGGCCACTGAGAGATTACTTCGACGTGTTGCCGAAACAAGTGCTGAGTACTTTCTCATGGTCTGAAGAAGCGATCCAAGAGCTGCAAGATCCGTACATGATAGAGCAGATTCAAACTCGGAGGAGGAAGATTCAACGATTGTTCCATGAAATTCAGAAAGGTCTCTCTCCTAGGATAACTTACGATCGACTCTTGTGGGCCATCGAGGTCCTGCAATTGTCTGATTTACAGCTTGTGAAGGATACTGACATGAAGTCATCATCGGCAGATCGTTCTTTCTCGAGCGTTTGCATTCAGCAGGACGGGAGGGGATGATCTTGTCTTTTCTGGTGATTCAACGATCCTTGTGCCGTAATGCGGCGGAATGAACCATCACACAGATGAAGGGTGCGGTGATGTGACTTGCCTGTTGCCTATGATAGATTCTGCCAATCACCTGCCCCTGATTTCTGGTTCCTCATGCAAGTCCTGTGTTGCCTTTGATGTCAAAGTAGGGACTAGCGTGAAGTATGATAACAGCAAGCAAGAGTTTCAGATCGTAGCAGGTGCGGTGATAAGAAATGTTGAAGTGAACTAAAATGCCGCACCCAGAGAAAGATTTCAAAGTGGGACAGAGCGTTGAGATAAGTTATGGTACAACATATTACGAACAATGAATTTGCCGTGATGTGTCATCATTTGCAGGATTGAAGAGCAATCATGAGCTCCTTCTAAGTTATGGATTCATCTTGCCCGACAATCCAGAGGTTTCATCACTGATTCTCTCACGGCTTGTTGAACTTCTGATGACCCTTTTTTTGTTTTTGTTTTTGTTTTTGTTTTTTTCAGGATTTTTTTGTTATCACAGATTCAAAGAAGTTTCTATCATCCGTTCTGAATGTCAGACTAGGTGAGGTTGAATCCTTCAGTGAGATAGAAATGATTCATTGTCAGGCGACGATGTTGTGATTGTCACTCCTATCATCACGAGAGATCTCTTGGATGAGAGTTTTGCGAGTAAACAGGTTTATACCATTGCCTACTCTCTGACGTTTTTGCTGAAGGCTTCGCGAAGAATGTTAGCGACTTGCTTCGTGAAGTAAGTGCTGTCTCTGCTTGCTGAGCCTCTACTCTCCCGTGACCTCTGACCATCAAGTCACCTCTTCGTGATTCCATCCAATTTTTCACTTTTCGACCTCCACTCCTGTTGACTGCTTGCTGTGCTTGTTCCTGAAATTATGTTCTAGGGGAAAGGCAGTGGGCAACCAACTCAAGATCCTTCCGGTAACTCACGACTCCTTTGCTTCTCATCTACTTTGCTCCCCAACTCCTGCATCGTCCCTTCTTAGCCTTCTTGCTCTCACTCCCCTTCACCTCCTCTGATATTGCTTGTCAAGTTCTCCAAAAGATCCAAGAAGTCTGTCGCCTTCAGCTGCATAGCATGAAGACCACAGAGGAGGAGGATACCCTTCTTCTCAGCTCGCTTAGCAAGGGTCCAGCAGCAACTTCTTCTTCGTGACGTGAAACTTCCGTCCAGGTGAAAAACAGCTGGCGGTTGAGTACAGGAGGGAGAAGAAGAGACTTCTTGCAGTGAGTACCATCGCTACCTGCTGCCCCGCACCCTTCGTTTCGCTCCATCCTCCTGTCCCCGCCTTCTTTCCTCTGCACTTGTCCTTGCTTGACCTCATCTCAGGACGCCATGGAGCTTCTAACGCGTCAGATGATTGTTCTGGTATGTAAAGAGAAAGCACAGGAGAGGCGAGAGGCGAAGGGGGAGGGAAGGTGGGAGAAGGGGGAGGGGAAAGGGAGTGGAAAACACATAGATTTTGCACAGCGAGGTGGCGTGTAAAGGAGGAAGAGTGTTACGATAGGGCACCAATGAGAGGAGACAGGAGAAAGAAGAGGACAACACGGTAACGATATAAGATGTTCTGATGCTCTATAACAGGAGCAGCAATACGCTATGATGCAAGATATTTTCTCCAACGAGCAATTCTCATGAATTTCATTCAAAACTCTCGTGGGAATGCTCGTTTTCTGGCACAGACTGCAGCTCTTGGATGTCCTCCTGTGAACGTTCATATCAGCACAGCTCGACCTTCCTCACACCTTCCCATCCCTCCCTATTTCCTGAACTTCCCTTCAACCACCCACCTCCTCCCTCTATCTCCGCTTCCCTCCCGCCCCCCCCCCCTCCTCTTCCTTTCAAGCGTTTCTTTTCATCCTCATCCATTTTAATCTCCTTGCCTGGATTTCCGACAGCATCGCAACATTACGTCGAACAAGCTCGGCGAGCTCGCTGTCGTACTCGTCCACCTGATATCTTCTGAGTGGCAATGGGGCAGAGGCAGAGGAGGAAGAAGAGGAAAAAGGAGGATGGAAGAGAAGATAGATGCTCTAGATGGGATGTCACCTCTGCTAGCAGTGACTCTGTCTCTCTGCTCTCACGTGCCCGAACCCCTGACGAACAGTCATCCTTCACATCCCTTCAACCCTCCCCCTCCCCCCCCCTTCTTCCTCCTCTTCCTCATTCCCTCTGTGTTCTATCGTCCTTGCCATTCTCACTAGCGTAGCATCGATTATGGTTCGGCTCTCCTCTTTCATATCTCCAATTGTATCTTCTCACCTGCTGATGTCATCGGCCTTCCAAACTTCGCAGATTCTTCTCGAAGACGTTGACACTGTGCCTGAGTACAACTCGAGTCAAGCAGAGCTTGGTCAGCCGCGATTGGGAAGTTGATGGTTGCGGTGAAGGAATCGGAAGATCAACATTCAAGAGTAGTGAAGCAAGTCAGACCTTGTAGTGCTTGACTTGGGTCTTCAACCTCGAATTTTGCTCCCTCCTGTTGGCAAGACAAACATCAAACCCCAACTGGAGGATAGAGGCCTTCGCACAATTTGTTGTCGTTCCATCGCTCATGAATTTCTTTCAACTGCTTTCGGAGAGAAACATTTTCTTCTTGCAAATGATACCTAACAGGGTAAATCACTCTCCTTCTTCCAACTTCACATCACACATGTTGGTGTTCTCTATCTTAAGTGTGGCAATTTCTTTCTTCAAGCTGTCAATATTTACATTTCCCTCTTGAGGCATGCTCCCCGATTCAAGCAATGCAAGCTTGCTCTGCAGACTCTGTAAATTTGCTCTCACACAAGCATTAATACAACCTGCAACTTTTCGATGGTCTTCAAAAGTCTCCGTATGATCATCTCATCACTCTTGTTGGTTGGTCGCTGATTGGTTTGCGGAGGAGATTGACCCGCTGTGCCCATTGCAAACTCACTCAGCATCTCTCCCAGCGATTGAGAATCTGCATGCTTGGCCGTCTGGATTTCAACAACTTGTGTGAGATTGTAAACAAGAAATCTGCAAGGAGGATCCTCACATTCATCATCTCTACAATCTCTTCGATTGAAAATGCCTCCACTGCAGACATTGCCGACGTCACCTTTCTGAGCTCATTTGCAAACCCTACCCTTCGTCGACTGCTCGGTCTGTCATGCCTCATCGAGTGACTTGCTGAGTTATCGTCGAAACCATTATGATGAGCGTGACCATTCGCATTAGGAGCAGAAGAGTCGACAAACATGATTCCATCGGATACAAAATTCTTCTCTAGCATTGTCTGAGCCTCGCCCCCCTCCTTATGATTTACATCTTCTGGCACAGATTCCTCCTCTTCTTCACCCGCTGCAGCCTGTAGTTGCCCGATGAGACAGGGAGGGGAAAGAGAACGCAAACACAAGCACCTCAGCAAGATATTCCAACAGGATAGGATTCGAGTTGAGAAAATTTGCGTTCTCCGTCACTTTGAACATCTGCGAGTCTGATTGCGCATTTTCGTCTTCGTTCAACCCTGCCATCATCTTCTTCTGAGGGCCTTGAAGGTATTCACTCGACTTTGCTGCATCCGTTGTTAGAGTCGACAACACCCTCACATGTAGATTCTCACCCGCCAGCACTTTTGAGAGCTGCTTTGCGCTGTAAACACAATCAGCAACCAGAGTACGCGAGTGGTGCTGACACACTCAGTCGAGATGTTGGTGTTTGATAGGCGATACTGCGCTGAATTCTGGTGAGAGGTAGCAGGTCGACGAGCGCTAAGGTAGATGTCAAAGGGTTGCTAAGGCAGATCCTGGCCGCAGCAATGGTCGGTTTGATCAAATGTCACCTGCTGGGTCTGCTGGAAGGAGGAGGAACATCAATTTCGGAATGCGTCCAGAAAGAAACTTTGTCATCCCCATTGTCGTTGTCGTCCTTGACGATCGTCAACATCTCGTTCACAGTGCGAACCTGACCTCACATGCTGTTCATTCCGTGAGCTCCTGTTGCTGTTCACTTCTGTGGGCTGTCGCTCATTGAACTTGAGAATGTTCCTGAGGAAGCAGACGTGGTAAATCATTGCAGGTGACGGTATCACAGGGGACCTCTACTCACCGGGCGTTCTCGCGGTCAGCTGACAGGATCGATGTTCCATCTAGACGCATGATTTGTTGCAACTGATCGATCACAACGTGTCTGATAGAAAAAGATGAGGATAAATCTCTGCAAGGGGATGAAAACCTGTAGCCACTCACAAGAGAACATTCATTGCCGTCAATTTCGAGATCGATCAGCCTTGGCAATCCCTTCAAAATCTGCCAGTTGTATCGTTAGACAACTGACAACGCATCAGAAAGAGCACAAATTGCCACGAACCTTGAGACATGAATCGAGATCCTTTAAATTGTTTCCATGCAATCCGATCTAGGCGATTGTCAAGGGGGAAAGGTTCATCACACAACATCATCACTTACAAACTCTAGTGATTCGCAAGTTGCAAGAGGATCCACATCTGCCCAAGATGATATAAGTGATGACAACGAACGACAATGAGGTAGCCTCAGATTCAACCTTGGATCTTGTTGCAAGAAGCATACAACTTTTCAATCTGCTCAGAAAAGCATCACTACTCTTATGTTCAACATGATTTGTGTTGGGATCGCCTTTGGGCAGCATCGTATCCATGATAGCGAGGTCAACATGTTGTTGTTGATGTTCATCTCGACAAGGTGCGGGAGTGCATCTGTCAAGGCCAAGTTCACTGCCAGGAGATGCAGAGGCAGGAGGAGCTACAAACATACTGGGTGCAAGATCTATGCCTTCAATGCTGTTGTGCGAGAGCGACAGGCTAGTCAAGCAGGGGACGTTCTTCAGTGCCGTGACATCCTTCAGCCCAAGTCCTCTCAGCACCAGCAGCTCCACCTGCCGTCGCTCGTCACTCAGAGGTCGAACTGTCTGCTAGATCTCTAGGGTGTGTTGCCTTGCGCATATCATCTTCCCCGGAGAACTCGCGGATAAGCTCGTCCTGAAGCAGATTGTAAGCTTCCATCATCATCGTCGTCGTCGTCGTCGTCATCATCGTCATCGTCATCATCGTCATCATCGTCATCATCGTCATCACCATCATCATTATCATCGCCTCTCCCTCCTCCTCCTCTCCTCCTCCTCCTCCTCCTCCTCCTCCTCCTCCCCATCACCTCAAGCTTCCCATCTCCCGCCATTGTATTTCGTAAGGAGGATGCGGGGGTATTTCTTGTTTCGTGACAGTGGGGTAGGGTAGTTCAGTCCCGCTGCCAAACATGGCTACAGCGCTAGAGCGACGGCCGCGCACTGGGCTGCCGCTGTTCAAGAGCGTGCTGAGGAGGAAAGGAGATCTGGAGGAGCAAGAAGAAGTGGAGAGGAAGAAGAAGATCGAGGAGCTGGAGGGGAGAAGAAACAGAGGGGAGGAGGAGAGGAAGGGAGGGAAGGAGGAAGACGAGAAGAAGAGGAAGAGGGGGGAGGAGGAGGACAGGAGGAGGAGGAGCATCAAAGACGGAGAGGGAGAAACAGCGAAACGCTCATCAAGGAGGGATGGGGAGGCTGCAGCGAAACCACCCGTCAAGAAGCTCAAGCCTGAGGAGCAGGTGGAAAGGGACCTTGCCCTACAGCAGCCTTTCAATGTTCCTTCATGGCGATTCACGCCGGTCATCCCTGATCCCCGAGGCGTCATGCTCTCTCCCTACGATAGAGCTCCTCAGCTGCGACTTGCAGACTCGAACTTGACTGTCTCGGGCTGCAAGGGATACCGTCTGATCCGTGCGACCCATGGAATCCGGGAGGGCGCTTGGTACTGTGAGGCGACAGTGCGGGAGGATCTCCATCCGCCATGGATCGAGGAGAGGTTCATGCAGGTAGAGGGTCACTGTAGGCTTGGATGGGCGAGGAGCGGAGCGTTCGTACAGGCTCCTGTGGGATACGATCGTTTCGGCTACGCGTACTGCTCCAAGAAAGGCTCCGTCGTTCATGCCCGATTGCCGGCGGCGTACGGGAGAAGTTTGACCAAGGGAGACGTGCTGGGTTGTTACATTTATTTGCCGATGAGAAAGAAGCCTGACGAAGAAGGGGAGCTGGAGAGGAAGGAGGAGAAGCAGAATGATGAGAAAATGGAGATGAAGAACAGCGTCGATGGGCATGGGAAAGAGCAGGAGCAGGAGCAGGAGCAGGAGCAGAAAGGTAGCAGCATCAGCCGGGGCAAGGAATCATTGAGCAATGCAAAAGGGAAGGAGAAGCTGAGCAAAGAAAAGCTCCCGACGGCGACAGACACGCTGATCTGGAAGGATACAGGGATTGAGTACCACCTGGTGAGAACAGAGGAAGTGAGGAGAGGAGAGAGGTAGTCGATAGGAGAGGAAGGGGTGTGGGATGCAGAGTGGAGGGAAGAGGAACGCTACTTGAAGACGCTACTGACGTCATGACGTGAAGGAGGAAGATACTGATGTTGGAGTCGAGATTCATGTTGGAAGCTGCGTTCGCTTCTACCTCAACGGGGAGGACCTGGGGGTCGCGTTCAGAGATGTGCAGGCGGGCAAATACTATCCTGCAGCCTCGGTGTACATGGGTGGACAAGTGACGTACAACTTTGGTCCTGAGTTTCGCTACAAGGTGTGTGGAGGCAACATGGATGTGTCCTCGCAGTGATGAGTTTGACAGATCGATGGAGAGCCCGACGGCGTTGCAGTGAAGGCAATCAGTGAGCTTGCAGAGACTGAAAGCGACAGGGACAAGCAAGAAGAGGGGAAGGGTAAGAGACGCGAAGTGAAAGCAGATTTGCCTATGTAGATGTTATGTAGTAGATGAGAAATATCTGATGATGATATAAAAGAATCGGTGACTTAGAACCATCGGTTGAGACATTGCACAACAGCTGGAGAATGTGCTGAAACGTCTGAATGATATTCTGCATTCTTTGAAGGGAGCAACTGAAGAAGTTGCTCCCTTCTTCATTCACAGACTGCTCACAAACAATTTGTCTCCGGCTTCTTCGCAAAGATCTCTTTATTCTTCCTCGCCTGTTACCAGCCCGCTGATCACCTTTTGATCCATTGTAACAATGTCGTTCTCGTCCCTCTTTTTCTGGAGCCTGTGTCTGGTCCTCCTGTTAACCATCTTCGCAAGAACACCGCATGCCATACCTCTGTTTCCATTGCCCGGGTTTGAACTTGGGGCGTTCCTTCTTCTTCTCCTCTTCCTCCAGTTCTAAGACTGAACAAGAAAAGAACTGAGCAAGACCTCGACAAACAAGGAAAACATCATCACGTTCTGCTCTCTGCCATTCTTGAAAAGCTTGCCACGCCTCAAGCCTCATCTCCTGGTCCTCCTTGTCTCTTTGCACCCATTTGTCTATGTGCTCTTCCACGCCCAGCCTGCTCAACTCGAACTGATATCGCATAATCGGGTTCGCCTGTCGGTGTAAAGTGGTCACTGGAGAGTGCAAACTAGAGCTCCTTACCGAAATCACCGTAACATTCATAATCAACCCATTGGTTATCTCCTCGATCACCTTGGAACCTCTGTATATCTTCCTGACTCGTCACCCGACAGTTCCCTTGGACTTCAAACCTTCTAACCTGGATCTTTGTGCCGTTGAAGACAGCGAAACCACGTCCCAAGTTTCTCAGATGCACCAGCCCCACTCTCTCGATCTACATTCGGCATCGTCATCGAGGCAGAGGCAGCGATTTGAGGGATTACGCATAAGATATGGACTATGGCTCCATAGGGTCTGACGCTGGTCACCTGAAACCGTTTGAGCCCGAGAGACAGACTTTCTTTCATCTACCAACACTGATACCACTTCTCCTGGAACAAGCGTTCTCTGTGAGGACAACGTCACCGGCAACCTTGACATTGCTTGGACGTTACATGACGCATGCTGCGTGCCATGCGTTTCCGAATCCTGGCGTGGGGTGAGGGTATACAAGAGATTCAAACGCTGTAGGCAGACCTTACAGCGTGTTGCTTGAGCTGCAAGATGCTGCAGTTCATGACCTTCGGATCTCTCATCACGTGCGCCTGTTGTGACAGTAACTTTGTTGATATGACTAAGGGGAACACACCAAGGATTGCCTAAACTTGAAGTCTGTTATGGACCGTGAGTCATACAGCCGGCTCAAGATATTGATCCTGGGAGGGTGACAGCTGATTTCAGAATCAACGTCTCAGACACGGCGACAAGTTCACTTGGCATCATAGTCCGTCATCTGAACAAGTTTTGAGGCTTCTATCGCTCAAAAGTTGCGTTCACCTCTTTCACTGGCTGTATCTCTTTGCTGAAGTCGAAATCTCCCAAGGTTTCAATCGCTCGCGGGGCTAACGATGGAGAAGCACGCACCTTCATCTGTCGGATTCTCAAACATTATCTTCATTTTTTCCAAAAGCTGATCGCAAGTCAGAGCGTTGTTGCCATCCTGTTCATACCATACCATCTTCAGGTTGTCATGAGCCATGTCATAGTAGTGTGTGAGGTTCTGGACGATAGCTTATCATAAGTGATACGCATGCGAAGGGTTGGAGGACCTGGGGTAGTTCTTCTTCGGGCCTTTTCTGCCAGTTCGTTCGATTGTAGCGATACTAAAAGAGCATCAGGGTCGTTGATGAAGTCCATGACTCTGTTACATGACAGAACTCGCAGTTGACGAAATCTCCACACCCCAAGATCAACCGGTTCTCTTCGTACTGCATGCTGTCAGTCATGCAGGTCATTGGCGAGGAGCAATCAGACCGAAACTTGATGATTCTTGTACTCTTCGTCGGTGATGAATCGGTGATACTTGGTGGGCATGTCCTCTAGACTGACGAAAGTGGCAATCAACCATGATTGGTGCTCCGTCAGGGTTTTCCCTTCATCGCACGCCACAAAGGCCTCCCGAAGTTCTTCCATCGTCGGAAGGTATTCTTTCATTACATCTCCGCTGCGAGAGTTGTTAATGGTCACTATGCTATTGAGATGAGCACAAAACAAATTACACTCGCTTCCCCTCGAGATCCTCTGGACTATTGAAAATAATTGAAGACCTCCGGATCGGAGGAGGAGGAGGAGGATGGCGAGATTTCGCTTCCTTGACTCTCCTTGTTTTCCTCATCCGTTCTCGTCTTCCCAGCCTTTTCTTTACAGCGACTTGTGTTTTCAGCTTGCTTGCTTTGCGGAGTGGTGTCGATCGAGCAGGTGAAGTTTTCCGCGGTAGGGCAGGTAAAGTTTTCTTCCGCAATGGCATCGACTCGTTGCTACTCATCATGTACAACATCATGACAAGTACAACAGTGAACCTCGGTCCCTTACAACGCATCTTTGTGCATCAACGGTGTTCCAGCGAGGTCTGTCGTGAATGGTACAATCCGTTCACCTCCAAGTCTTCGATGGAAGAAGATTCATCGAATTGATTTCATGTCAACTCTCGCAAAGAGCATATCGTCTTCTCTCGTATTCCGCATCATATCACACTCAGCATCTTCCTCATCCTCCGCCGCCATCACACCTGACTCCAAGTCCTTGCATTGCGACCACACAAGACCCAGAGTAACATACCACCCCCTACCCAGCAATTTTCAAGACCCACCCTTATTTTTCCTCTCTGTTACTCCAGGAATGTAGGGGTAAGGTGTGCTACCCCCATGGAGCACGATCATGACGAGTCTCATCACAAGCAGAGCAGGACAGGAAGGGGGGGGGGAAGTATAACGCGAGAGGTTAAGAAGGGGAGGGGGGGGGGAGCGGGGAAGAGGAGCGATGGAGGGCAGACATGGAGGGGAGACATGGAGATGGAGGAGGGAGACTTACAAAAGCTCAGATCCCCTCACGGTTCCTTGTCCGTACCTGTCGTTCTGGTTGTTGCCGTCCTGATGGACAAGTTTCAACATCGAGACGCATACCTTGAGAGGAGCTTCTCGGTGGGTGTTCGCTCCACGGAGAACAAAGGAAGTCACCTGGTTGCTCTGAAGGCCTTCAGACCAGGAGGTAGCCGCTACCCGCACAAGTCCCCCTTGTCACCTTGTTGCTTGCAGACACGGTTCTGCGATCTAGGCCGTATGCCTTCGAGATTTTCCCTGAGCTCAGAGAGGAGCGATGCAATGAGTGCTTCAGGAGGCCGGCAGAAGGAATCAGCCTGCTCCGATGCTCCTCCTGCAAGATCACCAGGTCAACCCCTGGGGACGAGGGGGGTATGACGAATGTACAGGTATTGCGGCAAAGAATGTCAAGCGCGAGCATGGAAACGAAGTCACAAGTACGAATGCTCATTGCAGGTCATCTCTGTGCGTTCAGATGCGCTTCATGCTGATGCGGCACAGCGCGAGCTTGAAGACAGATTCGGGTCTCTTCCCTCCAGCGTTTACATCGATGTTACCATCATTATCCGAATTGCGATCTTGCTCATGAGCGGAAAAGCTGTAAATGCGATGAGTTCGGACGACTATGTTCAGGGTTGATAGTACAAGTATGCATGTTTCCTGTCCAACGATCTTGCGCAGACCACGATGACGTGAAGGCGATGATAGATCACATGGCTCAGATGAGAAAGTCGAATGCACAGGAGTTTGCGGGGAACCAAGGCAAGGAAACAATCTCATTCTTTCACTCCTCTCGTAACTGTGCTCTCAGAAATCGTCAGGATTGCAGAACATCTGCTTGACATGTTGCAGGCGCGGTCGCCCAAGGGGCTGGACTGGAGCCTGAAACCAACGTGAGAGGAAAAGAGGGAGGTGGTAAAGGGATGTCATGAATGCACTAGAGAAGAAGAGCTGCTCAAAGTCCTGTGCAAATTCGCATGCAACAACTTCTCGGTAAGGAGATGACTGCCTGCCGTTCACCCTCCCTGACTCTGCTGCCCCTCCCCTGCTTGCTTCTTCGCTGCCTTGCTCACAGCATGCTGCTCGGCAGATCTGGGATGATCTCATCGTCAGCCATGGCATGGGAGTATATCCCCTTGGAGCGATTCTCAACCATTCGTGCAAGCCCAACTGTGTGATCTATTACCACCCCGAGACGCACGAGCAGGTCAGGGTGTGGCTGCTGCGAGACTGACTGACATCTTGTTCACTTCTTCAGGAGTTTCGGTGCATCGAAGACATTCAAGTCGGCGAAGATATATGTCACTCGTACATCGGTGAGGAGCCTTGATTAAGGCATGCCATGACATGTATTGATTCCATACGACATGACATGTATTGCTCTTAATTTTGATGTTGATGTGGATGTTGATGTTGATGTTGATGTTGATGTTGATGTTGATCTTGATCTTGCTGATCGACTGCATCAGATCTTGCGGCAGTTTCGAAGACGGTGAGAAAGCGACATTTCTCTACTGAAACGTGATGAACCCTGATATCTCCAAAGAGGAAAGAGAAGCTGCAATCGACCTATTACTTCGATTGCGATTGCCAGTGCTGCAAGTTCCCGGAGGAACTAGACAACAAGTTAGTCAGTGTTGCCCGCAAGTCTTCCCTAACATGTACCTGCAGATTGGGAGCTCGGGATGGTAAGGTCACAGAGAAGTGCGACAGAGCAGCGGAGGTCAGTCGGGCAGGGTCTCATCTCCGCTGACAAGCACTGAGGACTACTTTACAGCTGCTGGCAGCTGCTGGCTCGAGGACGGAGATCGAGCACGCACTGAGCAGGTGGCAGGGACTCGCGCTTCCTTCCCCTCGTTGATTTGTGCCGGCAGGTTGAAAGATCTTGACGAGAATGTGCTGGCGGACAGAGGAAACGTCGACCTTGACCGTCTATCCGTCAAGTCAAAGATGCTTCAGGTGTCCTCTTGGTCCTTCCTAGTGGCCTCATGCGCTGTTTCCTGCCCGATCCCAGAATCAACCTTCCTCCTTCCTCCTCCTTCTTCTTCCCGATCCTCCTTGCTTCCCTCCTTCGTCTGCGCATCTTGCCTTTGTTCACCTCCAGCGCAGGCCTCCATCGAGCTCGGAATGATGGACTCTGCGATTCGAGCGTGCAAACAAGTCGTGGAAGGCTACCGGGGGATCTACCCCCCTCTACATCCTCTGCTGGGACTGCAGCTGTACACCCTTGGAAACCTGCTGGTAAGACCTGAGCTTGGCAGCGTGGGCGAGGAGAGGGAGAGAATGATTGAAGGAGGAAGAACGAAAGGGGAGGACTGACAGAATGATGAGGATGAGGATGAGGATGAGGATGAGGATGAGGATGAGGATGAGGATGTTGATGATGGGGTAGGATGGGAGAATGGTGAGGAGGGTTGGGTGGATGTGCAGAGGAGGAGGAAGTAGACTGAACTGTGCGAGTCAGTTTGATGATGGCCGCGGCGAAGAAGCTGCGGATGTTCTGCAGGAGGGGCAGAAAATTCTCCTGGTGGCTCCTGCTGCTTTGCTGGGTTCCAGTCTGACAGTTGACACAGGCAACTCACGATCGTCGGAGCACGATGGTGCAGGGGATCACCGAGCTACTGGCTGAAGCGAGGAAGGTCCATAGATAGATGGATAGGAGGATGGATAGCTTACACGCGTGAGTTGAGGAGGAGCGGGAGGAGGAGGAACACTTGGAGGTTCTGTATATAGAAGGAGTTTGGATTAGCGGCTAATCGTGCCGTTAAAGTGTATACCGCAGATTTCAAAGAATAATTTCATCCCCGTAGAAATATCCTGGAGTATCGCGTTCAGGTTCAGAGTAGCTACACCCCCCTTCACTTCCTCTTCCACCCCCCCCCCTCTCCCTTCCCTTCCCCCTCTCTTTCTTGTCCACCTCCCCCTCTTTTCACCTGCTGGCTTTCGCATCTTGACTGAATCCTTGAGCGAGTTTGCCAATCTAAGCAGGAGCGGCTCATTGTACGCGTTTGCCATGAGCTGCAAGACGAAATCAACCAATCACGATGCTCAGAATTCCTTCTTTCACTCCCCTTGGCTCAAACGATCTCCTCCTCCCCATCTTCTTCCTCCTCCTCCCCATCGTCTTCATCCTCCTCCCCATCTTCTTTCTCCTCCTCCCCCCTTTCTCTTGTCCACCTCCCGATCTTCTTGTCCTCTCCACCTTCGCCATGGTAACCTCCTCCTTCGCCACTCCTCCTCCCCGTCACCTGGAAGCCTATCGGTTTCATTTGCTGATCAAACCCAGCAGGGACGGAGATTGCAGGCAGACCGGCGAAGTTTGCAAGGCTAGAGAACCTGTTCGAGCAAGTGACTTTACAGTCCATGTAACTCCCCACTCCTGCGTCCTCCTACTCTCCCATATCCTCTCTGCACTCCTCCCTTCTCCCTCGTACCAGCCTGCCAACCTCTCTCCTACCCTTGACATGCTAATCCTTCGTATCGCACTATCTTAAAGCATCTCGCCCTCCTGGCTATCATTCTCGCTCTTGTCTCTTCTCTCCGCACCTTCCAAGTCTTCCCAAGACTTGCATGTCCAGTTCGCCATGGGAAATGGCTTCAGCCCTCATGTCAGGAGCCGTTACGGCGCATCTGATGAAAACTCCTTCACTCTCGACCACCATTCCACACCACCTTCCCCTTCCTCTCTCACACCGAGGCAAATATACAATCTCCCTCCCTCCCTCCCTCCCTCCCTCCCTCCCTCCCTCCCTCCCTCCCTCCCTCCCTCCCTCCCTCCCTCCCTCCCTTCCTCCCTTCCTCCCTCCCTTCCTCCCTCCCTCTCTTCCCATGTCCTCCTCCTCTCCAAGATCCGGAGGGCCAGAACTCACGTAGGGAGAGCAAGGACGTCTACTTCTTCAAACATCTTCCTCATCTGCTCGACCGCGAATGCTTTGACCTGTCAGCTTGTCATCAAGGAAGCGAGAGAGGTTTTCCACCTTCTGTGCTGCAATGTAATCGTATGCAGTGCATTGTTTGCAAACGTTGAGCAGAATCTCATTCTCCAGCGTGAACTTTCCCATGGTTTTGCTCTTTTCACTGCTTAACAAGCATCAGCAAGACGGCAGGTAGGCAGGGGGAGAGAAGCATCACATCCTGTTGTTCTTCTCGAACATTTCAATACATTGCCCGGTCTCAGTCGCAATGGTCAGGAGATGAGCAAGCCGGATCGTGTCCATGTTTGAGATGACGACGTCTTTGACCTGTCAAACTTCATCTACTGCGTCTGCTACACAAGCAAGTTGCTGTGCCTGTGCTCCAAGCTGCTCCAGCGTTCTCACTTGCTGGTAGCAAGCCTGGCGGGCAATACATCAACGGATGGCGGAAGGGGAGGGATCTCAGACCTCGACTATCGGTGGGTCCGCATGCTCGAAGAAAGACTTGAAGATTCCGATTCTTACGCCTCCTGCCATCCAGGTTGGGACAGGGCTCATGCTAACTCAAAGAGACTGACTGAGATTCGTGATCTTCTCAAAGCCAGAGACATGCGGCTTTGGGGTCTGCATGCAACCAGAGTAAGCGTCTGCTCGACTTACGAACATCATCAATCACAATCAAAGAGTTTCCCGCCGTCGGATCGTCGCCGGATACCGCAAGGTACGCAAGGGCAATGTCGTAGATAGTCGCGCCAATGGGGCCAATGCAAACAACCGAGTTGTCAACAATCCCTGACCCCTGGCTATCTGTCAGACTTGCTCGAGATTCCTCCTTCCTCCCTACGCTGATGTTGGGGATCCTGCGATGTGTCGGCTTCAGCCCGTAGACGCCGCATATACTGGCCGGTATCCTGACCGATCCTCCTCCATCGCCTCCGAGTGCGATGGGCACTAGACCAGCTGCTACAACAGCAGCCGAACCTGCAGCTCCAATTTCTGCTCGGCAAGAAGCAAAGGGCAAAAGGAGGGGAGGGGGGGGGGGGGGGCTTGACCTGTCGAAGATCCTCCGCAATAGGCGTTGATGTTATGAGGATTCCTGAAGGGACCAGCAACGCTGCTGGTGCCGAGGGTTCCAAGTCCGAGCTCATGCATGCCTGGTTACACCGTAGTCAATATTTCTCTATCCCATTCTCCTTCTCCTCCTCTCGCTCTCCCTCCCCCTCCCCCTTTGTCTTCTCCTCCCTTCTTCCCCCCCCCTGCCTCCTCCTTTCTCGTCTCCCTCTTCTCTGCTCTCACCCGTCTTTCCCACAAGGATGGCTCCTGCTGCCTTCATGCGTGCGATGGGAGTACAATCCTGCAGCTGTACACCCAGGGCATCTGCCAGAAAGCTTCCCGGCAGCATCAGACAGTGAGATCAGCATCAACGTCAAGGCACCAGGTTCCGTAACTTGTCGTGTAGTTGACAGCGTTGAAGTTGTCCTTCACAGCAAAGGGAACACCGTCGAGGGGGCCCAGTGATTTGCCTTCTTCCCACCTTCGCTTGCTGGTAGCAGAGCTCAGATCGACCTCACACCATCTCAGCCCAGGTGGCACCTCTGGGAGGCTTGCTCCAGAGCATCACTTTCGTTGACCTGCAAGTAAGTCGTCAGACTGACTCATCATGAGCTATTCAGATACCTCAACAAATGCTCTGAATGGAATTTCTTCACCCCTCGCGCGTGTGATTAGTTCCAGGATGCGTTCAACGACCTTGAACATGCTCAAGAGTAGTTCAGGGAAAACGATTACCTGAGTACCTCAACAGGATCAGTGCAGCCAGCTTCATAAGCTGCGATATAATCGGATGAGCTCCAATATCTTTCATGAGAGTCAACCGTTGAATCACGCATCAACTTGGATGGACCTGAAGTCATTTGTGCTTTCCCGTTTATTGCTCTCTTCCTTTTGCAGCTTTGACAGCCACTCGGCATTCTTCATTGTGGAAAAGTAGGATGCCTCTTCGACTTGCTGCAAGTATAACATTCAATAGCCGCCATCCATCACCTTCCTTACGTGTGCCGTCGGGAAATGATATGGATAGAAAACGGCTCTTATGTTCAGACTGCCCGCAAGAGCTCTGATTTTGAAGCTTCCTTGTCTACACGATACAAAGTTTGTCACTGTCCTGCACAGATTGCGTGAGACCTTGCCTGTAGAGTAGCAAGGACTTCAAGAAATCTCCAATTAACGGTAACTGGAATCACCGAGCATTCAATCAAGGCCTTAAGGTGACAAGTACAAGAGTATCACGTTGAGAAGCTTTTCGAACAGAACAAGCTTCCAGCCAGCGCATTTTCTATCATCCCATGAGCGTCACTGCCCATCAATCTAGCAGAGTCAAACTCACGGGGCGACGAGGTCCTTTACATCGTACACGCCCTCCTTGGATATTTCAATCCTCGCTGTACAGCAAATCATCAAACCGTAGAAGGAGCAAATTCGGGTCTAAACCGAGGTTGGGGTTGATCAAGACTCTGCGATACAAGGAGTACGTCAACCCGCAGGCAGCACTGATAACGATGGCCTGTGTGGAAGGTCAATTCAGGAGCACGCTGTTCCGAAGGACATTGCGGTACCTTCATGGCAGGACCTTCCCTCATTGGCCATGTTATCAACGCAAAGGAGGATCCATAAACAAAGGCTTCCATAAGCACCATGCTGAAAGCCTTGGCAGCAGCCGAATCCTGTGCATGCTTGTCAAGCTCTACCTCGTTTCGCTCCTCTTGTCCTCCTCGTGTTCAATCTACCCTCTATTATCTTCCCAACCCTCGATTTCTTGTCCCTCTTTCTCGTGCTCCTCGTGCTCCTTGTGCTCCTCCTGCTCCTCCTGCTCCTCCTGCTCCTCTTCTTCCCCGTCTTGCTTGTTGTTGACAAACGCATGATTCCGGGTTTCGGGAGCAAACTGTTCCGCCCAGTACTACTGGAGAGGCGCAACCTTCTTGATGAGTAAAAAATTGAGGTGGACAATACTAGCTGGCATGCAAGGTGTCACACTCGACAAGTCCGCCTAGCTAAAGTAAATACCGATAGACGCTGGTTAGTCGTAGAACATTGAAGGGATGATGTAATAATTCACAGAATGCCTTCATGTTTACTTCTAATTCTGAGTTGAGGGGAGCTTGGAATGATCCTGGTCTATGTAGGGGGCCGGTATGGCAGCATTGGAGTTATCGGAGATGGACGAGCGAGGGAGGAGGAGGCATGGCGGGCTGAACCAGCTGGCATGCCCGGCTGTTCACCCACTTGTACATGCCGCTCTAGTAGCGTGCGTCCTCGCCTTCGGCTCAGCCATAGAGGTTCTGCCCGAGGTGAAGCTGGACGGTTTGATTAGGTCCAAGTTCCAGGGGAAGGTGAGGACTCGAGTTGTTCTCCTGGTGTAGAGAGACTTGAAGAGACGTTGTTCTATGTCCATCCTGACGTTCTTTCCTCAACAGGTCGCTGCTGTGACGGGAGGAGCTTCGGGGATAGGTCTATCACTCGCTCGACGATGCCTCAGGAGCGGAATGAAGGTCGTGCTGAGCGATGGGAACCCAGACTTGATCGACAAGGCAAGTCTGCAACTCAAGCAGGAGAACTTGGAGGGTTTCTGCACGCTGCGAGCAGATGTCAGGGATCCCGATGATATGGCGAGCGTCCTTCGATGTTGCCAGGTCGAGCAATGAGTTGCTAAGGTCTCTCACGCAAGCGCGCAGGAGAACTTCGGAAGAGTGGACATCTTCTTCAACAATGCGGGCGTGATTGGTGAGCCGGACAAAGGAGTTCTGGACACACCTCTAGAATCGTAACTCTCTCTCCTGTGTTGTTGCTGGTATGATCCGTGACTGTGGCGGAGGTGGAAGTGGATCCTTGACACCAACGTTGTCGGGTTGATCAACGGGATGCAGACGTTTGTTCCCTACATGGAGTGAGCCTCTTCTCTTGTCTTCTCTTGCTGTTGTCTGCTTACAAGGACGGCAGGAAGCAAGGGTTTGAGACGCATATCGTGAACACCGCCTCTGGGGCTGGTCTGTACAGGTGAAACAGCGAGTTCTGCTCTGCTTCCCTGTCGGGTTTTAAGGTTATTGATGCGTGATCGCAGTCAACACAGGGCGACTATGGGTCCCTATGTATCATCCAAGCACTGTGCCGTTGTACTCACTCAGGTGCGTCATGGAGAACTCAAGAGCATGCTCCTAACTGGCCTGGTGCAGGCCATGAAGGTAGAGCTGGCTCAGAGGAACAGCTCAGTCACTCCGCATCTCCTGTATGTTACTCGTGATGGCTTTCCTTCCACAAAGACTGAGTTCCAACAGTTGCCCCTCGGTGGTGGCGACGCCGCTGGTTCCCAACTCGAGGTTCTACCTTTCAAACATCCGAGCTCTTGACAACGAGCTGGACCCGATCTCGAAGCAGTTTGACGAGCGACTCAATCAAGACGGCATGACTCCTGACATGGTTTCCTCCCCCTACCCCGTTCTTGCACTGACCCGTCTGGCCCAGGTCGCCGACTTAGTGCTGCAGGCCGTTGTCGAGGACCGGTTCCTCATTATGACCCACCCCGAGATCACTGAGAAGAGGATCACCTCAAGGTACCATGAGCTCAAACAATCCCTGAGCGAGCAGCCAAACACTGGATATTAGCTGCTGCGTCTCCCTTATGTCTTTTAATTGATTACTTAGCTACGAACATACATGGCTGCGGCCTTGGCTGCGGCCTTCAGTCTATGATTGTGAAAGTCAAATCTTCAGTCTTGTCGTTCATCGTGTTCTTCTGATCTGTGAAGGCTGATTCCTGCACCTGCACCTCCACTAAGCTGTTTTTCGGGGCTAGAGGATGACCAGGAGCAACTTTCCCCATCCCTTGCGCGAGCATCAAAATCTTGGCGAACCGTAGGAGGATCAAGAAGAAAGGCAGCCAGAAGAGAGCGACAAGGAGGCAAAGGATCCAGAGGCCGTTCAAGGAGTAGGAGAGGTTGTTGCAGATGGGCTTGCGGATGGCTTCATAGAGCTGATTGTAGTCTGCACACGAGCCAATGGTCAAGAGCTCGTCTGCTATCTTGTTGATCTCAGCCTGTGCCTCACTCATCATGAGAGTGATGTTAGACTCCATGTCCGCCGACTTTGTCTTGATGCTCGACATGCCGTCCTTGGTCAGTGACAGCGTATGCTCGAAGGCGTCGATGATAGATTGGAGTTCGTTCTTGTAGATCTCATAGTCGTACACCACTTGCGCTGGGGTCTGAGCCCCACCCCAGAAAACATCGGAGGAGCAACATCCTACTTGCGTCTGCCCAGACTGAGTTGAGATGTCAAACCCTGTGTAGAACTCGGACGTGTATTCTGTCAGGCAGAACTCCGTCATCGTTCCTGTGTGACCTGATGCTTGCCACCTGCTCTGCACTTGAGATGACTCATGGTACAGGTTGCACTTCGACAACAGTCCAAAGAGGTCCAGGGCCGAGTTCATGATGGCGTTGATGTTGGGGATGAGCGCGTTTGCATTGAAGCCATTGATCACTCCCCCGTATTGAAACTGCATGATTCCCTGCTGGGTCCCTGTCGGCATCGAGTCGTACCCGTAGTACATGTTAGACCCCGTCATGCGGCTCATGCTGTCGTAGTGGTTGGTGAATCCGGCTGTCAAGGGCAAAGGTAAGACAAGTGGACGGGGAGGGGAGCTAGCTTACGTGTGAGGTCTCGGTATGCCGTGTTTAAGTGAGAGAAGAACGTCGGTCCCACCCGATTGGACGCATTGTACTTCTGCAGGCGGTTGATGATGCCTTGTCTATCTACACCTCCGATGTTCCAGACGTACCCCTGTGGGTTTGTCAAACAATTTTGAAAAATCGCAATCAGCGTCTGATTGATCCCCGAGATGTTGCCATTCGTGCTGAAGGTCTTCAGAAAAATTGAGGCATCGTCGCCTGTCTGTGGGATTCCTTTGCAGAAATCGTTCAGCGGCAGTATGACAAAGGACCCGAAAGCAACAAGTGGGAAGTAAAAGAATGTACAGAGTGCAACACCGATTGTATATGTACTGCAAGGATCTGTCAGAGGTGATTCTGCGGGTAAAATATCATCACCAGAAAACTGATCGATGGCTTTTTCTAAAATACGCCGGGAAAACAAGAGCCAAGCCCAGAAAGGCAGAAACCCAAAGAAATACATACATGACAGGCCTGCAAAACATTGTCAGCAACTACACAGCGCCGCAAATCAGACAAGAACGTACAATATGCCGACGATAATTTGCAGGAAGGATATCAAACCATCAAGCCCTGTATTGATTGAATCTATCCAGGCACTCATCTCGCTGATTCCATCTTGAAGCTGCAAGATGAGAGCGTCGATGTCAACCTTGATCTCACTTGCAGGCAATGAGATGTTGAGCTTCAGCAACTCTTCTCTCGACGGCATGTTCTTCAAGCTGTCATTCATAGCATAGAAATATTGGTAACAATCTCGGCAGCAAGGGCAAGCCAGAGGTGTCGAAGAATAAGTCTTCCGTTGAAACTGATGCTCCGAACAGGTTGGAGATCGTTTGCCATTGGTCAGGATACTTCCGTGTCCATCGCTGTAAACGTGCTTGCCCCTGGGAGTCAGAGAGACGCTCTCAGTTCCATCAGGTTTGATCCACACCATCAGGTCAACATTGTATCTTAATACTTCGAAAGAGAAAGGATCCAAATAAACGCAAGGGTTGGACATGTTGTCGCTGCTGACATTTGCACGTACACCCTCGATGAAATTCTGGGCTTGCAAAATCTGTGAGATAAGGATTGACATCTGTAGAGTTGTGTACGAGTTTAGAGATATGAGATCTGATAGGCCTGACAATCGTTTGTTGATTGTGTTGAGTTCGTATTCTGAGCGGACTTTCAAAAGTTCAGTATTGTTTGACACACTTTGAGCAAAAATCGGAGTTGCTTTCTTTGCATTTTGCAGGTTGTAGATCGAGGTGGTGATGTCATGAGCCGCTTGAAGGTTGATCTGATATCCGATGGCCGTCATAGCCCTGGAAAACAAATGCATTACACACCCTTCAAAGCAGAGAAGAAGTAAATCACATCAGGAGGCCCACGAAGACGACCACCAAGACATTAATTTGAAACTTCTCGTCCTGCTTTCTTCTCTTTGTTGGAAGGGCTCCCCCACACTGGTCTGCCCTACAAGGCCATCGACCAATCCAAGCGCAGCAAGGGAAGAGCCTCGCACAACCGAAGCCACAGCAAGTGATCAGCAGGAAAGTTGATGCAAACAATCCAAAGATGCACTCATACACCAAATACTTGAGCGAAGTTTGTCAGAGTCAAACTTGCAGCAGACTTAAAAGAACTCACATCAAAGTACAGGCAGGCGTCATGATGTTCTTTTGCATAGCTTGACGTCAAGCACGCAGTGATAGAAGCACTGTTCATCACGTCGTGGAAGAAAGCTCTCGGCGAGCCAGCATACAGGTTGATCTTTGGATAGCCCGTCCTGTGGAGGTTGAAACGTCACAAACGCTTGTTGACATACAGGGCCTGACTCACGGGGAGTACTGGGCAGTGATGAGGTACTGCTTGCTTCTCATGTCCACCTGGAATTGCGATATGAACGAGGGGTCGCTCACTACCGAGAAAACGTTCTCAAGCTTGTAAGAGCTGTTGACTGGGTTGCTCCTGACTTGAATCTGAAAGGCTACAAAGATGCTGCCAGCCTGAGTGAGATGCCTTCTGCTGCCAGAGGTTGCGTTCGGTGCTGTGCAGATATCGGCACTGGTTGTGCTTCCCCCTGTACAGGTGAAACCTGATTCGATAGTGCACATGGTGGAGCAACCGTCGCCAGAGAAGGTGTTTCCGTCATCGCACTGCTCTCCATTGTTTCTTACACCTGAAACAACACAAGTCAGCAGGAAGACGGATGGTTTCAGTTCAGGTTGTCACCATTCCCACAGAGGTTTCCAAACGTGCTGTAAATCAGGTTGCGGCACTGCAGGTAATCGTAGCTGCAAACGTTGGTGATGAAGATGCTGTTGATGTCAGCACAGCAGGCGTTCGATTTATCCAGCAGCTGATTCAGGCTGACGGTGATCGAGTCGCGGATTGACTTCTCAACCGACGCGGTGACATCTTGAGGGTTGTAAATGCCTCCAATCTGATGGAAAGTGTGAGGACTGTGCAGCGAAGAGGTAGAGAAGGGAGAGACCTGTAACTCAGCTACGATGGTGTCGAGCAAGTATGCCTTGGGAAACGAAGTCATCAACGGTATTGCAACGGATTGACCAAAACTTGTGACTACATTTGGTATCTTCTCTGGTGGTTTGGTGATGTTCTCAAACAGTTTCTGGGATCTGACCAGTTGTATTTGAGCGAACACGTTCATGAACATCAGCAGCCACAACAATTTCCTTCTGTTGCCTTTCAAGAGCATCGTGTTGATGATGGAAAGCTCTTTGTCTTTCCACCGCATTCTTACACGTTGGTATTCAGATACCTTGGTTTGAATTGTAAGTGCCGAACTCTCAGCATTCTTTCTGACGTCGAAGTCTCATCTCTTCCTCTCCGAGTGACTATGTCACGCTCTCCCAGCATGGCTTCTTCTTCCCCCCCGGCACCGGCATTGAAGGAGCCGGCCTACCTTATCCATCTTGAACGTCCCTACCAATTCCGATTTCATCGATTTAATCCACAAGATATCCAATTTTCCTGCTTTCAATCGGTTCAATTCAATCACTCGGATAGCCTCAGCAGGGCCCTTGTCACCGTGGCACTGCCAGGGCACAGTGTCCGGGTGGCCCTGTAGCATGATCCCGGCACCGGGCAGTGATGACTCACTGCCGGAGTCAACTTTTACTACTCCGTTCACGTGTGTAGCTCCTGCCGGGCCGAGCACTGAAACTCTCCTGTAAACCAAGATGCCCCTTGCCGTAGTACGTCTTTCTAGGCGGCAATGTCGTACGTGTGACTCAGTGACGAAGCCTGGAGCCTCGGAGGCCGCGCCTTCCTAGCCCGCAGTGATTGCACTGCCGCAACTGGCCACTGTCTTTCTTCATATGATCGCACAGCGGCGCCCGAGTCAGGCAGGGCGCATGCGGCATGGCCCGCGGGGCCCCGCGGGGGCCGCCCTGCCTGGCCGGGCACCGTCGGAGAGCCGCTGAGCCTAGGCTCGGAGTAACTCAGTGACTGAGTCACTGTCCGCCGACGGTCTGACATTGTCGCACGCCGCCGGGCCGGGCCGGCGGTACGGTCCGAGACTCATCATGGCAGTGATGGGGCAGTGCTCCGACACCGGGCACTGACAAAGGGGTAGAAAACCATATAGAATCCATGGGTAGGGGTAGGCAGTTGGTTGGAGAGTGCAAAATTTGATTCGTTCAAAAGAAGGCGTGTGGAAAATGTTGGGACAGGAAAGGGAGCTGGTAAAGATGGTGTGCACAGAGTTCGAGGAGGAGATCGTTGCGAGTCATAGGAGGCAGGACGGAGACAGAGAGCTGCGCATGAAAGAGGACGCCAACGTCGAAGATCTTAGGAAATTCGTAATAGATCTCGTCAAGGCGCCGCAAAACTCGGGCAAAGCGCAGGACCTTGAGCTAGTGAGTGCTATCAATGCTCTTGCTGTCAGACGGATGAAGGAGAAGAGTGCCAAGTCTGCACAGAAGCTACTTAACATGGCCATCTCATTCCTCGGCTCGGATGATAGTAGCGATGCTAACGAAAGTCTGTTGAGGATGAAAGCGATCACGCTGAATAACAATGGGTGCGCGGCAAGAAGGTATGGCAGACTTTCTGCGCCGTTCGCTCGTGATTGTATGCATCTTTCTAGGCTGGGAGATGATTCCTTGGCATTCCATTGCTTCAAACAAGCTCTGAAGCTGAACCAATCCCTCCGCAGCAGATTGATTGGAAGACTGAAAGTGAATTATGCATGCATGTTCCTCGTGGACCCTCTCACTCTCATCGCAGCAAGATCGTGAGAGCTCTGCGAGACTCGTCGGGCCCAATGCTTGCGCTCCTCTCCTCAACATTTCCATCCTGCAACTTCAATCAGGAGAGATCGAGAGCTCGTTGGACCATGCGCGGGAGGCTCTCAATACTATATGGGAGGTGACCAGCCATTGGCAGGTGGAAGCACAGCGGTGTTTGTACCATCCCTTGACGTATGTTTCACAGAACGCTAAGGAGAGGATAGACATGCTTATCTGTACATACCGAGTTTTGAGCATCGCCTACCTCAGGTATGAGATCAACTACTGTCGGGTCGTAGCACGTGCTGATACCTTGGATGGAGGAATGGCGATGAACAAAAGAGTCAGGATGCTCTGGTGTGTTTGCCTCTTGTTCGTCTCGACCTGCCGTTGTTGTGATGGGTGCTACAGGAATCAGCACTGTCCACATGCAGCATGTACTACGGAGAAGACAGCTCGACGCTGAAGAAGCTGAAGGTGAAGGGTTTGCAGCTAGTGCAAGCGAGCTGACAAGGACTGCAGGATTGGAACGACTCACTGCACCTGTTCCGAGATGTCTGTTCCAAGATTCATGAGGAGCAGCCAGAAGATGAGGAGTTGGGAGATGAAGATGAAGACAAGGGGGTTGGACAACTTTCAGAGAGTCAAGGTAGAGCAATGAAATTTCTTTCCTCTGCCCAGTCTGACCGCAATCGCCCCTAGTGCCGAGTCATAACATCCCCCAGACTCCTCCGAGGGACTTCTTGAAAGTCTCACCTCTCCCGTCAAAGTCTCGAAGGAGATGGATCTTCGATTCCAACCCCGTGATGAAACAACTTCAAAGGACTCTGCTGGCTGTTGTGACATGGAGGTACAGGGAACAATCTATGACAGCCAGCTTTTGTCGAAGATGAAAAAGGTGTACTCTCTAGCTTGTTTTCTCATCGTCATCGTCATAATTACCACCATAACATCATGATCTTCGTCATCATTTCGTTCTCCTCCTCCTCCTCCTCCTCCTCTTCCTCCTTACCATCACCACCACCACCACGATCACCTTCACCGTCGCCACCATACCTTATTGTGTCATTTCACTTGTTCATTCTGTTTCCAAGAGCCTCTGATCTTGAACCAGGGTGTGTTGGAATGCTCGACAGGAGCAGAAGGTTTCTCCCCGACCTCACAAGACCATTCACTCGTCAACCTCATTCGTTTCCCCCGCACCCCCGAGAACTGGTGAGAGCCGAAAGAGCTTTGAACGGCCCGTTTGTTCTCGTGCTCAGCACGAGAACAAACGCTGTCGTTTGACTTCATATCCTGTCGTTCTCCTTTTGGTCTTATTGAAAAATTTTCTTGCAGTGAGAGGAAAAGACTGAATTGTAGAAAGACAAGATTTCAGACTGAAGACAGTATGCTCTTAGCCCTTACCTCCCCTCTCGTGCTCTTTTCTCTTCATTGCTCCTGCTCCTGGTCCTTCCACGAAGTTGGTCCTCCTTGGGTGCATCCGCCGCCGCCACCACCACCACCTCCTTCTCCTCCTCCTCCTCCTTCTCCTCCTCCTCCTCCTCGTCTTACTCTTTCGGCAGACCAGCCATCGTCTCGGGACGTGAGAAGGATGCTTCTGAGAGCCCAGGTGGTTGGCTAAGCCCTGCCCTGTCGCGCTCACGATGACGGTCTTAGGGGTTTGCAACTCCCAACGCTAAGGAGCGAGTGAGAGAATGGATCGTCAACAACATCGAGGAAGTTCACAAGGACGACGTCAGAACTCGCCATGTCGACTTGGAAGAGGAAAGAGCCTCCCAGTATGCCCATGACATAGCTGGTGTATCAGTCCGTCAATACGCTGAGGGAGCAGCGATGAAGGTTCAGCTTTCCTATCCCTTTCTCCCTCTCTTCCTCCTCTGTGTTTTCTTCCTTGCTTCCATCCCCTGACCTTTTCCGCTCCCTTCTTGTCTTGTCTCCTCGCCTCCTGTTCTCTCCGGCTCACTTAAGACCTGCAGCAGCACTTGGATGCTTCGGGTGCGAGCGACGACCATGAGGAGTGTGCTGTGATACGAACAACGGGAGGCAAGAGATGCCTGCCGTGCGTTCCCTTGAAGTTGCTTGAGAGCTTCAACAGCGCCAATGAGGGAGAGGATGGAGGAGGAGGAGGAGGAGGAGGAGGAGGAGGAGGTAAGCTGGTAAGTCCACCTGCTGTGAGCATGAAAAGTCCCAACTTTCGTCGGACGAGGTTCAAGTCTAGCAGAGGAGGCTGGTTGAGAGAGGTGTGACAGTGATGGGAGGAATGTGGGGAAGCGAAATGAGAAAGAGAGGGCGGTGAATAGAATCAACGTGAAGGTGAACGGCAATGGCGCAGATTATGATGGCTAAGAAGAGCAAACACGATTGTTCCGTTTGCCATGAATCATCACGTTGAGGAAGAGATCGGATAAATATGACTATTGTTATGTTGAAATTGTTGTATCTTTATACATTGAAAGGTCTTGTAAAACGATCTATCGAAGTCTTCACCCTAATACCCCTTCCTCCCCTGTTTCTCTTCATCACTGTTCTTCTCTTTTAATTCCTCTTTCGCTTCCCACTCTTCTTTGGTTTCCCAACAAACTGCAAGACAAAATCAGCAACAACTTGCACATGGTTGCCATCTACCTTAGGTATCTCCAAAACATCGCCATTGCTATTCACGATCGTATTTCTGCAAGTACAGCAACCATCAATCGACTTTCACAAGAACACACAATGCATAAAAGAATACAACACTTTCATCATAACAACGACAACATTCAACTCCTGCAAGCATCAGGTCCAGGGAGCAAGAAAGCAGCGTGTTTAGTTTGAAGGACATGCTCAATCACGACCGCAGACTTGATCTCACCCGTAGATCTCATCGGCCTCTGCTAACTCCTGTTGACAGCACAGATGTCAGTGTGCGATAACCATGTCCTTTCCTTCACCTCGTCCGAGAGGAGATTTCGGATCTGCTCCTCCCGAGCATACAGCGAGATGAGAGTGGCCGAGTTGGTTTCTAGCGAAGCCTTGCCCAGCACATCCTTGTCGTGATCCGAGGTGATCACCTTCACATGGTTTTGATCAGATTGGTGACGTAAAACAACTCCGCTAAACATCTTTCCTTTCCCCTCCTTTTGGCTGCTGGCTTTTCGCTTTTCCCTCCTCCTCTTCTTTTCCTTATCCTCCTTTCTGCCTTCCCTCTCCTCTTCTCGTTTTCTTTGCCTCTTTCATCCTCTTCCCTCCTCTCCCTCCTCGGCCCCCTCCTCTGCCCTGCTCTTGCCCTTGCCCCTTGCCCTTCCACTGCCTCTACCCGGATCCTTCGTCATCATCTTCCTCCTATCTTCCTATCTATTCCTCATAGCTCCTTCGAATCGTTCACCTTCTCCATGATCGCAGACCCGACGGGGACCTTGAGAGCGGATTTCAACATCTGCCGAGAACGAGCGCGTGAGAGATAGAAGGAGCGGCAAGTGTGAAAACCTTGAAGCAAGAAGCCTCGCCGCCCTTGTCTACTTTCGATTCCTTAAACGTCTCATCACACAACACCAGCCCTCCGACCGGCAGCATGTTCTCTTCCTTTTGTACAGATTTCACTGCAACAACAAGGGTTCAATCACTGTTGCAAGAAACTTCCGAACATGATGTAGAACTGATGAGAAGGTTGGCAGACAATTGCCGTTTTAGGAAGCAAGGAAGAATCAAACAGAGATTGGATATGGCATACAAGTTGCACATCTCAATGACAACGCAAATCCATGTCTGAACTGGCGGACATGACATGCTTCTTGATGTTTTCTCACCAGCTGATATTCTTGCGATGGTCACTTCGGTAGACTCAGTTTGGTCGTTGAGAGCGCAAACATCCATGTTCAGCCCCTGCCCTTCAACTCTTACATGCTGACCACCGCCTTTCCTTGCTCGCTATCACCTCAAGGACCGCTCCTACTATCCCATCCCTCCTCCACGATGCTGCGAGAACAGAAATGGTCAGTGAGCAGATGCAAAGGAAGAGAGAATGTTGAGATGGTCAGAAGGAGCAAGCAGAACAAAAATATTAGAACATGATGTGCACAGTATCTCAACACGACACGGACAAGAAACAAACACGTCGACAAGATGTTCGAACAAGTCGACACTTTGTCGATCGTTTTGGAATGAGATCAAGCATGGAGAAGTGAGATCTGGATAGGATGCAGCGACAGGGAACAGTCATACAGAGCCGGCTGATCCACCTCCTCACCTCCGCTAGAGAAGATTTCGTCGCTAGTTGAGTACCTGACCGCAACCCTCGTTAGGTGAAGGAGAGGAGAGACTAACTTGATTTCTCTCACTTTGCCGCGTTCTTGTCCTCTCCAAACAGAAGCTCTCCCTTCTGTATGCAACGAAGCTCTTACAATCGCTAGTATCCTTGCGAAACATCCAAGGCACCTTGTTCAGGACCCCGACCCCCTTGTTGAAGATCAAACATCTGCCGACGACACCGGTCATCCATTCTCCTCTATGCATGCAGTAGTTAACCTGTCCTCAGCAGAACCCAATCCTCCTGCGCAGTGCAGATGAGAAGGGGAAGAAGGAGGGACTAGAGAACAAACCAGCAACGCCTCCGATCTTGTTGGCAAGAGGATAGGAGTCGTCGAACACGTCGATCACCTGAGCCATGACAGGAAGCGCATTAGCATGGAGAGAGAGCAAGGGATAGTAGAGTACAGACCTTCTCTAGCGCTCCTTGCGATGATTGATGGCCAAACATCACCTTACAAGCAAGATCATTGTCTTCAATGTCAACTCACATCAACTCACCATGTTGAGGGAGTGAGAGTCGTAAATCCCCTTCAAACCGCCTTTGAACGCCCATTCTGCTCCAGAAGCTTCAAAGGGACGAGAGATGGGAGGAGCAGGAGGGGAGAAAGACGCTGACAAGCGTTGAACGTGACACCAACTCACCTGCAGACGTCCACTGAGAGGCTTCATTACCAACGTTGAAAGGAACGACTCTCAGGTTCTCTCCCTGCCAACAGCCTCATGAACACAAAGAACAACCAGCTCCACATGTCAAACTACCTGTATCAGCGTTATGCTCACTCCTCCCTTGCCTTCATGCCCCTCGAACCCAGCCACAGTCCCTCCCACCACCTGCCAGCAGCTTGTTAGATGCCAGCGACCTCTGCTATGTCACTGACATTCACTCCGTCCTTCCACTGCTTCCCTCCAAACATGGCGAAGCTCCTCAGAACACAGGGAAGAACTCTTCCGATCCTTGAGCCAGAGGTCAGACCAGGCATGTCCACACGACAGTAACCCACCCGTCTCGAGCGTAGTCAGAGGTGAAGAAGACGATGGCGAGGGAGGGCACAGCAGGAAGGCCTTCACTGTTCTTCCTCCAGGTCTTGGTCGCGTTCTGCATCGCCTGCTCGACAGCTTCGGAGAGCTGCTCCGAGAACCCAAACCCTGACCCCATCACAACCTCCGCCCGGTCACCCGCGAGCTCCTGCGAGCATGTGAGGAGGAGAGCGGCCAACGTCACGACGACGGAGGTCGTCAGGCTCACCTGCCCTGGTCGAGGAGCCTTCAGGAACTTGGTAATGTCTCCAAACTCATCTGACTGTCTGCCATCCATTCTCAAGCAAAGTCTCCTCGACCTCCCGATGCTCGTCGACCCGTGGGGCGCTGCATGCCTGCATGTAGAGAGAGCCGCATGCCTGCTCCCTTGTCCATGACGCAGCGCCGTGCTCGAACAGAACCCAAGCTGATGATCGCCATTGCGCCATTCTGTCGCCGCTGTTCCGCTCACACAGAATGCAAGTAAGATACTGATTCCCAAACGCATCTTGTGGGCCTGAAACCTGGAAGTTCGCGATCAGGGTGAAGACATCACAGACAGGAAGTATCCCAGTTCGTTATGGTAAGGCAACAACAGTTTCGAGCATTCCTCGAACCATTGATTCTACACCCATATCTAGATATCGTGTCCTGCTAGACCTTGACTCCATTTTAAGGTCTTGCTCATAACAGCTTTTGGCTTCTCATGACTGATGGAGTCCTTTCTGTTGTTCTGACAGTCAACAAATCTATCATCCCAAAGACTTGCAGAGCCTGTCCAACTCCTCCATCAAACAACTCAATGGCATCCAACACAAACATGGCTCGTGCGAAATCGCACCTGCTGCTGTTCTGCTTACACGAGGTCGAGCTGGTGCACTTGACCCTCAGTGTTGTCATCAAGCTTCCTATCCTCATACTTGCTTCTCCTCTTCTCCTCTTCTTCTTTCTCCTCCTCCTCTCTCCCACTCCTCCCTCTCCTACTCATTCCTAGTCGGACATGCGCTACCATCTTGTGGGGGCCGAGATGGATTGGCCGCCCCAACCCCTACCCCTATGGACCATCACCCTACTGTCCACCTTCCGCATAACTATAACCCCTCCTTTCTCGCATGTTCTCCAATCTAAGTACCCCCTCATTAAATGACCCACCCTGTGCAGCCGGGGCTTTCGCCGGACTGCGCGGCCCGGGCATCGGATCGGACTCAGCGGCCGGGCGCCGCCGGGGGTCACCGTGACCGGGCCGCCGGACCGACGGCACTCAGCGGCACGCACCGTGCGTCGACTGATCACAATGACTCGTGGCCCGGATGACATTGCTCCTGATTGTCCTCGTACTGATTTTTAACTTCACTTTGAGTAAAGAGTAGATCTGAGAACGGTCGGACCCCCTAAGTACCTTAACACTGTCGGATCCGACAAAGAAAGAGAACGGCCGGGCAACGCCGTTAACGGACTCCTGCCGAAGATGCCGCGGGGCAAGCCACACTCAGTGGTGCAGTGCAGCCGCGGCCCGCCGGGACTCCGGACAACTGCGGCTCCGTCGCCACTCAGGGACGATCCGGAACTTCGGAACTTGCGGCCGCAACACTGTGACTGGCGCGGCCGCCACCCAATGCCAGCACCGTCAGTGAGTCGGCGACGAGGCCCGGCCCGGCCGACTCGGATGATAGCCCGGGCCCGGGCTCCGATGATTTATATGATCATCACCCTCATCACCCATTCGATTCATCGCCCTCATATTTTAGTGCCTTTTCGATGTGGACCCCCTAGCTCATCTGGTATTTGTCTAGGAGGTGGGGGTGTACAAGTACCCTACCATATCCCTTTTACACCTCGGTAGAATACCTGGGTACTTCGAAGGAATAGAAGGGTTAGGATCTGCAAGGGTAGGGTAGTATGATGATCAGAAGATGGGGTGGTGCTAGTTTGGTGACGCAATGCCCGACGAACAGAAGGGGAGGGGAAGGGAAAAGGAGGGGAGGACGATGTTATAGAGGGGGCAAGAGGACACTGCAGATCCATGGCAAAGTGCAGAACTAGGATGCTAGCGTAAAACCGTGTCTGATCTTAGTGAGATGAGGGTCGTAATGACCGTAGAGAGGATAAAGAGGAAGGAACATTTGTGTAGGAATGGTAACGACGAGAGAAAAGATGGTTCAAGGAAGCATCAGTGGGACTCGAAATATTAGAAAGAAAGTTTGAGATTTGGAGTATTCATAAGGAACGCTCCGAGCTGGAATTATGAATTCAAAAGAACTATCGTGACCGGAGAGAGGATCTAATGCGGCGGTGATGTTGTAAGTTAACGCGGTTCCACGATGGTTCGGATAAGCCACGTCTCCATGCTCACATACGATGTGGACAAGTGATCTTTGCTCTTTCAACAGGTCTGAACAGCCTGGCATGCCTGCCATTAACGCCAAGAGGAAGAAGGTTGCCCTCACACCCGAGGCCAAGAAGCAGATTGAGCAGGACGCGTTCAACTCGGTGCTGGAGAAAGACATCACATGCAACGCAGCTCCCATGTGCTATCCTGTCATGAAGAAAGACGAGAAGGCGTCCAAGGCCGTCAACGGGAAAGGCAAGTCGAAGACCCCGAGCAAGGAGGAGGGGAGCGAGAGCAACTCCAACGCTGCTCCGACGTTCTGGTCGAGGTTCACTCGCAAGGAGTACGATAACGACAGCAGCCTTGAGACAGGACGCGGGAACAAATTTGTTCCTCGATCGATCCGAGATGCTCGCGAAGATGCTGTCTGCAAGATTGAGTGCGAGGGGAGGAACGGCAGTGGTTTCTTCGTTCATTACCAAGGGCACCTGGCGGTTCTTACGAACAACCATGTGCTACCTACCCGCAAGGTAGCCAGCATTGCAGTAGCAATCTTCCAGGCAAGGATGCATGCTGGTTTGAGGTAGAGGAGCTGACATGGGGTGCAGACTGTGCACAAAGGGAGCATTGAGATCTCTCTGTACCCCCAGCGACTGTGGCACACATCCCCGAAGGAAGAGCTTGACTACACCTTTGTTGCCTGCGAGTCGCCGACGGGTGTCGAGGTTGAGTCTGTTGGACTTGCTGTGCACGATTCCTTGTCCTGCTGCTGTTGCTGCTTCCTCTTTGGCCTCTAGCGAGTTCTTCCCATGCTGTTGTGTTTGTTGTGATGATGTTGTAACGCTCGATTCCTCTTTTCAGCCCATCGATCTTGATGCATGGAGCAAGACCAGTGCGCAGAAGGTGCGAAAGATCTCATCTACCTCCTCTTCGTCCTCTTCCTTCAACCTCCTCTCCCTCCTCCCTTCCTCCTCCTTGTTCTCCGCCAGGTCCCTCCATGCGCTTCCTCTTCCTCTTCCGCCTCTGCCTCCTCTGCTATCGCCTCCTCTCGTCTCCTCCTCCTCTGTGTTTTCAAACATCCCCTCATGTGCTCTCTGCTGTCTTGTGACGGGCGAGCAGGGAGATACGATTGTGATCGTCCAGCATCCGGAAGGAGGAGAAAAAGCCGTGGCGAGTGGCCCGATCTGCGCCCTCCAGCCTCCTTACCTCACCTACGAGGTCAGAGAGAGTGTAAGGGCGAAGATGTGATGAGAGAATTGAGGAGGAAGATAAGGAGAGGAGGAGGGGAAGAACAAAGAGGATAAGGAGGAGGAGTATGGGGCAAGTGTGGCGAGTCAAGGGTGAAGGGTGAGGGGGGTTGACTTGTGGATGAAGGTGGATACGGCTTCGGGATCCTCCGGCTCTCCTATCTTCAAGGACTACGAGCCTATCGCGCTGCATCATCGAGCTCCTCGGCCGGACAAGCAGGAAGGACTATTCCTGTCCATGTCTTGCAACGCTGCGAGGATAAAGGTGAGGGAGGAGGGAAGAGGGAAGAGGGAGGAGGGAGGAGGGAGGGGGAGGAGGGAAGAAGGAGGAAGGAGGAGGGAGGAGAGAGGAGAGAGGAGGGAGGGGAGGGTGAAGGGGGGATACCTGACAACAGCAGCAGCATACCAACAAGGGTGTTCTACTGTCTTCGATCTTGGAGAGTTTGGAGTCAAAGTTGACGCCCAAGGTGAGGGACGTTGGTGCAGGGGCGATGGGAGAAGGAGTGGGGGAGGTAGGGAGGGGCACCAGGGGGATGAGAAAGCCTGGAGGGTATGCCATAGGAAGAGTCAAGAATCTGAATGAAGTCAAAGATGATGAGAGTTGAAGATGTAGATGTAGATGTACATGTACATGTAGATGTACATGTACATGTACATGTAGTTGTAGATGTAGATGTAGATGTACATGTACATGAAGACGTAGATGTACATGAAGATGTACATGTACATGAAGATGACAGGATAAATTTGTCCTCATGTTTGCTCGATGCAGGACGCGAAAGTGAAGGCAAAAGCCAAGGAGATGTCAGAAGCAGAGAAGAGCAAAGCAAGCATACTCGAGAAGCTGCGAGTAGGAGCGGCCGTTTGTGCGGCGAACAGAAAGCAAGAGGGAAAGAAGAAGGAGAAGAAGGAGGAGAAAGCGGGTTGGAAGATGGGCTGCAGCGCTTCTCGGAAGGAAAATGGCGTGACAGGAAAGAAAGGCAAAAAGAAGGAAGAGGAGGAGGAGGAGGAGGAGGAGGAGGACGACGACGACGACGAAGAAACTGGACGGGAAAAGAGAATGGTGAACGGAGAGGAGGAAGACACAGAAGAGGAAGAAGGGCATGAGAAGGATCAGGAGGAGGAAGAGGAGGAAGAGGAGGAAGAGGAGGAGGAGGAAGAGGATC